TAATTTTATTAATATTTTATTCGTAACTTTATTCGTAATAATTCTCTTCTATATATATATATACGAATCATTCATGATATTATAAATTTCAAGAAATTGAATAATCATAATCATATCTTTTTGATTCATATAAATCAAATAATATTATAGATTATATTAAAATTCATCAAAATATCATATTCCCAAACATCGTATTTATTCTACGAAAATTTATAAAATCTTAGATAGCATTTTCGAAATTTCCAGAATTCCTTATAAATTGAATATCATCATAATCGAAAAAATTTATAATATTCGGATCTTATCATTTCATATTTTACGTTTCCCTACCAATTACCAAAAATTACATTCCGAAAAATTTGTATTTACAGTATATAGCCGCCGCCAATTTCCCTTAATCACCCAATCTTAATATTTTCAAGAAGTCGTACAAACGACCTATCCAATCCTTAATTAGAAAAGTACGAAATTTTGAGTAATAAAATTATAATTTCCACCGATTCCATGTTCAAATATCTTTAGAAGTGTGTATTTGGAGAAAATCTTATCTTTTCAAACTAAAACAATATTCAGAAAAAATGTAAAATATTTTCCAAACTATTTAAATTATGGTATGTAACTAATGTGGTCAAGAAAAGATTTCTTTCATAATGATATATGTATATTATATATATATATATATATCCGTGTGAACATATTGATTTGTCTTCTTATAAACAGACGTAGTTAATCTTCACCACCCCCGATGTTTATATATAATGTATGGATTTCCTGTGAATTATCGTGTGCCCCGCTTCATGCGATAATTGCACGAGACTCTCCATCTTCTAGTCCGTTTGGGTTGATGTGCTGAGGTTCGCGGTTGTTCGCCGGAGATACCTAAACCCGAACGGTGGGGTTCCCAGACCACCTAACTCTCGAATTCGGGGAGAGGTGAGACCGCGACGCAGTTCCCACAGGCTGATCAGAATAGGATAGCGGCTAGCGTATCTGTAATCTGCAACTTGGCCTGTGTGAAACAAGTGGCAGCCCTCTGCCATTGAGCAGCGGGGCATAGTTGTGGCAAGCAGCTCACGTTGAAAGGTCATGAACTTTGATCTGTCTGTAAAACTGCATAAGCATTCAACCCCTTTCAGCGCACTGCGACATGTGAGACGATCACTATCAATCACAATCCTTCATGTGCGAGGCCTGATCCCAGTTTCACGGACAAGGACAGATAACACAGGGGCCTTAATGATTAGACTAGGGTTCCTTTAAAAAGCCCTATATAAGGGATACTATAAGGGCTCTATGGTATAGGGGGGCGTATACTGACTAGACTAGGGTATACTATAAAGAACCCCCAAGATAGTAGTGGCAATTGTTTCGGAACCTGTATTATGCTGCTAGCTCTCTGGATGAATATGCCTAAACCCCAAGCCCCAAAATATTTCGTGGACCCTAAACCCTAAACCCTAAACTCTACACCCTGAACCCTCAACCCTAAACCCTAAACTCCTCAAATTGTCACTTGCAGATCTCCCCTTCCCGAGCCTTCGATCTCACTGGATGCGCTCCACTTCAATGTCCTCCACTTTCATGGAGTACTTGGAAGTTCATGGGTAGTTATAGAGGGTTTTAAGGGTTTAGTTTAGCGAATTAGGGTTTAGGGCTCAGTGGCTCAGGGTTTACGGCCTACTTGGAGGATCAGGGGACATATAGTAAGTAAGGTTATAAGTACCCTAATTGGGGTTATAAGTAGTTATAAGTATAGTTACTCTAGGTATGACCATAGTTACCAAGTCCCACGATCCTTTGAGTGATGCTTTACGGTCTATTTGGGCTTTATCTTTTAGGGCTTAGGGTTCTCATACTAGTAATGGTTAGAGTAAGAACTATACACATAAGACAACAAGCTGATGATACTTCTGCTCAATTTCAGATCCAGGCCTGCGCTCTTCAAGGAGGGTTCTTGCCGGAAACACCGTGGTTGCAGCTTAACTCGCTCTTTGGGTCCCTGGAAACTGAAGTCGCGGGTTTAAAATCCAACCCTTGCACTTCCGCGTCAAGCCGGGGTCAAAAGCTCCAGAGAGTCCTGCGTGGACATGAAAGTGATCGTAAATCCTGAGTCTGCATGGTCGTAGCTTATTGCTGAAGATTCATTGTTCAAAGGGATTCGGCTGTAGTAGGGGCGCCTCAGTGCCTGCCAATGCGTGGTATGACTGCCGTGCAGCCCGTAGTCTTCCAAGCCTATCTAGCTCCCAACACAATTTTTTGTCTCATGAGCTCTTCTGAAGAGTTGGTTTCCTCAAGCTCTGCCAACTGCTCCCAAGTAGTCGAGCGGGAGGAGACAGGAGAGGAGGGATTGATGATCACACACTGTCGTGCACCGTTTGCAGGTTGCCGTCGTTCGCCTTGCTGTTTGGTGTTGCTACACCCTAGACATGGCACAAAAAACTGAAAACCCAAGCACAACTAAAAACCAAAGTAACCACAAAAGAAACGAAACCCTAAACTTATAGACGAAACCCTGAACTTAATAGACGAAACCCTAAACTTCATAGACGAAACCCTGAACTTAATAGACGAAACTCTTAACTTACTAGCTTTCCTTTTAAAAAAACCTTGCCATGACGTATCCACGCTGCGGCCCTGGTGGTTGCTGGACTTGAGGGATGGCACCTGCAAGGGGGCACAAGACAGGGTCTAGGGGTTTAGGGGTTTAGGGGTTTAGGGGTTTTAGGGTTTTTGGGGTGGGTTTTTGGGGTTTGGGGGTTTAGGGTTTAGGGAACCTGTCTGGGGCTGAGGGTTCCTTTAAAGGGCTGCCTTCAAGGATACCATACGGTTATAGGGCCCGTCTAAGGGGTACTTTTGGGTTCTATAATAAGGTTCCCTTAAAGGGATCTAACACAAGGGAATTAATAATTAGAATAAGCTTTTGGGGCCTATTATAGTATAATTAGAAGTAAGGGACCCCTCGAATAGTAGAGGCAATTACTTCGGCCCCTATATTAGCGTTCCTGTAACAGGTTCCCTTAAAGGTTACTTTTGGGTTCTATGATGATAAAGTCCCCTTTAAAGAGTACTGCTGGGCTCTATAATAATAAGGTCCCCTTTACAGGAATCTACAAGGGCTACTATAAAGGCCTCTATCATAGTGCTTGGGTCGGGGGGTTACGTCTTTGGGGCTTGGAGTTTCGGGATTCGGATTCAATTGTTTGTGTCTTGGGTTTCGAGCTTAGTTTGAGGTGTAGAACTTACGGGGTGCAAGGCTTGGGATATCCAAGATTCAATGCTGATTTTCATGTCTCAGGTTCAGTATGAGGCTTCGTGCCACAACGAAGAAGCAGTACGCATCCAAGGATCACCTTTGCAACAGAAACCCAGCTTCAACATGCTAAAACAGGGGCCTTAATAATTAGAATAAGGTTTGGGGGCCCATTATGCTACAATTATCATAAGGAGCCCCCCAAAATAGCACAGGTAATTATTTAGACCCCTGTAGTATCCGATTGCCCATGACGAAAGGAACTGCACAGGCTGCTCTTCCCTTTGGCCCCTGTACTCACATCACACCCTTGAAAGGAATATGACCCTAAACCCCCAAAACCCAAAACCCTAAATCCCAAGCTTCGGCGAAATGGAACCCTTTAAAACCCTTAGAGAGCCCTTAGAGGAAGTGCTGGGGCTTTGGCTACGATGAAAGGCTCGTCTGGTCGATCCTGTGGCAGCCGCAGAACTGCGCCGACCTCCGGATTCAGCTATGGCATCGAAGGGCCCTTGTCATGTATAGTATATCATGGTATATTGTAGTTTCTCGTTGTATATTGTAGTATACAATAGTGTATTATAGCGCCCTGGTCATGCAATGTAGGGGCCTTGATGATTAGAATAATTCGGGTTTTGGGCTCCTTTAGAGTATGTTTATGAAAAGGAACTCGAAGGAATAATACTTTGGTAAGTATCAAAGCACTGGTTCTGTCACAACGGCTGTGGCGAAACTTTGGGAGTCCGCGTGCAGAGGAGAGGGCTGCCCTCCGGCTTACATTTTGTAGATGCACCTCGACATGCGAGACGACGACGCTCACGACGACGATCACAACCACCACAAGTAATAGGGGCTCAGGGTCTAGAGCTGTTACTTCAATATGGCACTGTCTGTGTACATCGCACAACTCGCAAACTATGCAAACGGGAGAACGCAGGAAAGCACGAACGGCAGGAACAACAGGGGCCATGTTCACATGGCATGTGTGCGAACAGGGTACTGCAGTTCTTGATGATCAAACGAGGCGCTCTGCTTCTTTCAACTGGAAGATGTCTAATATAGGGGCGAATTAATACTTAGAATAGGGTTTCGGCGTCCATTATACTAGAACTATAATAAGGAACCCCCAAAATAGTATTACTAATCATTACGGCCCCTTTATTAGTACATTACCGATATGGAGGTATCAATGTGGACATGCCCCTTAGCATTTAAAGTATTGCACATCCTCCAATCCGCGAAGCCACAGCTCGCGTGATTTTGCAAAAAGACTCCTGTTGGCCGAGTCGCCATCATCATCGTCACTGTCAACATCATCCTCGTTCGAATCGTCATCACCAGCAAAACACTCCCTCAACCCTGAAATCCCTAAACCCTAAAATCCCTAAACCCTAAACCGCTTGTCATCAGAAGTGCAATTGCCAACCAGCCAGACCGCCTCGCTGGCACTGGAATATTCGCGACCAGTATGCCGCAAGCCGCTCTGCGCCAGGACCTTGAAAGAAGAAGTTTCGAAGAGTTCAGGGCGGCTTCGTCGTAGGGGCACAGTCTGCATGAGCTCAAACTTCTACTTGGAACTCTAAGCGTAGTTTTGGGGAAGACTGAGAATGAGAAAACTTCCGTATCTCCAATCCGAGTCTTTGGTTTGGGGCGACAGGGATGCAAAGAGCCGAAGCAGGATTCTGTATCGTCGATACATAAAGGATCATGGGACTTAGTAACTAGGGTTATAATTAGGGTAACTATACTTATAGCTACTTATAACCCCAATTAACGTATGTATAACCTTATTTACTAAGTCCCATGATCCTCCAAGTAGCCCTCGCCTCTGTAGCCCTAAGGGAGTCCCAGTTCGGTGGTCCATCATTGCTGCTGGTGCTCGTAATGCTGCAGCTGCTGGTAGTCGTCGCGGCTACCGTCGGAGCAGCAGTAGCAAGGACAGCCAGGGCCATTCTGCCAACAAACATTCTCGTACTTTCCGCAGGAAAGACCAGGAAATGAAGCCTCTGAAGCCTTATGAGGCTCCAAGCATAAATCCGACTTTCTCCTCTCTCCCTCTCGCTCTCTCTCTCTCTCTCTCTCTCTCTCTCTTTCTCGCGCTCTCGCGGCCATGAGAAGAAGCTCTTGCCTGAACCCCGAACCCTTCTGCAGCCTAACACCTGAACTCTCCGGCTCTGCTCCAGTTGCAGCTGCAGCAGCGTGGTGGTGGCTCGGGTTCTCCGCCAGTAACCCGTCCTGCACGACTCCTTTTCTATGAAGTGAAGCCATGTTCATCCTGATTTCGTAAATGCACAACATCTCCATCTCCCTGTCTCATCAGGCGCAACACTGAACCCAAAGGCAGAAAAGCATGTACACGGAAAGGAATTTCCTCAGTTGGAATGCAGATCGTAATTTGGTCCTGCATCGAAAATCCCAACCCTTCAGACGCAAAGGACCTAGCACCTCACAGATCCACACACAGACACACACACACACACAGACAGACACCCACGCACACACAAACACACACACACACACACACACGCACACACACGCACACAAACTCTTGTGACAAAGGCTGCTTCGATGACATCAGATCCTGAGCACAACACAGAACCCCATGCAACGGCCCTTTTGCTGGTCCTTGCCCATACCCTCCACATTCCGCAGGATGTGAACCGCAGCCGGTCCTGCCTCCAAAGTGCTTAGTGGAGGGGCCTGAGCTACTATGGGGCTCCTTAAGGGATCTATAGGGTTCCTTAAAGGGATCTATAGGGTTCCTTATAAAGGGATCTATAGGGGTTTTGGGGATTTTGGGCTTCAGGGTTTTAGGGAGTAGGGCTTACGGGAGGGAGGGCTCAAAGGGGGCTATATCACCCAATAATCCATTTTTCTCCCCAGTGCTCCCGAAGGTCCCCCTTGAACCCCCCCCCCCTAACCTAAGGATCGCATAATACGAATTGCTCGGTCCTTAGTGCAGCTCCGCTAAGAGTACATAACCGCGTTGAAGGTTGCAGGTTTTGGGGACGAAGGCTGAGGGTGCTCGGTTCTGGGTTTCAAGGAGTCTGGGTCTAGAATGTAGGGTGCGGGCTTTGAGGATTTAGGGCCGCAGCCATAAAACATCCTAAAGCCCGAAACCCTCTGAACTGTAAAACCCCAAAGCCCGTAGCCCTAAATCCTAAAAACCATGGACAGCAGTTCACAGACAAAGCCTTTGGACGTCCGTGCGGCGTCATGGCAACCACCTCGGCTTTCGGGCTGCTGGACTTGGTTTGATGGGCTGAGGGTGTGGGGTTTATGTTTTCGTTTTCGATGGTCTAGGGTTCAGGGTTTCGTGCTCTTGGACAGCTGCACTTGAGAGTGCGACGTCTCTCTCATTTGGGAGTTTCCGAAAATAGGGGAGCCTAATATGGTACGCCAAATTGTAGGATCCTTATTATAAGGACCCCAAAATAAGGTACCCCCAATTTTCGGAAACTCCCATCTCTCATTCTCTCAAGCCCACTGGTGTTCTGGCTGTCTTCCTTCTTAAAGGATCATGGGGCGTAGTAACTATACATATAACTACATATAACCCCATTTAAGGTACTTATAACCTTACTGACTAAGTCCCATGATCCTCCAAGTATTGTTGTTGCGAGTCATTTCAGCATTACTACCATGTACTCAAAGGGGTAGTTCTCTAAATTAGGAGCATCTCGAATCCAATCGCCATGAAACGTTCTTGCGTTATTGGTATTGTTGGGGTGGGTCGGTTCCGAACCCATTTTGGAGAAATTGGCTCCTGCAGCAGCCAAACATCGCAAGCCATGCCAAACTGCTGTCGCATCGGTGTTAGCTCTACCCCAGGTGAATCTGAAGCACACCTGTGCTCTCGTCAACAGTGGCCTTTCAAGGCTACTGCATTGGATTCTACCATAAAGGGTTTGTTTGGGGAGTATATGATAGTATAAGTATAATAAGGAACCCCCACAATAGTATAGGTAACTATAAAGGCCCCTATACTGAATCCTTGCAAAGTAGCTCTTATAGGCCCCTTTTAAAGGAACCCGATTCTAATTAGTAAAGCCCCGATTGTACTTGTCGGGACCAGGTCCAACTTCTGACAAGTTGCCAGCAGCGGCGGAGGAGTGGAATCGATGGTGCTGAAGTCCACTTCAGACTGTCAGCAGTGGCGTAGCAAAGGGGCCTAAATAGTTACCAATTCTATTCTGGGGTTCCTTCTTACAAATATAGTATAAAGATTCCTTCTTATAACTATAGTATAATAATTCCTTCTTATGATTATAGTATAATAGGCCCAAAACCCTATTCTAATTCTTAAGGCCCCTATAGTCGCCTCAAACGGGAGGCTCCCGTGATCTCCGGGGAGGCCCGGGGGCTCAAGGTGTATCCAAGGGTAAAAGGAGGGACCCCTACCCTATAATGGGCTATATAATGGGTATATAATAGCTATATGAAGGGTATATACCTAGGGGTCCTTATTAAGGTTCCCTCCTTTTACCCTTGGAGTTTAGGGTTTAGGGCACCGGTCACCGTCTGTAGGCCGTTCTGTGAGAGCGCTTCTGTTGAAGATACAGAGCCTACACTACCCATAACAAGGAATATACCATAATTCCCATAGTCTAGGGTCATTAAGGTAATGCAGGATTTACATAATCAACCATTCCGCTGTGATTTCAGGGTGCCAATCCAGTTACGGAAAAGCCCCACGCCTTGGATGCATTCACCTCCGACGCGTCCTGGCGCATCACTGTTGAAACCCTGCTTCGCGGGAACTCCCACACAGTTAGTTCATTGTATAAGATATGTCACTGACTATGTCTTATGCCTTACATACTGTATGTGTGCGATTTTATACATCTCGACAACTTTTCAGCTCACCACTCCGACTGGACTGGGGGGCAAGTGAGGCAATCGTGGGCAGTCGACAGACCTTCTTTCCCAAAGCTTTGTCGGCAATACAAGGGCCTTAAAAAATAAGGATCGGGCTTGTGGGGCATGGTATACTCTGCTTGTAAGGGAACTCTATAAGGGGATTACAGTTGTGATCGTTCCGACCCCTGTATTGCGGCTTCGCGGCACTATGCTGCAAGCTTGGACACTGCGTCCAAAATAAACACATCGAAATCACCCCGGTATTGGTCATGGCCAAATGCAGCTGCACACGCCCTAAACCGTAAACCTCAAACCCCGAACCCTAACCCCTAACCCCCAAACCCCGAACCCCAAGCCCTAAACCCCAAACCCTGAACCCCAAACCCTGAACCCCGAACCCCAAACCCGCCAGCCTCTGACCACTGCGACTTCCGCAGATGCAGGGATGCCTGCGAGGCCCCAAACCGCCCGAAACCATAAGTGACTGAAAGATGCTGTGGGGTTTGGGGTTTAGGGTTCAGGATTTAGGGCTTGGGGTTTAGGATTTAGGGTGTAGGGCTTGGGGTTTAGGGTTTAGTGTTGGGGTTTGGGGTTTTAGTATAGTACAACATACTCTAGTACACAGGAACAAAACATGCTATACCACAGTATACTAAAAGATGCTAGAGATACCAGAAAGCAAGAATACAGTATACAGTACTAATGTACTGTGATACACGATAACATGATGTACTACAGCATACACTATAACGGTTGAGACACAAACCTCTGAGGAATATTGCCAACACCACGAATCAAGACACCCGGCCGAGAGCCAGCCAAAGAACTCGCCGAGATTACTGTAGAATGCTTTCACAAGCGGTCACAAAACCTCAGACCCTCGGACTTCAAACCGCCAAAACCCTAAACCCTAAACCATTCGGGACCTCACCTGAAAGGCCACGAATTCCTCCCAGGTGATCTCGCGGTCAGAGTCACTGTCCATCGCCTGCGGTTTAGGTTTTAGTGTTTAGGTTTTCGGGTTTAAGGTTTGGGTTTTCGGTTTAGGGCTATTTTTGTTTAGGATTTAAGGTTTAGGTTTCAGAGTTTAGGGTTAGGGTTTGGTGTGCACCAGAAGCTTTCAGGATAAAAAGATGCAGTACCTCCGGGTTTAGGTTTAGGGTCTATTTCTTATTACGACTACGATGAATAGCCATAAAGGTCACTCTAGCCGCATCAATATTTCAAAAGTCAGTTCGGCTAGAGTGGATGTTGCTTCACTGGCCTTTCTACCATAAATTCTGCTCCCCCTTAGACCAAACCCTAAACCCTAAACCCCAAACTTCTGCAGCAAAGAGGAAACAGACGCCTTAAAGCTTCGGACTGTTAAACAACCGGACACATGGATCAAATTGTGGCCGGCTCGGCAAGCTGGGACGAACGCTAGAAGCTGCCACCCTCATATAGGAGCCTTAATCAGTAAAACAAGGTTGGCAGTAGCATTCCCCTTAAATATATATATATATATATATATATATATATATATACATACACACATATGTATATATATATATATATACATATGATGTGATCATCGTATGCTCCAAAGGGGCCTTAATAAGTAAAATGATGTTATGTGCTATACTGTTTACAATATTTGTCACCATCAGCCGTGTGCTAGGCCCTTTCCCCAAAAGCTGAAGGCCTGGAAGAGTGCCTCCATCTGGTCCCGGGAGCCATCCTCCTTGTCTTGCTTGGAGGTTCATGGATAGTTATAAGTAGTGTTATAAGTCCGATTGATTTGAGTTAGAAGTATAGTTACCCTAGTTCTAACCCCACTTATAGCTACCCATGAACCTCCAAGTGGGCGGCTGTGCCTACGATTTGGTGCTCAGCCTCTGCACTCCGACTCCGGAGAACCCCTGCCCCTAAACCCTAAGCGAACTGGGGGTGGGAGTCCAAAAAAGCTGAGCGTATGGAATACTGGGTAGTTCCCTTTAAAGTCGAGTCGCTTTCAGAATCCCTTTTTCAGGGTGCCGTACTATTTGGGGAGCCGAAAAGGGGGCCTAATTTAGAGAACTACCCTTATTGTGTAGAGCAGCAGGTTGAAGTCTGGAAACGCTTCCCACTGGACCCCTTCGCTACGAAGCCTGCCCCAGAACGGGAACCCATCGCCTTTCCTGAACGCGGCAAACAGCTGTACCCCTACTTTTCTCACACATTTTTCCTCGTTGATATCTCCACCGTCAGCATCACCAACCAGTGCGAGGCAATCTCAAAAACGGCAGTTCAGTGTACAATCATGGTGGCTCCTGGCGGATTTCGGAGGGGAGGCCAAAGAATTCTGCCATCTTCGCATCGCGGCGCAGCCCTTTGACGAGCTCGCGCTTGTTGACCTGGGAATGGGGCGTGTGCCGCTTTAGGGGTTTAGGGTTTCGGGTTTAGGGTTCTATGGATAAGGGTTTAAGGTGCCTTTGCTGGCACATGGCTCTCAACAAAAAAGGTTATGATTGATCATCGGCATCATTAGCAATGCTAATCGGAAAAGTCATGATGTGATAATGCTGCAGCTGTCGCTGATGCCGATGATGAAGGTAATGGCGATGATGATGATGATGATGATGATAATGACGAAGATGGTGACTATGATGATGATGGTGATGATGATGATGGTAATGATGCTGACGATGGTGATGATGGTGGCCGTCCTGGCGGTGGCTGTGTCCAAGTGCAGCAATGCAATCTCCACGGAAATCTGCGATCACGGTGACTCCATCATCAATGGTTTGAATAAAACTGGAGACGCAACTAAAATAGTAATAATCCTAAACCCTAAACCTGATACCAAGACGACAGTGTTGCTCTCTATGAGAACTACCAAGGCCATCATGATGGCTGCAGCTGTGTCCTGAAAAATGTCACTGTTGCTGTGGCCTGCAAATGCAGAACTATAGTCATGTAGACCCATGATTCCTGAACCAATTTACTTTGAGAGGGAATGTAATAAAATCGGCTTGATTGTTGACGCGTTTAAGGAAAGAGCGTTCATTGGTCAAAGAGCCCTAAACCCTGAACAAATCCTAAGACCAGTTCTTCGTGTCCGCAGCAGAATCAAGGCTCCTCTTGCCAGTAGGTACTCTGTCAGTGCAGCTGCCGTTCGGACCCCTATCATACTATCACGGAAACGCTCGTTTTTGCATGCGGGGTCTACATGTTTTTGCCAGTAGATCAGGATCTTAGGGCGCAGGGCTTAGGGTACAATCTCTTGCTTGTGTACCATGCGCTTACACTTTCGCATTGCCGTCTGTTGATGAAAGAGCTCGTGCGACTGTTGAGAGGCCTGGCACCTGCCGGCGTTGATGCGAAACGGAGCCACGGTTCAGGGTTTAGGGTCTGGGACAGCGCAAGCAACAGCGAGTCATCAAGCCATGCCAGTGCAAGATTAGCTGCCATACCATTTCCTTGCACGTCGGCGCTGTCGAAGATCATTCCTGAAGTAGTCAGCTGCTGGCGACGCGCTGACATGTTGAAGTTTCAATCAGGGTTGCCGTGACATACCAAACAGCCGTTGCATAGCGCCTTAGAGCCGTAGAAGTCACGGAGATGTTTGTGAATGCGTTGGGCTCGGGCTGCGGAATTGAACGCTCAGGCTCATCTTCCGTTTTCTCCAGGAAAACTACATGAATTCGCGGGACCCCGAACCTTTTCATCTACCCTTGCGTTCCGCACCGAGTCTCGGGCCGGCCGAGGCAATTCAAATTCTCCAGGGGTTCATAGATCATAGACCCAAATCAGAAATTCAATCGGCTTCTGCAACCAACAAACAGAACCCCAGTGCTCTGCTCTGCACCCAAGGCGCGGAGCTTCTTCAGGTCCATCTTCTCTGCACTCGCGGGCGTTGTCGGCGCCGTGTTTGGCCGGGGAGCCGGCACCAGAGGTCCAAGGGATTCGGGTCGGCTGAGCCTCGCTGCTCCGTGAAGGCTTTTGAGTTAATTGTAGGGAGACCGTAAATGCAGGAGTAGTAGCAGTCGTCGTCGTAGCAGTAGTGGTCATCACAGTAGTAGTAGTAGTAGTAGTAGTAGTAGTAGTAGTAGTAGTAGTAGTAGTAGTAGTAGTAGTAGTAGTAGTAGTCGTAGTAGTTGTAGTAGTAGTAGCAGCAGCAGCAGGAGTAGTAGTAGTAGTAGTAGTAGTAGTAGTAGTAGTAGTAGTAGTAGCGCAGATGTTGTAGTAGTTACTGTTGTTGTAGTGTTGCTGATGCAGTTGTACGACCTCTGGTAACGCTCTTGTGGATATGCTGCCCGACTTCGATGTGAGCATGGCGAATCGTGCCGGCCAGTGAATTGATGTTGTCATTTCTCTTCGTGGTGCTCTTACTGATTACTGGTTTTACGGCTGCGACTTGTACCACCACTCAGGATAAGCATGAAAGCATTCGAGATTTTTGAGTAGGGCAATTGCGAAATCACAGAAGGTGCCCACAGCACTCGGACAAACCAAAGTGCACAGTCCGGATCATGCTTGCTCTCTCAACACTAACTCCGCATCATAGTATGCTTTACCACAAGGTCCAGCCGTACCGTACACTGAATTGGAAAGCTTGCAATGTGCCACAGACCTAGAACCGCTGCGAACACCCGTCCGACACGGAAGCTCACTGAGAATGGCATTCATGCACAAGCCTTCCGAGCCTTCAAGTCCCAAAATCCGTCAAACTCCGCCCCAAGAGTGCTGACTCTAGTAGAAACCTGCGACAGACCTATAAAATCCAAACACGAAAACCATACACCTCAACTTGAACCTGAAACCTGAAATCCTAAATCTCCCTGCGGCCTGGGTGGTGGAGGCGTCTTGCTGCGATTCGGATCCGGAGCTGGCAGCGCTAAGGTGGTGCGCGGCTCGGCCGGCGGTGGCTCCTGTGAACTTTCTTTGCTCAAAGCGAAAACATAGACACCTATAGGACCTTATGCAACCCTTATGAGCCCTTTAGAACGCTTACGGGACCCTCCAAAACCCTTCTTCTGTTGTCTCGTAGCGCCTTTTTCTCTTTTAGGGTGTTTTGGGGCTTCGTGAGACACGTAATACCTTCTTGTTCACTTGTAGCACACTTCAGGCACCCTTTATACTACCTCTTATAGTACCCTTATAACACCCAAAAAGTTTAACCCATAAAGTATGTTTGTAGTAGAAAGTCTTGCTGAGGGTCTAGCGTTTGGGGTTTAGGCCACCCTATCCACCAAAAGGACTGCTTGCATTGCAGTCCAGTACATTAAGTTGCGAAAACTCCAATGCTGACCGGTGCACCCGCTGAACCCTAGACTCTGAGATTGACGAATCTCTGACTTACTGGGCAGCAACAGCGTCCTCGGACTGCTTCAGCTTGACCCGGAACTGCGGATTCCGATACCTTCCAGCTGGAAAGCTTCAAAACAGTAGAGACGTAGATGCTAGGTAGACCGACAGGTGGGTAGATAGATACATCGACCGATAGACGGATAGATAGAAAGATAGATAGACATATTAATGCACTGAGTGATCGATTGATTGACTGATGAACGGAAGGAGAGGTACGTAGATAGATCGACGAACAGGCAGCTAATTAGACAGATAGGTAGCTAGATAGGTAGGTAAATGGATGGATAGACTGATAGGTTGATTGACCGATCGATTGATTGATGGTAGGTAGACAGACAGGTAGACAGATAGATAGATAGGACAGGATAAACAGACGGTGAGATAGACAGGAAATAGTATAGGAGCCTTAATCATTAGAATAGGGTTCCTTTAAAGGGATCTATAAGGGCTATTATGAGGCAGATAGGCCCCTACAGTGGTTTTTCGGACTGCCGGGCACGGGCTCCGCAGAGTCTTTTAGCAGAGGCGAGGGGCCACGAAACCATCGGAGCTCGGTTTCGGAACCGGCCACCGCCCATGCAGACTTGATGTGGCCGCTCCTGAGATTGGGTTGAGAGCTGAGGGTTTGGAGTTTTGCGTTTGGAGCTCCGTGGGGCTAGTTCGGGGCCTTGATAGTCAGAATAGGGTTTTGGAGCCCATTAAACTATACATATAATAAGGGACCCCCAAAATAGTTTAGGTAGTTATTAAGACCCCGATATTAGGGCCCAAGGTAGGGATTATGAATTTCGATGTTTTGCTTTGCCACTAACTAGGCTGGTTCGCCACAGTGCCTAAGAATACTGTAGGGGCCTCAAAAATTATAAAAGGTTTTGGGGGCTCCTGATTTTAACTATAGTATAACATACCCCAAACCCTATTCTAATTATTGAGGCCCCGATACTACAAGCCCTGCTTTAGCCTTGCTGGGGAACCGGTGGTCAAGGATGTGCGGTCCGAAACTAGAAGCGACCCTGCAGACCAGTGCCCGACGACAAAACACGACCTCCAGAATGAATCCCAGATCCCAACTCACCATCTCGCTCTCCACTCTTCGAATAATGCCGAGCACCCCTTGCGTAAACCTTTTTGTCTTTGTTAGACCTCTGGTATGAATCGTCTTTCAAATGACTTTAAGAACATAGTGGACCCAACTAGAGACCTTACATGACAGGATCCCTGATACAAGGAGGGACCCGCTAATCTTGAGAAACCACGCGTATCTTTCATCTTAAACCCTGAACCCCAAACCCTAAGCCGAAACCCCAGGTCCAAACCCTAAGCCGAAACCCCAGGTCCAAACCCTAAACCCCAAGCTCTAAACTAGACTCTACACCCCCAAAACCCCCAACCCCCCCCCCCCCCCAAACCCAAAATCCTAAAAGGGCGTCCTGGAGCCACTTGACCTCAAAGCTCTGCTGGAAGCGCTGGGGCTCACAGTTCGCCGGAGGGATCCTGCAAGAAAAGGGTGCCTTGATATGCTTCATACTTGGAGGATCACGGGACTTAGTAAGTAAGGTTATAAGTACCTTAATTGGGGTTATAAGTAGTTATAAGTATAGTTACCCTAATTATAACCCTAGTTAGTAAGTCCCATGATCCTTTAAGTAGGGTTTAGGGTTGAGGAACAGGGTTTAGCGTTGATGGTTTAGGGTTTAGGAACAGGGTAACCCTGGTAGAGTTCGATGACAAAGGGGCGTTTGTAGCGAGAATCGGGTTGCTCCTTCCTGGAGCTCTTTTTGAAATCCGCAATGATGCAGGATTCAAGGTTTCGGGCTCCGGCTCTAAGAAAGACCCTCAAAACGGGACCGTCGTCCAAAGAGTTCCTTGTCTTGAGAGTCGAGGCGTTCGGATGAGCTTGATAATACAGGGGCCTTCATAATTAGAATAGGTTTCGGCCCATTAACTACAGTTATAATAAGGAACCTCCTATATAGGCCCTAGAGGGTTACTATAATTATAATAAGGAGCCCCCTAGGCCCTGGAGGGTATTGGTAATTACTCAGGCCCCTATATTAGCTTACGGTTCACAAGTTCACTGCCCGACGTGAAAGGCGTGAGGGTTTGATGGAATTAGCCTGGGTTGACGAAGTTGCTCGAGCTTTGGAGGCTGCAGAAGGGCATAGGCTATGCGGCATAGGGGTAAGACAGCTGCCTGCGTTTCAACACGTGGACAAAGGATGCACAGCGTAGGCATATACCTTCTCAGACAGGATTGAGGATGCACCATGCTGCCGAAAGATCTCGCAGACCCCTGAGCGCGGACTGTGACCGAAGCCCACCGCCCCAAACTACAACCTCCCGGATCCAGTCCCCAGAATCTATCTCAGGCCCATAGGAACCACCGGAACTGCTCCAACTTCAGCTCCGACCATAACTAGACCCCGGGCATATGGGAGTTTCCAAAATTAGGGGTACCTTATTTTGGGGGTCCTTATACTACTATTTGAGGTACTATATTAGGGGCCCCTATTTTCGGAAACACCCATCTCGGTGTACCCCGCCTGATCACGTCAACTGACTCTGTGGCATTGACGATGAGGGTGAACGGACCGAGTTCGCCCTTCCTTGGCGCAAGTCGGATTCAACTTTACGGTTTAGGGGTTTAGGGGTTTACGGTTTAGGGGTTTAGTTTTTTGAGGGCTTCATGTCAAAATGACTCAAAACAAGCTCTTGTTAAAGGCAGTTTGCTCAGACGCTGGCTGTGCTGTCAAAGCTTCCGACGAAACCCTAAACCATAAACCCATCACCCATCAACCAACGATTGAAAAAGCGCCTGTTGTGCACCATAATGATGACACCCGAATGCAGCACTGCGTCCCTCTATATCGTGACGCTCCCTATAGGAGAGGATGCTGGGATGCTGGAGAACAGAGAGGTCTCATCCTAGGCAGTAGTTACCTATACTATTTTGGGGGTTCCCGACTATACTTCTGGTAATGGCCCCAAAACCCTATTCCCCCACATTAAAGCAGGGCTCAGACCTGGTCTGCATGGCGTTCGGTCGCTCTCTGCAAACTTTCCCCGGTAGCACTCAGGATTAGCCGCTTTTCATGCTGGTACGCCAGAAAGCCTGAGAACCCCTAAAACTCACCAAACCCTCCAAATAATCCTGCACCCCAAACCCCCTAAAGTAAACCCGTCACTAGACCCCCAAACCACCCCAAAACCTCTCTAAACCTCTCTTCAACCCAGATAGCCAGCCCTTAGGCAATCGTTCAGGCAACACTTACTAATCACGCGAAGTACTGCAATGCGAGAACGAAAGTCATTTCTTTGTACTGGCGAGTCGACCCAGGAGGTTACCCACTGGGTCGCACACGAGTCTGGGGGGCCGGGGACAGGGGGGTGGGCACACTTAATGATAAAGCCCCAAACAACTAAATCCTAACACCCTCAATCCGTCAACCCCTAACCCCTCGAACCCTAAAAACCCTCAAGCCCTCAAACTGGGCCGCGTGGCGCGGCAGAAGGCACGATGAAGAGCGGCTGCGACGAGGGAGGCAGGTCGAACTCGCAGCTCGGGATGTCGTCGTCTTCCTTCAGGGTTTAGGGTTTAGGGTGTCTAGGATTTTCAGAGGCTAGGGAGCCCTCTCAAACCATCACCTGATTTCTGGACTGCCTGAAGCATTCAAAAACAAGACCGAAGCTAGAAATCAAAAGGGTCGTCCAGCTTTCGTGGGCCAGAAGCTCATGTTCAACCCACATCTCACGCTCCCCACTCCCCCTTAAACCCTAAACCCTGAACCCCTAAACCCTCCACCCTAAACCCCTCCCCCCCGGGTCATGCGAGGAGGCGAGGACATCGTAGCCCGGCATCAGCATGTACCCGGCACCTGCTTCGTGCACCTCCTGGCAGGTGGCTGCTATCCTCAAATCCCTGAGCCCTAAAACTCAATCTCTGAACCGAGACGCTAGACCCTAATGGCTGCAATAAGATACGACCTCCTTTTGGGGCTTGGAGGAACTGTGCACCTGGTATGGTTGTTAATGGCTCAGGCGTTTCATTGTAGAAATAGCGGACTTAGCGCATAGTGTTGTTTTGGGGTCGACGGCTTTGGGCATGACCCCTAAAGGTTGCCTTCGACCAAAGCTCGAGGGTGTAGGGTTTAGTGCTGTAGGGTTTAGTTTAGCGATTCAGGGTTTAGGGCTCAGTGGTCCCAGCTCACTGGTCCCTAAACCCTAAACCCTAAACCCTAACGGCCCAGGGCCTAGGGTTTAGGGATGGAGATTGTTGCGAGCCCCTCAGCTTCAGCTCAGGGTTCCGGCTGCTACCCGCCCACCCAGTCTATGACCTTTGTCGGGTTTAGGGTTTTTTTCAAGGTTTGTGGCTTGGTCTGGCGGTGGCCCAAAATCAGGGCAAGCATGGACAGGGCAGGGCAGGGCAGGGGCAGTGCAGGGCAGCGCAGGGCAGGGCAGGGCAGAGCAGGGCAGGGCAGGGCAGGACAGGACAGCAGGGCAAGGGCAGGGCCAGGGCCAGGGAGCAGGGGCCAGGGCAGGGCCAGGGCCAGGGCCAGGGCCGTGCAGGGTCAGAGGGTCAGGCCAGGCTAGGGCCAGGGCAGGGGTGGCTCTTTCTCTATTGGCTAGCATGCCTGTCGCATGCGCCAGCACCTGAGCCGCGCGCCAGCTCCGGAGCCAGCCTCACTGACGCTTCGGCACGCTCGCTGCTGCTATTCGCAGCGCCCGCAGCTCGCTTCAGTCTAGGGTTTAGGGTTTAGGGGTTTAGGGTTTAGGGGTTTAGGGTTTAGGGTTTCGGGGTTTAGGGTTTAGGCCCTGTGCAGGGCTCCGGAAAGAAGGTCCCTTCGTCTCCAAACCGCAAAGCGGCCTCGAAATGCTTCCACAGTTCGGGAAGCACGAACACCTATGCCGCACTTCGGACCTAAACCATTCGTCTAAATCTACACAGCCCTACACCCTAAACCCTAATAAGAAGCCCCCGAAGCCCAAGATCGTCGTCGTCCTTGTTGTTCCGAACGACGTGCACCGCCATGGTGGCAGGACTGTTACTGGCCTCTGCCAAGGCCACGGACCTGACGGCGGCGAGCCCGCATTAAGCGGGGTTTTTAGGGTTTAGGGTTTTAGGGCTCCTTTAAAGGATTCCCTTCAGGGTTCCTATAAGGATCTGGGGCTTTAAAGTTTTAGGGCTCCTTTAAAGGATTCCCTTCAGGGTTCCTACAAGGATTTGGGGTTTTAGGGTTTTAGGGCTCCTTTACAGGACTCCTTTCAGGGTTCCTATAAGGGTTTAGGGTGTGGGGTTACTCAGGTTCTTGGCTCACTTTGGGATTTGGGTTCCAGGGTCTAGAGGTTGAGAGCTTGGGATTTCAGGGGCTTGTGCGCGTTGGGTGCAAGTGTGTTGTTTTGTTCTGGGGTGGCTAGCCCGGTGTGTGGTTGTTCTTGGTGGGAGTCGAGGAGTGCGCCTTTTTGTGAATGGAATCTCTGGGTGTTGCGCGTCCATTGTTTTGACAATAGAACTGTTTCAAAAAAAAAAAGGGTGCTGAGTTAGGGCCCTTTTCAGGGTCCCATCTTTGGAAATTGAAGCGCCTCTGATATTGAAGAAAACCCCCTTATTCCGGAACACTCCGATCCCCACTAGCATAGGAGTTCCCAACCTGAAAGTTTAGGACTTGGAGGGTAATATAGGGGCCTTGATAACTAGAATAGGGTTTTGGGGGGCCCATGATACTATAATTACAAGAAGGAGCCCCCAGAATAGTATTAGTCATTATTCACGCCCCTCTATTCGAGGGTGTAGGGTTTGGGTTGAGGGAATGCCAGAATTTTGCGAGGACTGCTCCATGAAAGACCCTTGCAGCCAGATCGCACTCGCACGCCGGCTGCAGAACCTGCAGTCTAACACAAGGGGCTTCGATGTTCCCCAAACCCCAAACCCTCATAAACCCGGAAGACTCTGGCTTTGTTGGGTTTTGGCATGGTCTTGCAGACTCTTATGGCCTTAGCTGTGCACTCTGGACTGAGAAGGGCCCGGTGACTAGCAACTTCAGAGTCTAAGCCACACAGACGCCTCCGGCCCATTCTAAACTGCTCAAGCCAAAAGCACAAGATGAGACATCCCCAAGAAAAGGAAGACCACAAGGACTAGACTAGGTGGGGCTTTTAAAGCCTTTGAAAAATATTAGTAAATAAGATCCTCTTAAACCCAATAAGGGGAAATATAAAATGTCCCAAAGCCCTACCTAGTAGAGTTCTGCCGCATCGCAACCCGAGAGATGCATTCCGAGTGTCTCTTGGAGCCCGGCTTCTTGTCCTGAACACGAAGAGCTGCGGATCATTCGGCTAGAATTTAGGGCTCCATGGGTTTAGGGTTTAGGGTTTAGGGTTGCAAGCTGCCTTCACTGTGCCGGATAGGGATCTTTGGGATAAGCCCGACTCTGCGAAGACGGGTGTCCGAAGCAATGAAAATTGGTTGCAATCCCTGAACCCCCACCCCCACGGCCAACATCTCAATTGAGGGGCCCGTGCGTGATGCCTGCTTGTGTCGAGAGGTAGCACGTGGACAAGCAAACCGCTGGGGGAAAGCTGAAAGTGATTTGCAAGTCAGAGTCAAGGAGCAGTTGTGATGGATCTGTGAGATAACAGACTGTGCTCCATGCTGTGAGTGAGGGGCCAAAACGATCCAACGCCTGAAGTTTCAGCTGGGAAACAATTTCTTCGTTGAATAAGATAGCATGACAAGACAACTAGTCAGTCAGTAGCATCCGCAGCATCAGCCCGATATATCTTCTTGGAAGTACACATGTATAATCGCATAATATCGTATACTTATATCAAAATGAATGGGAATGAGTAAGTGCCCCAAGGAGCACGTTCTCGCTTTAAGTGGCTCACCCGCATGTTTCCCTCCCAGTATGAATACTAGAGGGTTAGAGTTGAGGGGTTTTAGGGGGGTTTAGGGTGTATAACACCTGTGGCCCAAAAGACCTACCCTTTTGAGGAACTGTATATAGAAAACAGAATCGGGAACCCTAAACAAATCGGCCACAGGTACACCCTAAGCCCACAAGCCCAAACCCTCAACCCTACAACAGTCCCAGAGAAGCTCTCGGCAACCCAAATCTCAAGCAAAACCTCCAATGCGAATCTCCGTGCCTGAAGCCCCAACACATAGAATGAAGGCGGGAAACTCAAAACCAGAAAGCCCTACTCTAAAGTCCTCCAACCCTCCAACCCTAAACTTCTAACCATCCGAAAAGCCTAAAGTCGTAAGAACCCCAAAACCTCGTTGAAAAAAAAGCCCTCAAACAACCTACGAAGCCACAACCCCCAAACCCCGCAACACTTGCCCTAAAGACCCTAAACTCCTATAACCCCAGACCCTAATTTCCTAAACCTTAAACCCTGAACTCTGAACCCTAAGCCCTTCAACCCTAAACCCTTAACCCTATACCCTAGGCCCCTAAACCCCAAACCCTAAACCCCCAAACACCAAACCCGAAACCCCAAACCCTAAACCCCCAAACACCAAACCCGAAACCCCAAACCCTAAACCCCCAAACACCAAACCCGAAACCCTAAACCCTAAACCCCCAAACCCTAAACCCCAAACCCGAAACCCCTAAACCCTAAACCCCTAAACCCTAAACCCCAAACCCTAAACCCCAAAACGAAAAAAGGCTCTTCTTGGGCTCAGGTGCCATCTTTTTGCTAGCGGCACGCTCAAGGCCCTCCCGAAAGTCTTGCTTCGAGTGTCGGATGAGGTAGCCTAGGAGTTTAGGGTTTGGGGGGTTTAGGGGTTTAGGGGTTTAGAGTTCAGGGTTTAAGGGTTTAGGGGCTTTGGGGTTTAGGGGTTTTGTGGTTTAGGGGTTTGGGGGTTTAGGGTTTAGGGGGCCTCAACCCTTAACTTGAGGGTTTAGCCAAGGTTCCGCTAGGGGTTCTTCAAAGGGTTGCTGCAGGTTTTGGAGTACAGTCCCCTATGGCCATAGTAGCCTCTTCTACTTTGAGGATCATTGGACTTTGTAAGTAAGGTTATAAGTACCTTAGTTTGGGGCCTTAATAGTTACCTTAATTATAACATTAGTTACTAAGTCCCATGATCCTTTAAGTAGTCTTGATTATCTTGACTAGAAGAAGTACCAGGGAGGCGACTCCTCCGAGCTCGGCACTTCAGGGTTCGGGGGCTTCCGGGGGGGGGGGCTGAGCATCATAGGATCTTTGAGCTACCGTGCCTTTAGAGGCTAATGCTGTCCGGTCTCATGCTGAACGGGTGCAGAAAGCTGCAAAACCCCGAGGGCTCTCAGGCCCTGTCTTAGGTTTAGGGATTTAGTGTTTGAGGATTGCGGGGGGTTTAGAGTCTTACTTCAATATCCCAAGTCATGCTGGTCTTCTTTTGGGCACAAGGGTGTGAAGACGCTCGGGATGCGGATTTTTGAATTGTGAATCAGGCCTTGTATTTTGGTCTTCTGACATGAAGACCCCTGTGTTCTCTTGTCAGAGTCCTGGAGGCTCACTATGCGGTTGGGGCGTGACGCTTATGATTTGGGATATAGCGTTTAGGATTGGGTTAAAGTTTAGGATGTATGGGGCGGTTTCTGCAGGGGCTAGGCCGAACACGTGTTTGCGCGCATACAGGGTTTGGGGACAACGAGACAGAGACATAAAACGGGCCTGAAAACGGAACTTGCGCGAGGCATTCGCCGCGAGTTCTTCGGGATTTGTGAGTTCTGCCGCGGCCGTGCGCGACCACTGAACAACAAATTGCCAGAACTGAACCTGGGAACCCTAAACCCTGAACCCAAAACTGGGTTGGCCTTGAAACACCCTGAAAAATATTTATATATAGGGTCCCCTATAAACCCAAATAAGGAAAATAAAAAATGTCCCAAAATCCAACCTAGTAAACCCTAAACCCTAAGAATGGTCTAAGGGCACCTTTCGGACAGCGTCGGACAAAGACTGGAAGGAGCCTATTTCCAAAGATACGGAGGCATTCCATAAAGTTTGAAGTTTGAACCCTTTGAAGGGATCTACAGCGCTTAGGGGCTCTATCTATGGTTCCTTTTACGGGATCTATAAGGGTTCAATAAGCGGAACATGCGACATCATAGTTGACATGGAAAACAGAATCTGGAGGAAGAAAGCTCGTCAGAAGTGCTTCAGCACGGGGCATGCTTCCGTCGTATACACACGCCCACGTGGTCACGGTGTGAAAACGGTGGCTTTCTGACTTCGTGATCGGCCGTACCAGACCTGGACGCGGAAAACCCGGTTCCTGGCAGAAACCTTGAAACGACAATCAAGCCTGGGCCTCTGCTAGACCCTACATCCTAAACCCTAAACCCCTAAACCCTGCCCCAATGCCACCAGAGCCACAAGGATTCTTCCGCCAGGTGCTTGTGCCGAAAGCACCCCCAGAGGTCTCAATGACAAACCTTTCGGGAGCTCCCGTGAACAACGCATAGTGCCGGCTTCCACAATGCGTTTGGGCTGGATTGAGGGATAGTCCTAGAGTCCTAGAGTTGCACTTCCGGGATTCTGAGCGAGACTTCGCACACTGGAAGGCTCCCGGAGAAAGGTGGAACGTGTGACTTTTGCGGCGATGGCTGGGGTATCCGTAGTTGGGTGGGTCGCATGCTATCAAGAGCTTAAAGTTCCCATTCCTCATGCCAAGCGATCAAAGCACCTCTAAAATCCAAAACATATCCTTCGAACACCGGAAAGCCATGGTCAACCCAGATCCTGCATACCTGCGACCTTTGTAGTCAAACCATAATCCTGCAAGCGCCCAGGCTGAAGCGTTTACAATCTTCCACATCGCCAGGATGCTCCCCATGGATGGTCGAGACATCCGCCCGAAGACGCTTTATCTCGGCCTAGCCAGTCACGAAGAACAACAGGCACACTGCCCAGCCATGATATTCATGCTGTTTCGAACGTAGAAGCCGACATGACTGCAACCATCCCGATTTTACAAGGTCACCCACGTGAGCATTAGCACGACTTTCAGATAGAAGGAACATAGGATTGTGAACTTTCCCGGCACAACTATGACTGCTGCTGCCTCTGCAGCCACTCTAAGACCAGCGCGACTGCAGCTACGACTTTCGGTACTCGGCAAAGCCAGCAAAAACATCCGACAGAAATCCGATCATACACGAAACCTCGCTCTGCAAACGAACCTCAAACAGGCAAACAATATAGCTACCTGGATGGCACCACTCCGCCACTCGCCGCCGTTGCGCTCCTCAAAGGCCTTTAAGGCCAGTCCTGGCAAGGAACAGTCTGAACTCTAAACACCCTAAACTAGGATACCCAGTAACCTAAGAATAAAAAGGCCTCTCTTTTTGGTATTGGGTAACTTTATAAGGAGCCTAGGACTACAAAAAGGGAATAAGGGTACTACTGGGCATCCTAGTAAACCTCAAACCCCAAACACCCTAAAATAGCGGGTCTTGTGACGTAGCAGGTATCGGTTGTCGGGAGTTGTTCAAAGGGTCTCGGGTAATATAGGGGGCCTAAATAATTACCCACATTTTTCCTGCTGTTCCTCGCATTAGTTATAGTATCATATGCCCCGAAACCCATTCTAATTACCAAGGCCCCTTTTTTGATCCCTTATGGAACGCTCAAAAGGAACCCGTATACTACCCTTTAAAGGAACCCTATTCTAGTTATTGAGGCCCCTGTATCATACTCAGGAGATCCTCCAAGGAGGGTCTTGCAAAGCTTCAGCTGAAGCTTCGGGGATGGGCCCTGAGGGTTCTCATGTGTGAGGCTTGGGCCCTAAACCCCTAAACCCTAAACCCTAAAACCCCCAACGCTAAACTCTCGATCCTGACCCCTAGACCCTTAAACCCTTAAACCCTAGATCCTAAACCCTTAAACCCTATACCCCCAAACCCCAAACCCATAAAACCTTAAACCCTAAACCTGAAATCCTAAACCCTGAACACTAAATGCCAGGCATGGGCCCTAAACCTTAAACCCTGTAGGGCTTGGGTATGAGCCCTCGGCTTTCGGGATCAAGCCGAAGCGGCAGGATTGCAAACAATTTCTATCACTACTCTACCTAATGTAGGGGCATTAATAAGTAGAATAAGGGTCCCTTTAAAGGATTCATTTAAAGGGGTATATAGGGTATCTATAGTAGGGCAAAAAAGAAGGCTTTATTAATTAGAGTAGGATTTGAGAGGTATTTTAAGAGGTCCTTTAAGGTTTCGCTATATAGGGGCCTTAATGATTAGAATAGGGTTTCGGGGCCCAGTATACTATAATTATATGAAGGAGTCGCCAAATAGTGTTGGTAATGAATTATTGGTAATTAACTATTAAATTAAGGCCCCTACATTAAACAAACTTGGCAGCTGGAGGTACTGCTAAAGCTAAGACTGTGCTTGGAGTACCTTAATTGGGGTTATAAGTAGTTATAAGTATAGTTACCCTAATTATAACCCCAGTTACTAAGTCCCATGATCCTTTAAGTGGGCGCTAGGGTTGAAGCTCCAGATTAGGCATGGCAACAGCCTTAAATGTAGAGCCTGTTACGTAAACCGGGGCATTATAAAAGACTTAGGGTTTAGGGTTTAGGGTTTAGGGTATAATCTACCACCAAACCCTATTCTCATCATTAATGCCCCTACCTATTGACATGCAGAGGCAACCAAACCGGTAGGGTACGCCAAGCGACCTCGGTGATACAGCGCGAAAGCCAGAGAATACTTCCCAGTGGCGCAGGCGTTCCTTGGAGACTGCCATAAACTGAGTTTAGGGTTAAGATATGAGTTTAGGGTTAAGATACGAGTTTAGGGTTATGATTTTTTGGTTTAGGGTGTAGGCCCTCGGCAGTTTAGGGAGGTCAGCAGATGTCGACAGAGCAGAATCCAACGCGTCCGCTCCTAGATACGAGGAAGAACAAGTTAAGGCAAAACAAAGATCTACCCTCGATCGAGCAGTGAAAGGCACATAGAAAGTAGATCCCCTAATTTGGGGCCCTATACTACTAAGGGTACTTTATAGAAACCCCCATTATCAAAGTAATCCCTAGAGGCACAACTGGTAACCTGAGCGCTTGGCAGCCCAACCCTGAGATCGAACATGAATCCAGAGTGTTCAGTCATAGGGACCCTTAGGGGGGTAGGGGGGAGGGGGGTACGGGACTAGACTTCCTCAAATAGGTCTTATTAAGTCCTTCTTGTAGGTATTGAGGCCCCCCTACCCCCCTCCCCCTAACCCCCTTAGGGGTCCTATGATTCAGGGTTTGCAGCTTTGGTGAACCCAGACTCACAGGTTTGGGGTTTGGGTGAGACTTTGAGATCCACTCTTTCGAGAGCTGCCCCCGCAGATCGTAAACACTTTACACAAGCATCGGACCGTGCCGGACTGTACTTAAAGGATCATGGGACTTAGTAACTAGGGTTATAATTAGGGTACTATACTTATAACTACTTGTAACCCCAATTAAGGTACTTATAACCTTACTTACTAAGTCCCATGATCCTCCAAGTAGGCAAGGGACCTCAGCGCCGAGGTTACGAAATCGAGCTTCTTCTTCCTGCATAAGAGAACATCAATTTCAGGGGCCAGGCTCGAGAGCGGTCTGTGGGGCTTCACGGGATATCTCAAGTGGTTGGATATGGGAGTCTCAGAAAAATCATGGGTACCTTATTTTGGGTTCACATATTTGTTAATAGGGATCCTACCATTTAGGGTACGATACTAGGGTCCCCTACTTTCGGAAACTCCCATATGTCTTTATCGCAAGAATCTGCACTGCTAGTTCTGGGGGGTTCATACAGAACCTGGCGTCAGCTGTTGACAACCAGGCTGCATTGGAGTTACAGCTCTGGCTCGGTTTCAGGGAATACTGGGGCCTCAATAGTTGAAACAAGTTCTTCGGGTACGCTCTGCCTGGTATGCCAACACAATAAACCCTAAGAAGTCGTGTTGGTAAACACGTAGGCCCCCGAATGCACTGCTCGCAATTACTAAAATGACCTCAACGATCTGCGCACCCTCCTGAGTCGCGCGTAGGGCTCCGCCAGGAACTCTGGCGTCACGCTGGCCTGCTCTGATCATCTTAGAGTTTGGGATTTGGGGCTTGGGCATTAACCCTGAACCTTAAAGTTGAAGGTCCTAGGGATCCCTAAACCCTTTTTGGGTAGTTAGTTATAAGTTTTGGGTAGTTACAAGTGGGTTATAAGTAGGGTAACTATACTTATAACTCATATTAGGGGACTTATAACCCTACTGATAACTACCCATGAACCTCACAGCAGGCCCTCAACCCTATACCCTTATAGAATCCCTATAGATCCCGTTAAAGGGACCCTTAAAGGACCCTTTATCCATGAACCTCCAAGCAACAGAAGTTAAAACAGCCTTTGCAAAATGCCGCCTCTCTGGCTGCTGTGATCGCCACATGCAAGTCCCTCAGGCTCCTGGCTGAGTACTATAAGGGGGGGTTTAGGGTTTAGGGGTTTAAGGTTTAGGGTTTAGGGTTTGGGGTTTAGGGTACTATAGGGGCCCTAATAACTAGAATAGGGTTCCTTTCAAGAGTATGATAAGGGTTCCTTTTTAAGTTGGAGGTGTTCTCTACCATCATTTACTATGGGATTTGCGCTACCCACCCTGGGCCCTCAGTTACCGCTCCGTTACAGCTTCCGTTACAGCTCTGTTGCAGGTCCGTTACAGCTCCGTTGCAGGTCCGTTACAGCTCCGCTACAGCTTCTGCTACAGCTCCGCTGCAGCTCCGTTACAGCTTCCGTTACAGCTCCGTTGCAGGTCCGTTACAGCTTCGTAGCAGGTCCGTTACAGCCTCGCTACAGCTTCTGCTACAGCTCCGTTACAGCTCCGTTACAGCTTCTGCTACAGCTCCGTTACAGCTCCGTTACAGCTTCCGTTACAGCTCCGTTGCAGGTCCGTTACAGCTCCGTTACAGCTCCTGCTACAGCTCCGCTACAGCTCCGTTACAGCTTCCGTTACAGCTCCGTTGCAGGTCTGTTACAGCTCCGTTGCAGGTCCGTTACAGCCCCGCTACAGCTTCTGCTACAGCCCCGTTACAGCTCCGTTACAGCTTCCGTTGCAGCTCCGTTGCAGGTCCGTTACCGCTCCGTTGCAGGTCCGTTACAGCTTCGTAGCAGGTCCGTTACAGCCTCGCTACAGCTTCTGCTACAGCTCCGTTACAGCTCCGTTACAGCTTCTGCTACAGCTCCCTTACAGCTCCGTTACAGCTTCCGTTACAGCTCCGTTGCAGGTCCGTTACAGCTCCGTTACAGCTCCTGCTACAGCTCCGCTACAGCTCCGTTACAGCTTCCGTTACAGCTCCGTTGCAGGTCTGTTACAGCTCCGTTGCAGGTCCGTTACAGCCCCGCTACAGCTTCTGCTACAGCCCCGTTACAGCTCCGTTACAGCTTCCGTTGCAGCTCCGTTGCAGGTCCGTTACCGCTCCGTAGCAGGTCCGTTACAGGCCCGCTACAGCTTCTGCTACAGCCCCGTTACAGCTCCGTTACAGCTTCCGTTACAGCTCCGTTGCAGCTTCTGCAGCTCCGTTACAGCTTCCGTCACAGCTCCGTTACAGCTCTTTTACAGGTCCGTTACAGCTGAGCGACAAATCCGTTACAGCTCCACTACGTTCCGTTACAGTTTCTGTTGTAAGCCCCGTTGCCGGCACGGAGTCGCCAGGGTTTCTGTCATAGTAGCGGCCTACAAATGATGGTAGAGAACACCCCCAATTTTTAAGGGTTCCATAAGGAATCTATATAGGGGCCCTAATAACTAGAAAAGGATTCCTTTAACGGGTGTGATAAGGGTTTCATAAGGGATCTATATAAGGGCCCCAATACCTAGAATAGGGTTTTGGGGCCCATTTTCCTATAACTATAACAAGGAGCCCCCAAAGTAGTATAGCTAATTGCTAAGGCCCCTAGAGTAGCTTCAGGCTTCCACTTCAAGTAGTCGTAGTAGTGATGGTGGTCGTGGCGGTAGTGGTAGCTTTGGCAGCAGTGGCAACAAGTAGTCGTCGCCGTCGATAGTAGCAGTTGCGCCACAGAAGTAGCAGCAGCAGTCGGCCGTAGGAGAAGTAACGACGCTGGAGCAGCAGTGTAACACTGACACCACAGCATGCGACACTGAACGATACGGAGGGAGAATTCCATCAGTTGACGACGACAGCATCTACAACAGGGTACTACTGATACCGAGAACCAAAAGCAAGAGTAGTCATATCATATCAACAACAGCGACAATCGCTTTATGAGCTCCTCAGCAGCCTGAGCAGAGGGTTCAAAGCAGCAGCATCAGAAGCAGAAAGAGATCTTCAGGTAAGGAGCAAGAGTAGAAGCCGTAGCCGTAAGTGCAACAGAGCTCGCTGATCATCACTAGTCTCTCTGTCCTTCCCCTTTCTGCAGAGATGGCAATGGCATTCTGGAGCACTTCCTGCCGCCTTCATGGCTTCGAAGATTCGCTGACGTTTCGATTTGGAGGGCTGCGGGTTTGAGGTTTCAGGTTTACTGTTACTTCAACATTAAAGGCTTAGGGCTTAACAGGTTTGGGGTTTATGGTTTAGGGTTTGAGGCTACTTCAACTTCAGACCAGCTCTGGAACGAGGGTATGAGTCTGACTGCTCGCGCAGCATACCTCTGGTCGGCAGTATACTGTCTTCGACATCCTGAGTCCTAGCTTAGCCAGCAGCAAGCCGTACACTGGCAAGCTCCTTGCCCCGAAACAGGTCAAAAGCCTGACGTTGATGTACTCGGTGCGGAATGTGATTTAGCACTTTTGAGCATGCCTCCCCTATGATCGACCATGAGGGACATGCTCCCGAAACCTGTCCTGCAGAAGTCGGATCATATAGGGGCCTTAATAATTAGAATAGGGCTTTCGGGAACTATAGTAAGGAACCGCCAAAACAGTATAGGGGAAAAAACCCTATATTGTCATCTCAAGTTTAGAAACCTCTGCTGCTAGGCTCAAACCCACTCTTGGAGCCCTTTGAACAAACCCTGTCCGAAAACTTCCGCTGCTGTGGCGAGTTTGTGCAGAAAATCTCACAGCCTGAAAGAAGTGACGATCCTTCAAACCGCACACTGTAAATTCCCCAACACGACAACCCTAAACCCGACGTCAGTTTACTTGCGGTTTGTCAATCTTACGCAAAAACCTGAGTTAGAGTCATGAATCTAACGCTACTTTTGCATCTTGTTACGATGCGCTTATCTAAGATTCCGGGTGTACGGAGTGCAGCGTTTGGGGTGTCGGGTTCTAGCATTCAGGGCTTCAAGACTTTAGGGATTAGGACTTAACCCCAAATCTTAACAATCTTGAACCATGAACCCCAACATAGGGGCCTGAATCATTAGAATAGGGTTTTGGGGTCCAATACACTATAATTCAAAAGAAAGGAGCCCCCAAAGCGGTATAGGTAATGATTGAGGCCCCATGGCATACTGCCACTACCCGAAGCCCGAGGCCCTCAGACCATCTCGGCGCCTGTCACCTTCTTCCTCAAGGAGAACTCGGAGCTCTTCGGCCTCTCCGATGCCCTTCCTCGGCCACTTGATGGATCTGAGGTCTCGTCTTTACGATACTACCGTTGCCAGCAGTTCTCTCAAGGAGTATCAACTCTACTTTCGCACTGTTGCTTTGTTCTTTGTGCTACATCCGGGATCAGCAACTTAGCAGAAAGAAATGTGGTGACCAGCGCTTCTCCATCCGACGCAACCTTCTCTCCGCATGAATGCTGTAATATGGGGCCTCAATAATTACCTATACTATTTTGGGGGCTCTTTATGGTAAGTAAGGCTCCAAAACCCTATTCTAATTATTAAGGCCCCTACTGTATGTTGCCCGTCTTACTGTGGTTGAATATTGCTTTGCTGGCACTGTTAGTGCCGTGATTGAGTTTTTAGATTCGTGTGCCGACTTCTCTGACTTCTGGTGCTAATGGTGATGGTGATGATGACGATGATGATAATGACGTTGATGATGAAATTGATGGTGGTGTTGACGATGATACTGCTGACGATGTTGATGATATGAGGATGATGGTGCTGGTGATGTTGATGTTGAAGGTGGCGATGATGTTGTTGCGGGTTGTTATGATGATGTTGGTGATGCTGCTAATGATGCTCATGAGGATGACGATGGTCATGAAAAGGCGGAGGGGGAGGAGGAGGAGGAGGAGGAGGAGGAGGAGGGTGATGAGGATGATGAGGACGTTGATGACCGTGAGGAGCGGGAGAGGGAGAAGGAGGAGGGAGGAGGAGGAGGAGGAGGAGGATGCAGTAATGTGTGACCGGTGATGGCTGCTGGGTGGTGATGATGACGATGATGATGATGATGACAACGAGGAGGAGGAGAACGGAGAGGACGAGGAGGAGGACGAGGACGATGACGAGGACGATGACTAGGACGAGGATGAGGAGGACGACGATGTGCAGGACCAAGATGGTTGATATGATGGACTCTATCAGGCGATTCTCCTGTTGTTTGGGACTCCAGGGGGAGAGCTTTCGGGTGTCGGGATTATGTTATACGAGTTCCAAGCAACTAAAGTTGAAGCACCTGCCGCAGCAGCACTCTCCAAACCCTAAACCCTAAACCCGCATATAGCTGGAGTACTGAGGCTCGGTCGCCTGTCACATCGGGCGAGGGCTACGAGGCGAGGCTCCAGTCGTCAGAGAACCGAGCATCCAAGCATTTTTGGAATCGGTTTAGGGTTCATGCTTTAAGGTGTTCAGCTCCCTCGGATCATCATGGGTGTTTCCGAAAATTAGGCGTACCTTATTTTGGGGTCCTGAAAATGAGGATCCTACTATTTAGGGCCCTACGTTAGGCTCCCCTATTTTCGGAAACCCCACAGCCCCTTCTCCAACTTTTTGCCAAGTCACTTCGCCTCTTCCTGTGCAGACATCTCGCACGCCTGCTTTCTTCTCGAATCTTGACTTCTCATGTGGGTGGTTAGGGTTTAGGGTTTAGGGTTTTTGTCAAAATTGTGGTTCCTTGCTGGAAACCCTAAATTACAATAATGCCCCAAAAAGGGACCCTAATTTTGACAACCACCCATGCCCACAAGGGTTCGCTCGATACTTCAGACTGCTGAGCCAGATTTCTCTCCCTTTGAAGACTGTGGGTGCTAGACTGCCACAATGCTCAGAATGACATGCGAGCGTGTCAAGCGGAGTACGAGGGTCTCTGACCTTCCACATCCTGCACAGAAGAACCAAACACCCAAGCCCTTCATCGCAACAACCTCACAGTCCAACCTTAAAAGGTGTAAATGGTGTCTAATTCGTACCCATGGGTCCCCAAACATGTTTCTGCGGGATTAAGCAAGGGCCCCAAGAATGATTCGTGGCTGAGGGTCTGCTGCTCCTGCTCTTGCACTGGACTCGCCAGCTCACAGTGCGTGATGTTCTCGAAACTACAACTCTGAGTCTCTCGGCTTTCGCTGAATACTACGTTAGCCAACTCCTCCTATAAACCGGTCTAGTCAAAACCAAGGCCAGCCAATGGAATTCTGGGAGCGAAATCCAACCGAATCCTGGGCGTCTTGCGAATACCCGCTCTCTTTAAGGGCCTGCATGTGAGGATTCCTAGTGTAGTTCCCTTGATGTAGCAGGCTCAGTAATCCGGTGTCTACATTGATGCTCTCCTGCTCTGGGTTTGCTACTGCTCTGCTGCTCTGCTGCTCTGCTGCTATCATCTGCCATACTGCTATACTGCTACTGCTACCTGCTACCTGCTACCTGCTACCTGCTACCTGCCACCTGCCACCTGCCACCTGCCACCTGCCACCTGCCACCTGCCACCTGCCACCTGCCACCTGCAACCTGCAACCTGCTACCTGCCACCTACCAACTGCGACCTGCTACCTGCTACTGCTCCTCCTCCTCCTCCTCCTTCTCCTCCCCCCCCCTCGTCCTCCTGCTCTTACTATATGCTACTGCCAAAACAACGACGACGACTGCGACGACGACGACAAAAAGGACGAGGAATGCACTTTGTGCCTGGATGGCGTGGCCAAGCCGAAGCGCTGACAAGGAAACGTCTTCCGGTGACATGGGCAGGCCTCGGCAGATTCTCTGAGTTTAGCTTAAGCTTTCTATTTCATGGTGACAGCTTCAGCTTTGATGCAGATTTTGACGATGATGACGGTGATGATGATGATGATGTCCAGTTCATAGCACTTGCCATTGAAGATGGTGGTCGTCATGGTCGAAGTTGCCGAAGCAGTGGCCGAAGTCGCAGCCATCGTTACCGTCGTTCCAGTGGCAGTAGCAGCACCAGTAGCCGTAGCCGTAGCAGTAGCAGTAGCGATAGCAGTAGCAGTAGCAGTAGCAGTAGAAGCAGTAGCAGTAGCAGTCACAGTGGGTGCGACGAAGGTGGTGGCGGCGGCGGCGATGGTGGTGGTCGCCATCATTGTGGCAGAGCTCCTGTCTCCATTGTAAGCATGTTTGCCGACTTGTGCATCTCCTGCGTAATGATGCTGTGGTTTGCTTCTACGTAGTTGCTGTCCTCGTTGCTAGTCCTGATTTGCCGCATTCTTAGGGTCCCCATTCATGAATACAGGCAGTGTTGTTCTGATTCTGGTATCTTACGTGTTCCGATTATCTCTCATGTTGCCACCACCTGCATCTCGCCAAGCAACACAGGCTTCGATCGTCTGTTATCTTAATTGGGCGGAGCACTGTCGTGGTCGCTGCAAGGTGTATATTCAGACAGAGGAAAAAATAGGTCATCTCGAGGAGCGCAGCACTGGGCTAAGACCCTGATGCCTGAGTCCTACCAGTAGTAAGCTTTTAACCCTAAATTTGTCGGATCCTTATTGTAAGGACCCTGAAATAGCAGGAACTTAGATGAACAATGCTCCTGATCGGAAGGATCCGTATAGCAAGAAGCCTTCATGGTGGCATCCTGCTTTCGCATAAAGAGACCTCTACCCTCCCGTAAGTTCAACCAAACCTCCATCCTTTCGCCTGTAGTTAGAATATTTTTGTTTTTTAGTGTGTTTCTTTTTTTTTGGGGGGGGGTTACATTATACTCTAATTATTTAAGGAACCCCCACAATAGTAAAGGTAGTTCTCTTTAGGGCCCTATACTGGGACCCGGGCCTCCTAGGATGTCCTTCGCTTCCTTCACCGCCATCACGAAGGAGCGCTCAGCCGCCAAAGCCATGGAAATGTCCTTCGAAACTACCAGTTCATGGTTGGGATAGGGTTAAAAATCTAAAACTAATATTTCTTATTGGGTTTAAGTACCCATAAACATGTAAAATGCTACCCAACGATGAAAAAGAAAATAAGGGAGCGAAAGAAGGGCTACAACGGAGCCTGGAACGCATGCACGACCAAGCTAAATTCGACCATACTAAAGAGTATACCGTACTTTGCTGGCATATGTGAGAAAGCTTCCATAGTATCGGTTGTATTCCATCTTCGTGCAGTACACTATGTGACATTCTCTTCACACCCCATATCCCTGACTTCCAGGCGTCGAAGATCCGGCTCCCAAAAGCTACACACTTCGGCACCCGGAAACCGGAACCCTGACAGCCAGAACCAGTCGTCTTCACTTAACAACGCCGCTGTGCTAGGCAGATTTCATTGCAGCTGCGATCTGTCGCTAATGGCTGTGGATTTGCAACGCGCCCTGAGTGGAAAATAGGGCTGACCTACCCACCCCTAAGCCCAACAACAAGCCCTTAACCCTCCACCTCAACCTCCTCGATGATGCTCTTCTCCAAGCGAGGCTGCAGCATCCTAGCAGCGTCCGCTGCATCCTGGCGCCAAAAACTGACAGACAAAAGAATAATATATATATATATATATATATATATATATATGTATATATATATATACATATATATATACATATATATATATATAGGTGGTGATTGAAGCTCCTATATTACGTTGGGTTGAGGAGCTCCAAGATCCACATTGAGGAGCTGGGGCTTTCGACTGAAGCACCCCTGCAAAGCCCGCGGCAACACTACGAATCCTGCCATACATGGGGGTTTCCGGAAATTCAGGGGTAGCTTATTTTGGGGTCCTTGTAAAAAGGATCCTACTAGGGTACTATATTAGGGTCCCCTGTTTTCGGAAACTCCCACATCTCGAACAGGAGCCCCAGAGCCACCAGCCCTACACACAATGCACCAACCTAAACTTAAAGCCAAAGCATAAAGTTCCTCAAGTCCCTCAACCCTAAACCCTAAACCCTAAACCCTAAACCCTAAACCCTAAACCCTAAACCCTAAACCCTAAACCCTCAACCCTCTACCCCTAAACCTGAAAACCCTGAAACCTTCCCAAACGACCAAAGTCAGCGTGCCGCCTGCAGCCGCAGGAAGCGGCCCTCTGCCGAGAGCTCTTGGATATCATCCGCTTCCTGGAGTAGGGTTTTCCCGAACGAAGGTTTTAGGGGTTTAAGGAATGGGGTTGGCCTTCGGGTTTCGGGATTCAAGCTTAAGGGTTTAGACTGTCGGACTTAGAGGTTTGGGGTTAAGTGTTTGTTGGGGTGTCGCCTTTATGGCTTATTGCAAGCGATATGTTAATTACTGCAAAAGCTTTAGACCCTAAGGGGTTTCCGGCGCTTGGAGATTGGGACTTTCTTCAGGGTTTACGGCTTGGGGGTGGTGAGCTTGAAGTCTAGCTCAAGCCCAGGGATTTTTCGGAAAGATATGTTTGCTAACGGCTTTGCGGATTAGGAGCCAGCATCCGGGGCTCAGAGCGCAGTTGGCGCGCGATGTCAAGATTAGCATCCACATCCATATGGAGTACAGGTTTTGGGCCAGTAAGTCTAAGACTTCGATGCACTTCTTGGGAGGTGCAGAGTGCGGGGTTGAGGGAGGGTTTGCTTCACTATGAACGCACAATGTGTCGGGCTCCGGAATCCGAATGCTCTTGCACCCTTCACTGGAAGCCAACGAGGCAGGGAAGGCACGGCGCCTGCTTAGCCACAAGGAGCTCCAGCTCTGTCTTGGTGTAGCTGAACCATTCCTAGTTTCAGGATTTAGGGTTTAGGGGTTTAGGGGTGTAGGGTGATTTGCGAAGCTCGGGGGCGATTTGGATGGACTTTCTGTACTGCCAGCCACAACACACGAAGAATCTGCGGGCAGTGCCATGCATGCGGCTGGACTACTTCAAAGAAAGAGCTTAGGGGAAAGGGAAAGTATGCCCATCATCTCATGCCTACGTTTGGCTTCAACTCGAACCCTTCGTCTCATTCTCTGCATCTGGATCTGGAACCGCATCCGACCTTCGGGCAACAACTCCAGGATCAGTTCGTCCTAACGGAACTGGCTGCCCGGGATCTGGGAACTTCTTCTCCAGCTTGCCAAAACCTGGCGAGACCAAGTTACAGAGATTGCTGAAAGCACGACTATAAGGGCCACATATACATATACATATACATATACATATACATATACATATACATATACATATACATATACATATACATATACATATACATATACATATACATATACATATATATAAGCGTGCTCTCTGGACAAACTGCTATACTACTTTCCCGACCTCTATATGCGAGTTTCCGAAAATGGGGGACCCTAGTATAGTACCCCAAAGAGCAGGACCCTTATTATAAGGACCCCAAGAGACGGTACCCTCATTTTCGGAAACCCATTTTACGGTACAACTGTTTCGCTGCTGGGGCCTCAAGCTCGAAAGCTCTGACCACTGGAGTGCCCGGAAAACACCCTAAACCCTAAACCCCCAAATCCCTAAACCCTAAACCCTAATCCCCAAAACCACACCGTAAAGCCCCAAAACCCTTCGAAGCGTACCACCGCAGAACGACATCCCTCCTCGAAACCCTAAGCCCCAATACCCCAAGCACTTTTCCCCAACTTCTCTAAACCCAAAACCCCCCAAAGGGCCCCAAACCCAAACCCTGAATCTCCCAAACACTTCCCCAAACCCTAAATCTCCCTACGAATCCGAAGCCCGCAGAAACCGATAAACCCTGCCATGAATGCCCTAAACCCTGCTAAACCCCCCGCAAAGAGCAGAGCGCCGCAAGGGCCGCAAGGGCCCTAAACCCTAAACCCCAAATCCGAAACCCCAACCCAAACCCCAAACCGCAAACCCTAAACCCCTTTACAGAACCCTTGTAGATCCCTGTGAAGGAACCCTTATGGAGCCCTTTGAGGGAACCCTAAACCCTCAACACTCGCCTCGCTCGATGAGGGGCATCGGCGCGCCAGCTAAGCGCGCCCGAATCAGCGAGGCCTGTATGGCTTCTTTTGGGGACTTGGGGGCGGGGGTTGGCGTTTAGGGTTTTGGTTTTGGGGTGGTTTAAGGTTTAAGGGTTTAGGGATAGTGGTGTCGCATTTAGGGTTTAGGGTTTAAGGCTTTGGTTTTGGGGTTAAGGGTTTGGGGAGTATTTTTGGGTGGGTTGGGGGCTTCGGACTTTTTGAGGCTTAGGCATGAAAAAACTGGGGTTTTGAAGGTTTAGGGCTCCGGGGTTCGGAGTTAAGGGCTTAGGGTCTGAGTGTAAAGCTTTTTAGTGAAACCTCGGGCCGGTTTGGGGCTTTAAGCTTTAGGGCTTCTAATACATGGGCCTGAATAATTAGAATAAGGCTCCATTAAAGAGTATTATAATATAAGGATTCCTTTAACGGTTCCATAAGGCATCTATACAGGGGCGTTAATAGTTAGAATAGGGTGTTGGGGTCCATTATCCTGTACTTATAATAAGGAACCCCCCAAAATAGCCCTAAATCCGCGCTTAGGGATTAGGATCCAGTTGGGGTCTAGCCGATAAGCTGTTGAGGCCATGCATGCGTCCCTAAACACCCAACCTAACAGCCCTAAACGACCATACAAAACACGGAAACTCTAACCCAAAAGCCCCAGCCAAAAAAAACACATGCACACACAAACCCGACAGTGAATCCTGAACCCTAAACCAGACAGTGAACCCGAAACACTACACCATACCGGAAACCCTAAACTCCAAACCCTACAGCGAACCCGAACCCTAAACCATGGAGTGAACCCTGAACCCTATACCAGAGCCCAAAACCCTACAGTGAACCCTGAACCCTAAGCCATGCAGTGAACCCTAAACCCTTTACCGAAACCCTAAACCCTACAGTGACCCCGAACCCTAAACCATAAAATAGGGGCCTTAATGATTATACTAGGGTTTGGGGGGATATTATAGTGTAATTATAATAAAGAATCCCAAAATAGCGTAGGTAAGTTTATTTAAGACCCTATACTGTGCAACATCTTTCTGCACCGAGCTTGGAGCCTTCAGGTCTTCCCCGTCGCAATAAGTCGCCGAGATGGCCTTTTCCAACCTCTCGCTCACGAGGTGAGGGCTTAGACGAGGTTAGGGTGCGGTGTAGGGTTTAGGGTTCAAGGTTCAGGGTTTAGGGTGGAGGGTTAGGGATTAGGGTTTGGGTTTGGGTTTAGGGCTCAGGGTGCAAGGGTAGCAGGGTCTAGGAATCAGGGTAAATCGAGAAACCCCGAATCCCCCAAACTCCTCATCCATGAGCCGGCAAAAGCCCTGAAGGTTGCTAAACGCTACTTGGAGGTTCATGGGTAGTTAAAAAGGGTCCTTTAAGGGTCCCTTTAAAGGATTCTAGAAGGGTATAGGGTTAGGGGATCTCGTCGTCCATCCCAGAAGGCTGTACCTCGTTTGCTTTAGTATACCATGGTATATTGAAATCGATGAATCGAAGCGCTCCTGTTGCAAAATCAACTGCTGCTTCTCCATGCTGGTTTAGGGCTCGGGGATTAGGATGTGGGTGGTTGTCAAAATTAGGGTCCCTCTTTGGGTACCTTAAATATTAGGTGCCGTATTGTAATAGGGACCCAAAAAAGGACCCTAATTTTGACAACCACCCAATGTAGGGCTTTGGGCCTTGGATTTCGGGTTGGAGACATTGAGATTTGGGACTGTGCAGCTAGGCGCCACGGGGAGCTGCATGAATATCGAGGTCACACCAATTTCGGAATCGTCTCCTCGCTGCATCCCTCCATAACTATACTATGACTTACCCTCAAAACCCTATCCTTACTTTTTATCTTTACTATTACTGCTGTTTTTATCCATATGATGCTTCTTATCCTTCTTACTACGATTCTTACTTGCAACTGCGACTACTACTACGATACTACGACGACTATGACGACGACTACTACTGCTGCTGTTTATCAGGGCCCCTCGAAGGATGCACCCGAAGTTGCTTTTCACAAACCCGGCGCCATGGGTTTAGGCTTGTGGCTTATGGATTCGGGCTTAGGGTTCAGAGTTTAGGGTTTAGGGGATCTCCTTCACGTTCGGGAGCCTTTTCTCTAGGGATCATTCGACGAGAAAGGGTCCTGCTCATTGTGGCCCCCTGTCTTGTTGAATCTTCCATAGACATGCTTAAGCTTACTACAAGGATCCAAGACTATGGTACCGCTAGAGCCGAAATTGAGTCGTCGTTTCCCTGTTTCGGTCTTCGCTATTCGAGAAGAGATCTAATTTAGGGGCCTCCATGCACAAAAATTTGTAATAGCAATAGACAGGACAGCCGGTCGCAACATTGAACCGAGCCACTCTTCGATCGTCATGGCATAGTCTTTCTGGCCTTTGACAGAAACATGCAGCGCTGCTTCCGGCTTCGCTGTTGTATGCTCTAGTGATTGTAGCAGAACTCGTCAACTATGCCTCTTCTTTGTGAAGAAAGGCCATCCATTTTGCAAAAGCAGTAGCTGCAATGCCGGAAGAAAAACTGTGCAAAAGGAATAACTTCAACAAAGCAAAAAGCTGTACTTGACGTCCCAGGACGGCCCTGATGCCTCCAAACCTGGAACCGCAGGCCTTTGCGAATCCTTAGCCCAGCTCTCTTTCAGCTCACGTCCGTACCCAACAGTGCGGTCAGGGCACATTCCTTAGCCTCTTCAACAAGATCCTCTTTGAGCCCTTTGGGAACCTGCCACGCATCTTCTACTGAACGGCGGGGGGGTCCTATAGGGGTGTGTGGGTTGTGGGTGGTGAATATATTGTTAAGGAACCCGAAGGAATGATATTTCACACTTTCTCCGGCTTCGTCGCTCTCAGTGAGCGCGTTGACACGTGGCTCCGTCGGGTGTCAGACGAGGTTCAGAGTCAGCGCTTGGGGCTCATTGTCTGCGGTTTGAGGGAGTGCGAGCCACGGTCAATGGCATTTGCGTGGCTCCAAAGCATGGGTGTCATCATGGACACAAAGAGCCGGGATTTACATCCGAGTAGCAAAGTTATCGGCAGATCAATACTTCAGAACGAATGTTGCAACTGAGTTGCAGCGATCGAAAGTCCTAAACCGTTCACCCGAAACTCCAACGGGCTCGAAACGGTGTCATAAGACATGAGCAATATGTAACCGTGGTGGGGACGTACTAATAGGTAGGTAGGGTGGTAGGGTGGCAAACGTAGCTGGCAGGCATTCTAGTTTTGCGTGTGCTCCTGACTATCCATGACGCTGCTGCTCATCCGTGATTTATCGTACTTCAGCTTCTCCGCCCGGCAGTCGAAATCGTCCATGGATTTCCGCACGCTCGCATGATACAACGGTCAAGATCAACAGTACAAGGCTGGGCTTGCTACCACGAAAAGGGAGATGGAAGCTGGTCCTTCGCATAGAAAACCTAGCCTGAGGCATGACGTGTCTCGCTGCGCCGTGCTGTCTTCAGTAAACAATACACAGCGCCAGGAGCCTGCGCCTCTGCTGCAGCAATCACCTGCGCGGATGAGAGCGATGCTGCTTGCGTTGTAATTTACAAAGTTGGACCCATACGAGAGACAGACCGACGGGCGGAGGGACGGACGGACGGAAGGACAGAGAGAAAGACAGACAGACAGACAGACAGACAGACAGACCGACGGACAGACAGACAGACAGACAGACAGACGTACAGACAGAGACATAGATAGAGATGTATGCTGTGGGTGTATATAGGTATATACACTTACACATATGTACACCCATGTAGGTATACACCGATATGCATGTACACATATGCATGCATATAAATGTACACATACATTGCATATACAGCTGCATACATATGCACCTACACCTACACAAACACATGCGCAAACACAAACACGTATACATGTACATATACATACACATATACATACACGTACACATACACGTAGTCATATACCTATACCTATACCTACGCCGATACAGATACAGATACATATACATACAGATGCACATATACATATAGATGTACATATACGTATACAAACATATACATATACATATACATATACATATACATATACATATACATATACATATACATATACATACACATACACATATACATATACATATACATATACATATACATATACATATACACATACATGTACATGCACATATACTGCATGCTTGTATATACATATACCCGTATAAACATGTGCTCGTGTAAACATACATGAACACACACACACATGTGTACAAGGGGCAGCGATAAACCCGCATCATCCACTACAGCCACACCACCCAACAAGCACGACCAGCGCCTCCGGTAGCTCTTCCGCGTAGCGCTCCACTGCCCCCAGGACTCGCTCAATGTTTGCCGTGGCCCACGCGACGTTCGAGAGATCCTGACAGCTTATTCTCCTTGGGAACTTGCTGACATACATTTCAGGTTTCGGGTAGAAGTATGTTGAGGTTATGGATGGCGGTGGCGGCGCTGAATATAAAGATGACGATGATGATGATGATGGTGGTGCTGGTGGCTATTCTTACATTCACAATGATTAATTAAAGGGTCGTGAAAGTGCTACATTCTGTGGATCACGCTGGCATTTGTGTTCTTCTTGTCACACATTATGCTAGTCTTCGGTCTTTAGGAGGAAATCACTAAATGATGTTGCTGCTGCTGTCAAGAGCATGTGCTTGCACAAATGCGGTAAACAGAAACAGAGGCGTCCCTGCAAAGCAACTTCCGACACGAGAGTAGCACTTCGACTATGCGTCGAACAATGTATGTCGAACAACTGTATGCCGTCAAGCTTCACGACCGCCAGGTAAGACCAGCTGTAAACCTGCCAAGGGCCAGAGGCAAGCGAAATATGATGACCGAAGATCAGTCAGAGCAGCATATTCAATCGCAGAGGCTAATGTCGCTACAGCGTCCCTTTTGTACTAGCTGTCTTCCTACCGTTTGTTTTTACCCGCCTGATGTAGTCTGCTGTTCCGGTCCTGTCCGCTCTCATTGTTAAGGTTGTTTGTTCGTTCGGCTCACATTGCACCCATGGGAAGCCAGAACATCTCACCCCGAATTTTAAACCCTAAGCCCTAACCTTAGACCTTAAACTTCTTCGGCTTGAAGAATGCTGGACCTCTCATGTCACGCTCCAGTGTGCGGATGGCCACGTCGGGTACCTCAAGGGTCAAACAGGTCTTTTTCACAATGCTCCCTGAGGGTATCTACCGTTTGGGGCTTTCGAAGGTTTAGGCTTTAAGGTTCAGGGCTAGAGTGGCTAGAGGCAGCTGGCATGTCGCAACTTCCCGTATCCAATGCAGCATGTTTCTCAAGGCGCAAGGATGTGGGATAGCATAGCTGTCCCTAAATTCGGCACAAGCACGCAGGTCAGGAAAGCTGCCAAAACTCGATGCACAGTCTCTAGATTCAGATGCCCCAATGGTTTAGGGTGTAGGGTGTGTGCTTCCGCGAGATGGAACGTCAACTTCATCGTCAGAACTCTACATGGACCCCGCGAAGCACACAAGCGATCCCCATGACGTTCCAGGAACGGTGCTATGACTGGAAACCTCAAGCCAGGCACGGACACGCAGCTTCCCAAACACCTGTTGCCATGTCTCCGTCAACCCTCAACCCTAACGCCTTTAAACTTAAAGTAACATCCCAACCACCTCAACCCTAAACCCTAAACCCTACACCCTGAACCCTAAACCCTAAACCCTAAACCCTAAACCCTAAACCCTAAACCCTAAACCCTAAACCGTAAACCCTGAAGCCTGAAGCCTGAAGCCTGAAGCCGAAACCGTCATAAGCCTGAAGGAATCTCCGACTGTTCGCCGTGGCCTTGTTGTTTCCTGTCTTGGACTTGAACGTATCCAAGGCTTCCTGGAACAAAGGGAACTTGTGGGGCTTTGGGCTTTGGGTTTGTTTTAAGGCTTTGGGTTTTATTTTTAAGGCTTTGGGTTTAGAGTTTAGGGTTTTGGCTTAGGGTTTTGGATTTAGGCTTTTGGGTTTTGGGCTCCGGGTTTCAGGGATTTGGGGTTTAGGGTGCAGGGCTTTAGGGTTCAGGGGTGCGAATCCAGGTACAGATGTGGTGGTCGGGAGATCCAGGTTTCAGTGGGTTGCCTCCGGCACCCTAAAACCCTGAACCCCAAAACCTATACCCCTAATGCCCAAACCCTAAAGCCCTAATCCCTGGACCCCAGAACCCTAAACCCTCCAACTTCCTTATAATCGCAAGCCCGGAACCCTATCACCTCTTTAACCTGTAGGCCCGAAACCTTTGCATATGCTCTGCTGTCCGACACTACCTTGGGGTATGTAGGGCACATAGATCCATCACCACCTGTCTGAAGAAGTGAGCCGGCTATGATCTTCCACCGCCAAAGACCTATCCGACAGCATCGTACCAGATGTCCGAGGTCCAAGTGCTACGGAAGCTCTTCGTCCCACTACTCAGAAATCGTTTGCCAAAGACAAGTTGAAAGGCTCGGCGAGTCCTAGATAGCACTTTAGGCTTTAGGGTTTAGGGGTTCAGGGGCTTACAGTTTCGGTGTTTAGGGGTGTAGGGTTTAGGGAACACAAACACAAATTTCCTAAACCTCCAGTCTCACGGCGCAAGAGGCACCAAACAGCCACAAAAGATCCCCATGCCCAAAACTCCATGTCCAATCTCTCAACCTCTACACCCAAAACTCCTGAACCCCATAAACCCTAAGTCCTAAACTCTAAGCCCTAAACCCTAAATCCTAAACTCTAAGCCTCTAAGCTCTAAACCCTAAATCCTAAACTCTAAGCCCTAAACCCTATATAAATCCTAAACTCTAAGCCTCTAAGCTCTAAACCCTAAATCCTAAACTCTAAGCCCTAAACCCTAAATCCTAAACTCTAAGCCTCTAAGCCCTAAACCCCTAAAGTCTCTAAACCCCCTCACCGGCCTGGCTCCGCTCCAGCAGCTTCTGAGCCTTGGCGACCACCACGTCCAAACCAGCGGCTTCGTGGACCTCCAGGCGGAACGGCTTGAAGCTTACTGAAAGGATCATGGGACTTGGCAACTAGAGTTATAATTGAGGTAACTATACTTATGGCTACTTATAACCCTAATTAAGGTACTTATAACCGTACTTACTAAGTCCCATGATCCTCCAAATAGGGTTTAAGGTTTCGGGTTTAAGGCTTCGGTTTAGGGTCTATGGTTTCGGGTTTAAGGCTTCAGTTTAGGGTCTGAGGTTTCGGGTTTGAGGCTTCAGTTTAGGGTCTGAGGTTTCGGGTTTAAGGCTTCAGCTTAGGGTCTAAGGTTTCGGGTTTAAGGCTTCAGTTTAGGGTCTAAGGTTTCGGGTTTAAGGCTTCAGTTTAGGGTCTAAGGTTTCGGGTTTAAGGCTTCAGTTTAGGGTCTAAGGTTTCGGGTTTAAGGCTTCAATTTAGGGTCTAAGGTTTCGGGTTTAAGGCTTCAGTTTAGGGTCTGTGGTTTCGGGTTTAAGGCTTCAGTTTAGGGTCTAAGGTTTCGGGTTTAAGGCTTCAGTTTAGGGTCTAAGGTTTCGGGTTTAAGGCTTCAGTTTAGGGTCTAAGGTTTCGGGTTTAAGGCTTCAGTTTAGGGTCTGTGGTTTCGGGTTTAAGGCTTCAATTTAGGGTCTATGGTTTCGGGTTTAATAAAAGGCTCCAGGGTTCAGTTGCGATCGTTGTGTTCTCTGGAATTAAGTGTGCGAGCACGGTGCTGATACATGTGGCGGATCATGTCAGGCTTTGGGTCGTCACGGTTTAGGGGTGACAGGTTGGAGGTGTTCTTCAGGTTTGCGGGGGGGGTGGTGAAGAGAAAGGCTTAGGGCTTTGAGCTTTCAGTTCTTGGTCAAGGTCTCACTGCTTTACCATGGCCTACCGGAATTCAGGCCTGTGCGGATGCATGAAAATACGATGTCCATATGTATGCTCCTGCATGATGCATACACGTACGCATTAAAACTCCGCAAACCCTCCCTGCTTTCATTTGCCTGTCTGCTCGTGTGGTTTCGGCCACTGCTTTGCGAACTCTCTCGTCTATTTGAAGGTTCATGGGTAGTTATAAGTGGGGTTATAAGTAGGGTAAATATACGTATAACTCATATTAGGGGTATAAGTGCCCATGAACCTCCAAGTAGGCCCTAAACCCTATACCCTTATAGAATCCCTACAGATCCCTTTAAACGGAGCCTTAAAGGACCCTACTTCTTACTACCCATGAACCTCCAAGTAAGGAGCTCCTTTGAGCTTCGGGCAGCAGTCCTCGACCCTTTTGGGGTTCTATAATGGGGATAAAGGGCCTTTAAGGGTCCCTCTAAAGGGATCGATCTCTAGGGGTGCCTTAAAGGGATCTATAGGGTTTAGGGTTTAGGGTCTACTTAAAGGATCATGGGACTGAGTAGCTAAGGCTATAACTAGGCTAACTATACTTATGACTTATAACTACTTATAACCCCATTAAGGTACCTACAGCCTTGCTTACTAAGTCCCATGATCCTCCAAGCAAGCCCCAAACCCCAAGCCCTGAAACCGAGCCCCAGACCCTAAACCCACTAACCCCAGCCCCTACAGCCTAAATCCTGAACCCTTGCCGCCCGAACCTTCAACCCCAACAAGCCCGGAGCTCCAAACCCTGCGCCCTAGACCCTAAACCCTGAACGCGAACCTTAAACTTCAAACTCTAAACCCTCAACCCAAGCTAAGCCCACCTGAACAGCGCCCTGGATCTCCTGCGTCCAGAATCGCAGGCGCGCCTTTCCGGCGGAAGCTCGCGTGAAGGTTCTGGGGCTTCACAGGGCTTTATGAAAGCTTCGGGCGTTTGGAGTTCGGGGGTTTTAGGTTTCTTTTTTTACTTCTTAAACCCTCTTTTCTCCCCGCCTAGTTTAAAGGCTGAGTTGAGGGTTTAGGGGCTTAGCGGTTTAAGGGGCTCCGTGGTTTTAAGGTAGGGGCAGTTGGGACCTTGGGTCTCTGAGAGTCCTCGTATCCTCCCCTCAACCTGGGCCCTGAACTTCCTAAACCGTACTTGGGGGATCATGGGACTTAGTAAGGGTCCTTAAAGGGCTCTTTAAAGGGATCTATAGGGTTCCTTAAAGGGATGTATGGGGTGTAGGGTTTGGGGTCCTTTTGAAGGATCATGGGACTTAGTAAGTAAGGCGACAAGTACCTTCATTGGGGTTATAAGTAGTAATAAGTATAGTTACCCTAACTCTAACCCTAGTTACTAAGTCCCATGATCCTTTAAGTAAACCCCAAAACCCTAAATCCTAAACCCTAAACCCCCAAGCCAAAAGCCCCTAAACCCTCAAAACCGGAGCCCTCAGCCTCTAAACCCTAAGCCCCCAAGCCCCTGAAACCAAAGCCCCACAAACCCCTAAACCCTAAACTTCCTAAGCCCCACAGCTTTGGATTCTGAAGCTCCGCTGGCCTGCAGGGAGCCCGACCACAGCATGTCCATCTCCTTGCGACAACAAAGCATAGGCTTTCCGACTGTTCTGTAGTAGTAGTAGTAGTAGTAGTAGTAGTAGTAGTAGTAGTAGTAGTAGTAGTAGTAGTAGTAGTAGTAGTACTAGTAGTAGTAGTAGTAGTAGTAGTAGTAGTAGTAGTAGTAGTAGTAGTAGTAGCAGTCCCTGCAAAGTTGATATTCAGGAAGTGGGATCTGAGGGTTCTTTGCCAACAGAGCTCACGTTCTCCGCTTTGTCTGCAATCCGAAAAGAAACTAAACCCGAGACCGTGATGAGACCTCAAATACGTAAAGTCCCTAAACCCTAAATCCTAAACCCTAAACCTAAACCCGGCAAAAGGCCTCACTAGTAAGGTCCGCTTAGAAAGCTCCCTGACTTCTCTTCTACCTTGCAGGGAAGCCCCGCTTGAAACAAGCCTGCTCCGATCCAGACAGACAGTCAGCGTGGCTGCTGTTAGCTGGATTTAGCAGAAAAGCGCTTATATTCAATAGAAAACCAAGAAAGATAAAGTGAACCGCGTGAACGAAAGCTTTTATTATGAATTAAATTAGATAGGGAGCTTGGTTTCCTTCGCAAAGTGCAGTCAATGACGCTCTCTGTCTTGCTTCACTAAGTTATAAAGAAACGAAGGCTGAAGCGGAAGCGCGAACTTGATCAGAGCAAGCAGGAGCAGAATGAACAAAACCAGCAAACTGGAAGACAATACTGCGCTGTCAAGATGCACAACACTGGTCATGAGGTAGACAGTTGTCTACAAGGAATTGACCACCTTCCCAACTCGATGAAGGTGAAGGATGAAAAAGTCTCAATCCACGTGTCCGTGGTCACTGCTTGGAAGATCATGGGTCTTAGCAAGTAAGGTGAAAAGTACCTTCATTGGGGTTATAAGTAGTTCTAAGTATAGTTACCTTAATTATAACCCTAGTTACTAAGTCCCATGATCCTTTAAGTGGTCGAAACGAATTCCAGGAAAGGATCGAGGTCCCCCTTAAATCCCTCTAACGAGGCCGCGCCTCCTCCACGAAGAAGTGGCTGTGGGCCGTCTGTATCGCTGCTTCCAGCGGAGGCAAGGCGGTCTCCTCCATGGTCTTGTCCTTCGAGGTTGCTTGGCTTATTTATTTGTTAAATAACAATAACAATAGTAGTAATAAAAAATAATAATACATATATATATATATGTATGTATATGTATGTATATGTATGTAACATGATATATATATATATATATATATATATGTACATATATATATAATAGGGATTCTTTGAGGGTATAGGGTTTAGGGCCTATCTTGGAGCTTCATGGGTAGTTATAAGTGAGTCACAAGTATGGTAACTATACTTGTAACTCAAACGAGGGGACTTATAACCCTACTTATAACTACCCATGAACCTCCAAGTAAGAACAGGAGCAACGGCTCGAACTACAGCCACAGTGGTAGCAAGAAACAGCGCAAGAAACGACATGATACAATAGCCTTCAACTCGAAATTCAACTCGAAATCTCAAAACCTCAACTTCTAAACCCTCAAAACTCCACCATGTTGCTCACCCAAAAATTCCCTGGCTCCTTAAAGCTCCAAAGGCCCGGACCATCATCTTGTTCACCTATAAAAAATTAGTATTCGTATTATTATACTATCTATATTATTGATATTAGTGAAAGTATTAATATTAATAAGATTGTTAGTATTATTAATACTGTTAATATTATTCATATTGTTAATATTGTTAGTATTGTTGGTATTATTAGTTTATCATATTATTAATCTTATGAATATTATTAATGTTATTACTATTATTAATATTATCAACATCATAAATATTATTAGTATGATTAATATTATTGATACTATTAATAATATTATTAATATTATTAATGTTATCAATATTACTAGTATTATCAATAATATTAATATCATTAATATTATTAATATTATTAATATTATTAATATTATTAATATTATTAATATTATTAATATTATTAATATTATTAATATAATTAATATTATTAATATTATGAATATTATTAATGTTATTACTATTATTAATATTATCAACATCATAAATATTATTAATATTATTAATATTATCAATATTATTAATATTATTAATATTTTTAATATTGTTAATATTATTAATATTATTAATATTATTAATAGTCTTAATATTATTAATATTATTAATATTATTAATATTATTAATAATATGAATATTATGAATATTATGAATATTATGAATATTATTGATATTATTGACACTATTATTACCTAAATTCCCTGGCCCCTTAAAGCTCCAAAGGCCCGGTCCATCATCTTGTTCACCTCGTCCACCATGCGAAGCCGCGTGAGGAGCCTCGTGGCCTGCTCGATGCTCTCCTCCGGCCATGGACTCGGGAACTTTCCCAAAGAAGATCGGAACTAAAGGGTATAGAGGTTTTTTTAAAAAACACAGGTTTTTGTTAAAAAAAAACTTTTCCAAAGAAGATCGGAACTAAAGGGTATAGCGGTGAGGGTATAGGGATCAGGGTTGGGGTTTAGGGCTACTAAAGGGTGTAGGGGTGAGGGTGTGGGGATTAGGGCTGGGGTTTAGGGTTTAGTGGGTGTATCTTGCACATAATTGGGGGTTCATGGGTAGTTTTAAGTAGGTTTACAAATCCCCCAATATGAGTTATAGGTATAGTCACCGTAGTTATTACCCCACCTGTAACTACCCATGAACCTCCAAGTGGAGAGTCGGAACTAAAGCCTGCTGTATCTTGCGTGAGGCTCTTTCAAGCAACACTCCTACGAGATGGGCTCGATGTAGGGGTCGCTTATTGTTAAAACTGCGACCTGCGGGAACTGTTTCTTCGGATACTGCCGTACATAATTATTGGTGTTTCCATGATAATCGGGCGTTCCTGCTACAAACACTGACACTATCGTGATTTTAACCTGGCGTTTGTCAAATTTTTAGCAGCAACAGCATGAATGGCACTTCGACCAGTATCGGGAAGTGCTGTTGCTAACGCTGCTACCAGTGTTGCCGTGGTCATCTATCGCCGGCAGTCGACAGATTAAAACAAGTGCAAAAGCACTTCGCCCCATCGCTCGTATGCCACCGACTGCCACCACTGTTGTCGACGTTTGCGGTGTGGAAACCCTAACCCGAAACCCCAAACCCTAGACCCTAAACCTCAAACCCTAGACACTAAACCCCAAACCCGAAACCCAATCTAATGCTCCGGACCACGTCTGATCGCCCGGCATTCTGTAGAATCACGTATGAAGGAATGTGATGCATGTGAGTGCGGATGGAAACAAGTTTTCAGAAGCTGCTGTCTTGCTACACTGCAAAAATTGCGCAAATTGCGCAAAGTCCACAGACCTGATCTTGAAATACCATATTAAGCGCCACTGGGTGAATTCAGGCGTTCTGGCATATCCCACCCCTTTGAACCCTACACCCTGTACCCTAAAGGCTAAAGCCCTTTTATCATGTCCCACATCCGAGCCTCGTCGATGCCGGCGGTGCGTGCCAACTCAAGCGAATCCTCGCATTGCAATTTGCAGCCCTCGGTACTGGGCTTTCGTGGGCTCGGAACGAGTGTTAGAGCTTTATAGTGAGGTTTATTTTAGGGTTTATTGTAGGGTTTATTGTAGGGTTTATTGTAGGGTTTGTAATAGGTTTATTAGTTTAAACAGCATGACTATGGGCACTGCAGTTCCTCATAGGTGCTGCTCTTTTTCGCCATTGCTCCTGCTGCTATGCTAGTGCTGGTGTTCCCTGCCTCCTGCTACCCACCACTACCACACCTCCTGCTACGCGCCTCCTTCAAACCCAAACGCAAAACCCTATAATGCCCAGCCTTCAGGTAGTCTTCGTCCAGGTACCGCATGGCAAGTTCCTGAGTTCGGAAATCGAAAGTTTGAGTGCGATAACTCTTCGATGCATCGTTCGACGACGAGAGTCTGGGGCTTGTGGCTTTAGGATTCAAGCGGAAGGTTCAGGGGATTTCATGAAGGGTTTAGGGTCTGGGCCTGAGAAACCACTCTTTTGAACACGACGGTTTACATCAAATGATAACCAAAGTCTCGGGCCATGTTGAATCCAGAATCTGGCCTGCATGTCTTGCGACTTTGACCTGCTCCCCAAGGCAGCTTCAATACGCTCCCGATCTGGTACAGCTGCTCCCGTCCAAGAGATGCAGATATGATGAAACTAAAAAGCCTTATCGTCCCCACGGCAGTTATACGGGCATGCCTACTGGCTACTTACAATAGTACGACCCCTTTCTAGAGTCCCCATATCATTTATACATTCTACTAGAAATCCGTTATTATGGCCTCTATTTGACTGACTATCAACTGGGCCCAGCCACCAGATCCTGTCTGGCCCGTTTCAAGCGTGATTCCTGGCGAGCAGAGTAGGGGACAAAGCCAGCTGGGGTAATTCCACGGTTTAGGGTTTAGGGGAAAAAGGAGCCCCGCTATAAGGGATCCTGCAGCCTACCGTCAGTCTTCCTGTTTGCCGGGCACGCCCAGAGGAAAGTGCGCGTGCCGTGGGGGATAGCTGACCCTGCCACACTCACAGACCAACTCGTTCGGTTCGTCGGTTGGAGGAGGCAGCATCTTCCAACATAGCAAAATATAGTGTAATATAGTATACTATAATGTCGCTAAAGATAGACCAACATCATATGATATAGTACAATATGGTAACATATAGTACAACACAGTATCATGTACTATAATTGAGAACAACAGTTCGTGCCAATGACAGCAATGACCACTCGGGACCTCGAGCCCACCGCTAAATCTACACTAAATGCATTCACCCAATCCAACTCGCACCTTGACCCTCCCCGCGTAGAACTCTTTCAGTGGTACATAAGAGGTACCCTACAGTCTATATCCAGGTCTTCTGGTTGGCCTTTATACCTCTATCATGGGACCCATACTTGGAGGATCATGGGACTTAGTAAGTAAGGTTATACGTACCCTAATTGGGGTTATAAGTAGTTATAAGTATAGTTACCCTAATTATAACCCTAGTTACTAAGTTCCATGATCCTTTACGTAGAAAGAGCTTTTCAGATCTTTGGAAGCCCCTTCAGAGCCTGCCAGTTGGCCAGAGAGTTCCGCGCTGCGTCGAGGAAGGCGGCGTCGACGCCTTGTTGCGCCACCTGGAAATCAAGTGGTTTAGGGTTTAGGGTTTAGGGTGACGGCTTGCGATGAGTTCTACGGATTCTGGCTTCTCCTTCATATTACTGCAGGGGCCATAACAATTAGAATAGGGTTTGGGGGGTATATTATACCATAATTAGAATAAGGAACCCCAAAACCCCATTCTCATTATTATGGCCCTACATGACTGGGACCATTTCCCTCTGCCGGCAATGAGTGGCAGATCGCTTCCCCATCGCGCGCCTCTGCGATGGCGGAGCCCAACAAGTCGCCGGCCTGTCGCCGTGATCTTGTTCATGTTTTGGGGTTTAGGGTCTAGGTTTTAGGGTTTAGGGTTAGGGTCTAGGGTTTAGGTCTTAGAGTTTAGGGTTTCAGGGTTTAGGGTCTAGGGTTTAGGTCTTAGGGTTTAGGGTTTATATAGGCTTTGGGTTCAGGATGGTTTAGGGTTGTGGTCAAAACTTGAAGCGGCCCAGTCGTGATATAGGAGCACCAAACTAGTATGGGTAGTTATTAAGGCCCTGTGGTAAACAAAAGCTCGCTGGTCTCAAAAGAGGCAAGGTGGAGGATGGGTTCAAAGCTTGCCAGAGATTGAAGCTTTTGCCTACGAGCCGGTACAAATATGGCGCGAAGTGGAACGCGAAACCCTTCTATTCCGTACCTAGAAGGGGAGAAGATGCCGTTTCTTCATGTGACGGCATTCCGATGAAGCCTGCAATCTCTAAAACCATACACCGGAGAGGCGTAGACTCAACTGAAACTCGAAAACCGTGAACCCTGAACCCAAAAATTCCTGAAAAACCCACAAACCCTCAAACCTCAAGCCCGAAACCCTAAACCCTAAACCCTAAACCCGAAACCCTAAACCCTAAACCCTAAACCCTAAACCCTAAACCCTAAACCCTACCCCTAGATCCCTTAAAACATCCGAAAGCCCTGGAACCTCGGGCGTGTCGGCACTGAAGCCGCCTTTCACCTCAAGTCAGAGTTCGGAGCTCTGGCCGGGTCTTCTTACTTTAGGGTTTAGGGTTTAGGGTTTAGGGTTTAGGGTTTAGGGTTTAGGGTTTAGGGTTTAGGGTTTAGGGTTTAGGGTCTTCTTACCTTTGGTTAGTAGGGAATGGAGGAATGGTAATAATACGGTTGATGATATAAATCCTGCATTATCATAATGACCCTAAACTATGGGAATTATGGTGTATTCCTTATTATGGGTAATGCAGGATTTATACCATCAATTGTAGTTGTAATTGCACCCCATTCCTCATTCCCTACTAACCAAAGGTAAGTCTTGCAGGGTTGGTTCAGGGTTCAGGGCTTTGGGGTTTAGAGGTTTAGGGTTTAGGGTCTTAGGGTTTTTTGTAAAGTGCAATGGCTTCTTTCTGTGCTTCGCGAACGTTGCGCAGGATAAAGCCTGCCTCCAGATGGGGCCTACACTCGGCAGCAGAGCCATCACAGGGTTCAGGGCTTAGGGTTTAGGGTCTTGAGTTCAGGGTTTGGGGTTCAGCATCTTGGGTTTTGGGGTTAGGATCTTGGCTTTAGGGTTTGGGTTGACCGTTGAATTTACGGTTGAGGGTCTTGCTCTTAGGGTTTTGGGTTTCAGGTTCAGGGTTTAGCGGTACTTGGAGGATCATGGGACTTAGTAAGTACGGTTATAAGTACCTTAATTGGGGTTATAAGTAGTTATAAGTATAGTTACCCCAATTATAACCCCAGTTACTAAGTCCCATGATCCTTTAAGTAGAGTTTCTTGGCAGGGTTTGCTGTAGCGTTTTGGAAGGCGGTTATGGGCTTCGTTCGAATTTTTGACAGGGTTGATCCAGTGGAGGATCCTTACGTAGGGTCCTTAAAGGGTCCCTTTGAAGGGAACTATAGGGGTTCTATAAGGGTATAGGGTTTAGGATTTAGGGCCTACTTGGAGGTTCATGGGTAGTTATGAGTGGGGTGATAAGTAGAGCAACTATACTAGGGCAACTTATTACTACCCATGAACCTCCAAGTAGGCCCTCAACCCTATACCCTTATAAAATCCCTATAGATCCCAAAAAAGGGACCCTTCAAGGACCCTACAAGGATCAGCTGTTTGAAAGTCTATCTTTTTCACGGTTCCGTCAACTTCCCCGACTCCTGCGCAGCGGATCGGGGCAGTGAGGTGAGGATTCAGGGTTCAGGGCCCTGTTTAGGGCCTAGGGTTTAGGGATTTAGGGTTTGGGTCTTTTTGGGGGTTCAGGGTTAGGGCTTAGGAGGTCTAGGCTTCTGAGTTTGCGCTGTGGCGGCGTGGGTTCCAGCCCCCACTGGAGACTGGCGTCCGAGAACTTAAACGGTACCTTATATAGGGGCCTAAAAATTGGAATAGCTTGTTTTTGTTTGGAAGGAGGGGGTAGTATACCATATTTATAATGAGGGACCCCCAAAATAGTGTAGATAATTATACAGGCCCCTATATTATGTACATTGGGTTGGGGTTCAAGGTGAAGGACTTTGGCTTCAGGATATCGGGTCGGGAATGGTGGGTACAGACTTCTTATGCTTCGAGGACAGGAAAACTGTTATTGCTTTGGAACCATGCCTTGAGGATGTGAAGAACTTGTTGACTGAGTCTAAATCCCTACAAACCCTCGGCACAAACCCTCGGCCTCTAAACCTTCAACAACCCTCAGCCCCTAAACCTTAAACCCTCAACCCCTAAACCCTCAACCCCTAAACCCTCAACCCCTAAACCCAAAGCCCCGAAACCCTCAATCCCAAGCCCCCAGACCCTCAAACCCAAAACCCCCTACAAACCAACCCAAGAGGCGGCAAGAGTCTGCCAAGGCACTCTCTCCACGGCGCTCGAAAGCCGCGCTTCGGCTCGCAGGGCGACGTTGTCCTGGCACAGCCGGTCGTCGGCTGTAGGGTTTCATATAGGGGCCTTACTCATCAGATATACTGTTTTAAGGGGGTTCCTTTAAAATAATATAAATAAGAAACATAATCATAATGATAATTTTGTAATAACAATAATAGTAACAATAACAATTATCAGGGGTCTGGAGTGCTTTATACTTTAACCATGTTAAGGAACCCCCAGGGTGTGAGGCTCAGGCTTTTACGCTTTCTGGAAGCCACGGCCCGGCTGTCAAGAACCCAAGAAGCCGATTGAATCGATGTGTGTATATGTATATATGTATATATATATATATATATGTGTATATATATATATACATATATATATATATATATACATATATATATATATATGTATGTATACGTCTTTCTGTGTATATATATATATATACATATATATATATATATATATGTATATATATATATATATATGTGTGTGTGTGTATAGGTCTGTGTAGTATTTTACGTGTGTGTATATCTATATATGTATAATATATATATATATATATATATATATATATATATTTATTTGTTTATACGTTTGTATGTATATATATATATATATATATATATATATACACGGTGTATACAGTTAAGAACCCCGAACAACGGTAAGCTACAAAGCCAAGAAGGCAACGCCAGGAAGCTGAGAAGCATTGAAAGCCCAAAACCTAAGAAACCAACATCCAGAAAAGCAACGGCGCAACAGTGTCTAGAGTTTAGGGTTTAGCATTTAGGGTCTAGGATTCAGAGCTCAGGAGCAACAAAAACCCAACAAAAGTCTAGTGCAATCCTTGGTAAAACTTCCGAAATCAACTCCTTTCGTCACCACGTCGATGCTTGACGAAAGTTAGCCCTAAATCCTACCCCGAACTTCGTCCAACGACATCGCCAGTTGTTGAAGCAAACGTCAATCTTTGCCAGGTCCTGCTCCCATTGCCGCAGCAAGCCCCACGCCTCGTTGGGGGACTATTCGGTAGGTCGCGTAAACGGACATTAATGTAGAGTACTTAATGATTAGATAGGTTTTTGGGCTATATTATACTCTAAGCATAATAAGGAACCCCCCAATAGTATTTGTAATTTCTAAGTCCCTTATATTACTCATTCGTGAGGTCGCAGGCGATCTTCCTTTTCAAACGGTTGTTGCATGGCGACTCTCGATTTTGGGCGAGGCTCATCTCAGGCTAAAGAGTCAACAGCTCAAGGCATGAGGGCTTATGCAGGCTAGATAATGCAGGTGACTTAATGATTAGAACAGGGTTTGGAGGTATACCATACTAGAACTGTAATAAGGAACCCCACATTAGTCTAGGCAAAAATTCAGGCCTCTGTATTACTGTGCGACGAAGACTTTTTGTTCAAGGCGCCTTGTAGCTGATGCATGCACTCGACCAAGCCCCTCTCTGAATCGACCCTGACTAGGTGTCAAAATTTCGCTGCATCAAAGCCGAAGTCCATCCCGACATTACGTCGGATTTCCTCCCGGACTCCTCAAGGCGCCTCGAGTACCAAGGGGTTCTCCGGGGGCAACCCCGAACCGGCGATGGCAATGCCTTGGCGCTGTTAGGGGTTTAGGGTTTTGGGGTTTAGGGTGTTAGGGTTTAGGATTTACGGTTCAGGGTTCCTCCCTAAACTCTAAATCCTGAACCGACAAACCCAAAAAAAAACTGGCCCTAACCATGCCTTTGTTGTGTGGCCATGGACTGCAGGTTTAGGTTTTTTTGAAAAAAACCTAAACAAAACCCAAGGTTTAAAAAAAAAAACTCTGGGTTCGAAGTTTTGGAGTCGGGCCCTTGGGCATCTGGAGCCCAGAGTTTCAAACAGTCTGGGACCCGCCGAAAAATAAAGGGAGGGGGGTTCTAAGGGTTCTAAGGTTGAACCCATGACTTAGGCACTGCCCCCTTACAGTAAGAGTCTATAATGGGAATACCATTAAGGTCCTAATATATCTATATTCTATTATGGGAGTACTATTAAGGTCCTAATATATCTATATTATGAGTACTAGTCAACTATTACTGAGTGGGGGCCATACCCAACCCATGACCCCTAGTATGGGCCCTTAACTCGGGGATCCTTAAATACCCACTATCTACCGTTGATATAGGATCCCTTACAGGGGCTAGGGGCCCATAGTAGGGGCCCATGGTTTCAACCTTGAAGGGGTTGTGGGCTTTCCGGGTTATGCTTTAGGGTGTCGGGGCTTGCAGTTTAGGGTTTAGGGTTTTCTTTTATAAAGTGCACTGAGGGTTTGCCGTTAAGTTGCAGTTCCTAGGTTCAGGGAATGGGACCCCGATTCCAGGACCCCGACGGTTTGAAAAGCCCTCGGCCCTAGGTATCATGCGGGATGATATGAGATGGTCGGACATGGGACGATAGGGCCAGTGATGCCAATACAGCGGCTCAACGAGTAGAATAAGGTTCTGGCGGTTCATGACACGATAATTACAAAGAGGGAAGGGAACCCTAACGAATGGTATTACCAGATCTCCCTCCCCAGCTTCTGTACTTGCCATCATATCTGCTATTACATTAATTGACACTAGCTTCCGGTGGTGATATAGGACGTTGGACTTATGTGGGTGGTTGTCAAAATTATGGTCCCTTTTTGGGTACCCTGGATATTAGGTGCCGTGCTATATTAGGGACCCAAAAAGGCATCATAATTTTGACAACCGCCCATGTGCGGCACCCTTCTTACGAGAGTCCTCTTCATGAGGATCCTGACCCTTCGGGTCTGTTCGGAGGTCCCGCGTGTTTTCCGAAATCCCACCTGGGAGTTTCCGAACATGGGGGACCCTTATATAGTACCCTAAACAGTAGGATCCCTATTACAAGGACCCCAAACTAAGGTACCCCTAATTTTCAGAAACCCCCGGTTGCAGTCCCGACCTGCCCCTGTTCGCGCCGAGGTACGCATGCGCTGCTGCTCGGGTGCACCTGTCATGCATTCTACAAGGCCCTCAGACCAATAGAGACCAAGCTACCCTAAACCCTTTGGGTATCTACTGTTAATAATCAAGAAACAGAAAATCTAAGGAAAACCCGGCATTCATGTCACATCCCTAAGGCTCACTTGACTACTGTCTCCCTCTTACTGCTTAGCCAGTGGCAAACACTCAAGCGATATAACCCTTTCCAAACTGCACGAACAGGTTCTCGATGCTACGCAGTTCCGACGTCTTGCTGCAAAGGCTTTCATCAGAATACCTTCTCCATCGTTTGAATAGTCGCAGATAGGAGCCGTGTTAGTCTTGGACCGGAATACTGCCAAGGGACCTGACAAGGAGCCCGTACAGGAATCCTTAAAGGAACCCTTCACCCTTCAAGCAACCCCTGCAGATCCCTTAAAGGAGCCCCTTTAGATCCCTTAAAGGAGCCCCTGTAGATCCTTTACTATAGATCCCTTAAAGGAGCCCCTATAGATCCCTTAAAGGAACCCCTATAGATCCCTGAAGGGAACCCCAAAAAAACCCAAAAACCACCAGCCTGCTCCCGGCTTCTTACGGCTCTCCACGTGTTTCCGAAGCTCCTCGACCGTGGGGGGGCTTCAATATGACACCGTGACACCAGCTTTTTGTGTTAAACGCCTCTTTCGGTACTCCCACCAAGGGTTGGGGCTTGGACACCAGGGTTTTTTCTTTTAATGCAATGGCCCTTTCTTCGCATGAACGAGTCCAGCACCTGCCCACTTGGGCTTGCACTGCAAAATGATACCAGGGTTTAGGGAGTCGGCTTTAGGGACTGCGGTTTAGGGGTTACGGTTTAGGGGGGTTTAGGGGTTAGGGTTTAGGACCCCTTTAGGATTTAGGGGGTTAGGTTGGGGGTTAGGGGTTCATCGATTAGGAAACCTGGTTGGTCAATGCTGAGGGCTCTCACAGCCTCACGTCTTAGGTGGGGTGAAACGGAACTCTTCCCAGAACGGTTGGTATGGTAGGATCCACGCCGAATTGCAAAAAGGCCAGGGTGAACTTCAGGCCCATGTTGACCAACAGGTTGTCCGAGTCAGGTCTGATCTCACTGACTTCCGTAAAGACTTCGAGCAACAACTGCGCGACAATGCCGAGCAACAAAAACAGGCTCAAGCAGTCGCAGCTTCAGGTAGGCATTGCAGAGATCAAGGCCATGCTGGCCGGTAACAGTGAGCGTCCACCACAGGTCAAGCGGGCCGCGCCGCCGACAGAACCGTCCATGCAAGTGGACGACCAGCTGTGACAAACATTTTTTTGTATGGGGCGGACAGGATTGCCTGTCATTGGGGGTTTCGTTTCGGGTTGCTCCCGGCCGCGAGGAGATTTTAGGCTTTGGTTCATCGGTTTCCGTTATGGCGAGGCTCTTCACCCAGGGCCTCCGGTTGGAGGTGATATAGTTACTTTCGCGGTCATCAACCCGACTACCATTCTGGACAAGGAATGGCAAATTCAACAGGTTGGAGCCGATGTGCTTCTTGCAAGTGAGACCTCGGCAAATGCCCGAGTACAGAAAATCATGTCTTTCAAGCTCCGGGGTAAGGGCTTTCGTTGTGTTTGGGGTGACCCCAGTGCCACTAGATACCACGCCAGTTCCGGCACGGCTATGCTGCGCAGCTATGCGGTTGGGGTTGCTGCCTTGTCTCGCCTTCCGTGTCGAGCCGCTATCCAGGCATTGCCAAGTGAAATGCAGGCCAGCTGCCGCATCACAGAGTGTTTTATTCGTATACAAGCTTTGGAAGTGAAATGCATCACAGTTTACGGGGTGCCACGCTGCCTCCCGGAGGCTGCGGCAAAGAATAATCTTCTCCTTGCATGGGCTTATCAGAGGGCCTCTCTTTCCTGCGTCCCGGCCATCATTGGGGGTGATTGGAACACGGATCCTTGTGCCCTGCCAGCATGGTCTGCCTTCGCCTCGCGAGGATGGGTTGAGCTGGGGCATTTTGCTCAAGCTGCTCACGGTATTGATTTGCCGCCCACATGCAAACAAGCCACGAGGTTTGATACCTTCTTATTGCCGCCGGCTTTGCTTCAGTATTTCCAGGGGGCGGATGTCCTCACAGACGCCCATTTGTTTGACAGTCATGCTCCTATGCGCCTGCATTTGCGCCTTCCTGGGCGATCTTCGCCCAGATGGATGTGGCCTTTGCCCAAGCCATATACAGATATCTTGAATGCCAAAGCACTGGATGCAACTGAATATGCTCGCGTTGCCTTGCCTGTACGTCCCGCCCTCTCCCCGCAGGTGTCGGAAATCAAACGTGGGGACAAGCTTCGCCTCTGGGCCGCCACTGTTGAGCATGCGGTTGATGGGGCAGTCCGGGCTGAGCATACTTCCGACCAAGCAAGACAGAACTATCGGTGCCTCCCACGGGCGTACCGGGGTCGTTGTCGTGATTTGGACCGCCGTCAACTGTGCCCACCGCGTTTGCCTAGACCTGCTAGGAACGGCGACCCCGAGCCCTTTGCTGAGGTTACTTCGGTTAGAGCCCGTCAGCGCCTGAGGCAGTTGCGCCGTGTTACCACCTTTGCGCAAGGCCTCCGCAAATTTCTGCGCGGCACTTTTCGTGGTCCTCTAGGCTCAGATGGCTGGCCTCTGTCCTTGACTGCGGAATGGAGCGCCGTACAATCTGCCTCGGGTTATGGCATGGCGTTTCCCTCCTGGGTTCTGCAGTTCCCTTGTTTTTCGCATTTTCCGTGTGAGCGCCCAACTCTGGACTTTGTGCAAGACCTTTGCAGCTTTGTTCGTTATGACCTGGAGGCTCTGACCAGGCAGGCGGCCAAAGTTAAGGCACAGACCTTCCGTTACCAGCTGCAGGTGGATGCCAAAGACTTTTCAGGGTCCCAGTGCTTTGTCAGGGTCCGGCACCGTTTACCTGTCTGCAGGTTCGTACGGATCAGGTTGTTCAGGTGTGTTGCCAGCACTCCCAGCAGCTATGGTCGCTTCATGTACAGGCTGTCAGCAAGTACGATTTGCACTGCCAAGTGATCTACGCCGGCGTGCCCGCCCAGGTCGTTCAGGTTACGGGTGATAAAGTGCAAATCTTGTTCGCACAAGATGATGACATGGTGCGCCCTCTAAAGGGCCCGCTGGTACGTGATCGCCGGGACTGCTCCTGGCGGGCGGTCATTGGCGGCCTCATGGAGTACTGGAGCCCCATCTGGAATCGGGATTCTAGAGTGGAGGAGGCCGACATCGAGGAATGGCCTCGCTACCAGCAGCTTTTGCATACGGTGTGTGATCCGCAGCATGAGATTGCATTGGACATGAGGGATGTCACTGCGTGGGTGCATGTTGCTAAGAGCCTCTCTCCCAAAAAGGCGGTCGGTGTCTGTGGCTGGCACAATGCAGAGCTCAAAGGTTTGCCCCAGGAGGCGCTACAGGATCTTGCCAAACATTTTCGCTTCGATCTCTGCTTATCCTGCTGACCTCATGAGGGCCCGGGTAGCAGTGCTGAGTAAGGTCCTTGAACCCTCGGCTGCCTCCGAAGCTCGGCCAATCACTATTCTGAGTGGCCTTTACCGTTTGTGGGCAAGGGTCTTGTGCTCAAGTACTTTCCACCTGGAGCAAAACGATGCCGCCGAGCATCATGGGGTGCCTTAAACAAAGGTCGGCTACGGATCTCAGTTTTTCCCTTCAAGCCCAGGTTGAAGCGCACCTTCAGGAGGGTGCGGATTTTTCGGGGCTTTGTTTGGATCTTCGGAAAGCCTTTAATCTTCTGCCTCGAGCGCCATTGGGCTTTTCCCTGCAAGCCCTTGGCCTGCCGCAACAGATTTGTGACTTCTGGATGGATTCCTTGCGGGGCCTGCAGCGCCACTTCTCCGTGACCGCCAGTCTTGGACCAGGATTGCCCTCCACTACTGGGGCCCCGGAGGGTGATCCCGTTTCTGTCTTGGGCATGCTCGCTGTGTGCTGGGTTTTCGTCCGCTTACTTGAAGGCCTTGTGAGCCCAAGTGCCTACATGGACAATTGGTCTTGGTCCGCCGATATGCCAAATTGCCATGGCCCGGCCCTTCTTGTTTTGCAGGACTTCACTGAAAGCCTTAGGGTTCAAGTCGACTGGGGAAAGACGTACACTTGGGGCACGACTTCTCTCTCGCAGGATTGGTGGAGGCAAATCGGCCCCGCCTTCGTTCCGCCGGGTGTGAACTTGCCCATTGTGTCTAGTGCCAAAGAACTTGGTTCCTTCTTTCAGTTTGGGCACAGGCCAGAGAGACAAATGTTCCAGGCTAAGGTGCAGGAGGCCATGCAACGTCTGCACAAGTTGGCGGTTGATCCCCAAGTCATGCCACTCAAGGCCAAGGTTGCTCAAGCAGGTGTGTACCCATACTTGTTTTACGGCACAGAATCCCTCGCTCCAGCCTCTACGACCATGCAAACCTTGCGTGGTGCTGTTGCGCGTGCCGTGGTGGGTGGCCATCATACCCTCTCGGCATACGCTGCCTTGTTTGCGGTTCGACATGTTCAGGACCCGGAGGTGTTTGTCTTGGCCCATCACCTCCGACAATTGCGCCGCGCATTTGCTGTGATGCCACAGGTTGCCCATGAGGTTTGGACTAGGGTTTTAGGCCCCGTAGTTAACCAGCGGTATGTGTGCGGTCCTGCGGGCGCTCTACAGGTGCTCCTTCGCAGAAATGGCTGGTCCTTCTCTGCGTCGGGGGTGTGTAAAGGTCCGCTCCACTGCATTTTCAACGTCAAGACCAGCTCCAGCCAAAGCATCACGCGGGCTGTGGAGCAGGCCTGGGCAGAGACTGTCCTTGATAATTGTAAGCACCGCAACGGAATGATGTTTGCGCCTTTGCCTTGTAAGGCTTTGACTGCTAAAGTTCTGGCATCATTTTTGCCCTGGGAGCAAAAGCTGCTGGCCCGCCATTTTTGCGGAGCTTTCATGTCGGGTGCAGAAAAGAACACTTGGTCGAGAAATGAAACGGAGGATTGCCCGTTGTGCGGGGCGATTGACACGAAGTCTCATAAGCTGTTTTCTTGTCCTGCCCTGGAAAGTGTGCGAGCGCCTCACCGGTCTTGCCTTGATCAGGTGATTACGGATCGCCCCTTTTGGGCCCACATGCCTTATGCCTCTTGGCCTGACAGTGCTTCGCTGCTTCAGCTGCTTCTTCAGTCCCTCCAGCTGCCTCAGCTTGTGGTGGGGCCGTGCCCTCCCCCTGTCAGTACGGAGCTCTTCACGGATGGCAGCGCTCTGCATACGGAGCAGCCCCTTGCCAGGGTCACAACATGGGCGGTGGTTTTGGGTTGTCAGGATCGCGCCATTTGGATTGAACAGGACAGGTGTTTTCTTCCGGAGAGTTTGGGTTGCTCTTTTTCGGTCTTGGTTCAGGGTTGCACTCCAGGTAATCAGACGGTGCCCCGTGCTGAGTTGTGTGCAATCGTTTGGGCCTCTCAGTGGGCCGCCCAATTCCCAGGACGGGAGTTTGTTCTACATTCTGACTGCGCTGCTGCCCTCGCCCTCTGGCGGGATTGGAAGCGAGATGGCTGGCCGGCTGTCGCCTCTAGAGCGAATGCGGACCTGTTGCTTCAAGCCAGTCCCTCGAGCCTGCTCAAGCTCCAGAAGGTCAAGGCACATCAGTCTGCAAGTAGCCTTGAGGATGCCTCTCAGTATGACAAATGGTGCGCTGCTGGAAATACGGCCGCTGATTCGGCGGCTAAACAAGCCCGTGCGGACTTGCCACAGGTGGTTCAGCAAACGGCGCAGGAGGTCGCGGATCACTGTCACCACGAGGAGCTGCTGCTGAAGAACTACAGCAGGGCTGTTCTGGATGTTGATGTGCGTGATAATCAACTTCGGGCGGTTGGACGCCAGGCCCTTGCTGCCTCCGCCGCCGCCTCCACGGCCGATGATGGGCCCCAGATTCTTTCCAAGCTACAGAACTGGACCATTCCCCTACCGGGTGCCCAACTTCTCCCGGATTACTGGGAGGTGGACTGGACTGGTTGGCCTTTTGGGCCGGACTTTGGCAGGTCCTTGGTTCAATGGTGGGATGAGCTGATTTGGCCGGTGCAACCTGCACCCCCGGATCAAAGTTGGCAGGTTGCTTACCTTGAGCTCCTTGCCCACTTTGTCTGGACCACGCGTCATCCGCCACCTGTGGAAGCCCCAGGTTCAGGAGATGTTCGATATATACCTTTGGATGTGGCGTGTGCGGCACTTCAACCATGTCATCGTCAAGGCGTGGTCTCGTGCTTCAGGGCTGCTTTGCTACAACTCCGCCGAAGGATCGCGGGCTCTAACTGGCCAGCAGCAGAGGTTGCGGATGTGGCTCACTTACGATTCTTGGGCCTGAACTCTCCTTCTGTCGGCATCAACGCTAGACCCCAGATGCGAGATAGCTCCTGGATTCAGCTCTTGCAGGCGCTCTGCAGGGATGATGCGATTGAAGCACTATGTGGACGATGCGCACAGCCTTGAGCCAATGTTGCTCTTAAAGGCCTTTTCACTTCGGACGTCGCGTGTGGATCTCTCGGGTGCTGAGGTGTCGCAGTGTGCATGCTTTGTATGCGTTCTGCCGGCCCTCTGCATCCCCTCATACAACGGTAAAGGTTGGGGGTTAGGGGTTCATGGATTAGGAAACCTGGTTGGTCAATGCTGAGGGCTCTCACAGCCTCACGTCTTAGGTGGGGTGAAACGGTACTCTTCCCAGAACGGTTGGTATGGTAGGATCCACGATGCAAGTTCGTTGACCGACTAACGACTTCGAGACAACACTGCACAAGCTTTTCCGCACGCCTCCCTCTAGAAACTGTCCTTGACCGCTTGGAACAACTCGTCGTGCAAGGCGATTTTGTAGTGGTTCGCCCGCCAATTCGCGGCCTTGGCATGCACAAAGAGCCTCTCGGAAAAGGCTGGTGTTGTTTTATATCTTACTATTGTTATTACATTGTTACTACCACCATTGCTATTGCGACTATCGCATTTATGATTAGTGGTGTTATTATTCTATTGCTGTTATGAACTACGATTCGTGTTCACACCGCTGGAGCAGATCAGGCTTTGGAACGGGGCCGCTCCGTCCAACCACTCTGACTGCAGTGCTGAAAACGAGAATTTTCTGGAAGCAGCTATTGGGATATTGTAGAATGCTGCACAATGTTTGGTCATTAGATACGATTGTATACTGTAATATGCTGGAATGTCGAGAACACGCTAGGAGCATACCACCGAATGCGACAAAACGTCGTCATGCAATACTCGAATAGCCTGCGATGCTCTAATACGCTCGGATAATTCAGTATGATTCGACTATGATCTATTGCAGCGCAGTGCAAACTACTACAAATACCAACTGCAACATCAAGCTGTCCGCAGAAAGAGGACAAGTAACCTAACCCTTACCCTAAATCCTCAATCCTGATTAAGCCTCAACCCACCTTCCCTAAACCCCAAACCCTAAACCCCAAATTGAGGCCCAGGCGATTTCCCTCCCTGCATGGATGACCTCGCTCCTCACACCACAGGCCTGCAAGAGAGCAACATTTGGGTGGTTGTCAAAATTAGGGTTGAGGGTTTAGGGGTTTAGGGTTTAGGGTCCTTTGGTTAGTAGGGAATGGAAGAATGGTAGTAATAGTAGTTATAATTGTACCCCATTCCTCCATTCCCTACTAACCAAAGGTAAGTTTTGGGTACCCTAAATAATAGGTGCCGCATTATAATAGGGACCCCCAAAAAGGGACCATAATTTTGACAACCACCCATTTGGATGCTGCAACCACAGGGTACGTTAAAGGTACCCATATCAAGAGGAGTTTGCGCAGCTTCTCAGAACCCCACATTTGGCAATGAACCTGACATCGAACATCTTCAATATTAAACATCTTCGGACGCGCCCTTTGCAACTACAAGCAAGCGTTCAGATAGATAGCATCGAGCTTCAGCTAACCAGACATGCTTAAGCCTGCTGTTTCTGCACCCGACAGTGCTGCTGCTGGTACTGACATCTGTGACTAAACCCTCCCCTCAAGTTAAACCCCAGACTAAACCCTACCCTCAAGTTAAACCCCAAGCCCTCAAGCTCTAATCCATGAGCCCAAAACCTCCACCGTAAAGCCTACACCTCAAACCCTAAACCCTAAACCCTAAAGCTCTAAACCCTAAACCTTAAGCCATGAACCTTAAAGACCTGAGCCCTGGAACGTAAAGCATGAGCAGCCTGAGCAGGGGCTTGAAAGCTCGACGCGTCATCAGTAGGCCGCATGCAAGGCCCCCAACCGCAGCCGTTCTATAGGGTTCAGGGTTTATGGTATAGGGTCTAGGGTCTAGGGTTCAGGGTCAGTATCTGCGAATCTGAAGTGGATACAGGGCATGTTTGCAAGCATGAAAGGGAACGGGTACAACGTGGTCGAGACAGATGTACCGTCTCATCTACAATGCGGGCATTAAAAGCAGAATACGCCTTTGGGGCACACATTAGACCAAAACCACCAGGGAAGCATAAGTAAGGGAGAATATTCGTCATGTACACATTATTGCATAGCTATCCCTCAGTAACAATACTACTAGTGATTCCGACGCCTATGTTACATGTCACCAAGTCGTCTTGGCCTCGCCAGCCGACAAGGCTTCATCCAAGGATAAGTCATCCTCGCGGCGGTCGAGGCGGTTGAAGGGGTTAGGATTTAGGGAACGCTTGCCGCTTTCGTTGTGGCTTCTGGTGGCTTGGTTGATGGTTTGCAATATTTTTGAAGCTCGGCATAAAGTTGTTTGGAACCGTATGGGCCTCATGAACCTGGAAGCTGGGAAACCGAACATGACAAGTTTGTGTTTGGCATCGTTCACTCCAGCATCAATGTCAAGGAATCCGAGAACATTACAGTGAACTGTAGCAGAAAATACAACAGATATGCTCTCGCTTCAACGATGTGATACTTGTGTAATCGCTGGGTACACTACACGAGACTTGGATAGAACACGATGTGCTACAATATCCTAGAACACGGCTGTGGTAGGATTCAATAGCACCTGACAAGGCCACATTATGCCCAACTTCAAACCTAAGCCATAAGAAGCCCGGACGACTGAATGTTAAACCGTATAACATCATATACCGAGAACATGAGGCATAATAAACCCCAGCTCCAACAACCCAATACCCTCGAACCCCGAAGCCCTAAAGCCGAAAACCCTAAACTCCAAAACCTAAACCTTGCCCCAACAGCCTAAGACCCTAAAGCCCTAAACCCCCACAACCCCAACACCCTAAATCTTCAGAGCACTCCTCGCGCTCATCTTTCATTGCTGCACGGATGCCTAGCCATGCTGTCAGGGCTTTGAGATTTAGGGTCTAGAGTTGGGTTAGTAGATACTTGTCACAATAGTGGAGGAGCTACACGAAGAGAGGGCTGCTCTGCTCTGAACATCTTTCTCTTATAGTCATGTAGCATGCTCTTATCACGAAGGAACTACATATACGGTGCATACAGAACAAGTGGACGACGGGTACACTCCAAGCCGATGCACTTGTAGATGTACTATAGGGGCCTTGATAATTAGAACAGGGTTTTGGGGCCCATTATACTATACTTATACTAAGGAACCCCCAAAATAGTATTAGTTACTATTTAGGCCCCAATAGTAACACATCGCAAACTGCTATGATATGCTAGCATCTCCTTTCCTCTGCTACAGTATGAAATACAACTTTCAGAACGTGTGCTGTCAAACCCAGAATCCTGCGAAATCACCTATCTTACAGTCTGTTGAAGCGGGTAGGACATCATGATCCCTGAACCCTGAACCCTCAAAATCGCACACCGTCAACCCTTTCAGCTGAAACCTCTAAAACTTGAACCCCCAAGAACCATAAAGCTCCGCTAAACCCCAAAAACTCGAAACCTGCAACCCTGAACCCTAAAACCCTGTACCCAATGCACCCCCTGAGTTCCCGGCGCTTCTCCGCAGCAAATCGGAGGTTTGACTGATGCAGCCTTTCCCACACCTCGGTTTTAGGGACTTCAGCTGCCAGGGTCGAACAACCGCTGATTATGCTTAGCTAGCGACTTCCAAAGAGCGCTTCTAGTTGCTGCCTTGAGTCTTAAACTGGGTCATCGAAGACAATCAGGCTGACTACGAGCTGGCACCCGACAGCGTTCTACACTCACCTACCCTGGTGTCATAACAATACAAAGCTATCATCATATGCAATAACAACCTGGTATAGTCACCAGTATGCTCTATCGCTGCAGATCCCGTATGACGTGCTGCACTGTTGCACAAACACCCTAAACCCTAAACCCTGGGTGCCAGGCCATGGTACCTTCCTCAATCATGATCGCCATCTCAGATCGGTATGCCTGACCAGATCACGAGCTGAGGCTCTTCCTACGCGACTCAAAGCATCGATACTTTAACGAAAACCCGCTGCTCCAAAAAAGTCTGATCTGCAAGCTGACACGCTGGACTTCGAAACCTCTCTCAGCAGGGTTGATTTGTGGCATGTTGAATGCTCAGAAGCACCACGACTGCATGGCCATCATCATCATCTTCACCATCATCCTAGCTTAGCTTCATCATTACTATTACTGTTGCTATCTTGGCTATGACTGTTACTACTGATATGGGAGTTTCCGAAAATAGGGGACCCTAAAATAGCACCCGAAATAGTAGGACTCTTATTATAAGGGCCCCAAGATAAGGTACCCCTAATTTTCGGAAACTCTAAACCCTAAACCATTTATAGAACCCTTATAGATCCCTTTAAGGATCCGTTTAAAGGGATATCCGTGCTATTGTTACTGCCGTCGTCAATATCATCGACTTCGAAAGCCTCGGAGTTCTCGAGCTGAACCGCCAAAGGGCCCAGGTCGTAGGGAGGATCCTGACGATTCGACCAATATCCCCTAACTAAGGAATATACCTTAAATTATAGTAGGATCCCTAATATGATTTAAGGAATATTCCTTATTTAAGGGATATTGGAGTCTTGGGCATTGCTCTAGAGAGTTGTATGAGGGGTGTGTGGGGTTTATGAAAGTCTTGTACGGCTTTATTGGGATACGATTCTGCTTTCTATACGGCCTCGTGCCGGTACACTTCGAGCTGCATCACATCTTGGTTCAACGTCCATGGGCCGGTGTGTCTTGTCCTAAGTGTTTGGAAGGGCGCTTCTTTGGCCTATTACTATTATTATTATTAATACTATTGTTACTATTATTACTATTACTACTATTATTACTATTATTACTATTATTACTATGATTACTATTATTACTAGTATTACTATTATGACTATTGTTATTATTATTACTATTATTGCAATTATTGCTATTATTACTATTATTACTATTATGACTATTGTTATTATTATTGCTATTATTGCAATTATTACTATTATTACTATTATTACTATTATTACTATTATTACTATTATTACTATTATTACTATTATTACTATTATTACTATTATTGCTATTATTACTATCATTACTATCATTACTATTATTACTAATATTACTATTATTACTATCATTACTATCATTACTATTATTACTACTATTACTATTATTACTATTATTACTATTTTTACTATTACTACTATGCTCCACTCACTCTATTGAAATCCTGCATACTATGTAGCATGGAGTTGTGTTACAAGAACTCATCCACAAGCAATGCTGCATGCAGCAGTGGTCTCTCATTTTCTCTGTCTGCGTCTTTCTGTCGTTCCCTCTTCTCCCTCTCCCTCCCTCGCTCTCTCTCTCTCTCTCTCTCGGTCTTTTTCTCTGGCTCTCGCTCCGGTCTCTCTCTCTCTCTCTCTCGCTCTCTTTCTCTCTCTCCCTCTCTCTCTCTCTCTCTCTCTCTCTCTCTCTCTCTGTGCTTCCGTCGGATCCAGGATCCAGGCATTGAAAACTTCAGACAGTTGAAAGAGTTTTTGATTTTCACGACATATCCAAATCCTACACCGCCTGCTTGTCATGAAGTTTCGTACATTTATATGGAGCTATGCCTCCTTGACAATCGGGGGTTTCATGCGCAAGCCTTAGGGAAGGAGTTTTTGGTTTGTCTACTTGTGCCAGCTTTTTGGAGCTGCTGCTGGCCAGAGGCCGGTTTGGGGCTAAAGTTCGGCGGGCCGAGAGCTCAAGGGCACAAATGCTCCAACTGCCCATAAAGACAATCGAATCTTCCAACTATTGGGTCCTGGTTACAAAAAGACCTACTGCATAAACGACATAAGACAGCTCCTATGACTTCGATGAACTTCTGCAACACCCTTGTAGAACCATAGCGAATTCTGATATTACTCTTATGACGCCTTACAGAACCGTCCGAGCTGGGCTCTTCTAGGATTCTAGGAGTCCTGGATGCCAAAGTCGCTGAACTCTCCTTTGGCATCTTGATATCTGGCCTTCGACAGCTTTCGAGTGGTCTTTCGAGTGGTCTTTCGGGTTTTAGAGACATGGCTTAGGGATTTAGGATTTAGGGACTCTAGAAACGTAAATAATTACCAGTGCCATGTCTTTTTTTTTGGGGGGGGTCCTCATTATTATGATAACCATAGTATTATGGGCCCCAAAACCCTATTCTGAGTATTCAAACACCTACAGTAGGGCCCAAAGTGGCGTTTGTAGGGTCTGCACTGCAAGCGTCTGACCTCCAAAGAGTTTCGATACACTCTACACTGATGACAGAGCTTTGCCTCTGGAAAGTTCGTCAATTCCTAAATCCTTTAACCCCCCAAACCCTAAACCCCAGAACCCTAAACCCTAGAGCCCTAAACCCCTAAATCCTAAACCCCTAAAAAATCCTGAGCCCTACGTATGCATGTTCTCTCTCACCGCGGCTCTCTGAAGGCCTCCTGCTCCAGCATGAAATCCAGGACCTGGGCCCATGGACTTCGAGGTTTAGGGCTTACCACCTCTTAGACTGCCCGCACGCAGTGACAGTCTGCAATACGGCTACTATTAAGGGCCTGATATATCTTTACTATGAAGATTACCCAACTGTTACTGAGTAGTGGCAGTACCCAATCTTGGCCCGAAAAATGGCGCAAAGCAAACCCAATGTCCATCCATGAAAGCCACACAACTTCACAAATGCACAGTAGAAGCAAAGCACCAAAAGAGCAACCGTCGAAACCCTGTTTCCGACCCAGGACCTGGCGGTTTAGGCTTTGGGGTTTAGGGGTTAGGGCATTTTTTTAAGCGCCTCTTTTCCAACTCGCGAGTGCTCGTCGAAAATTCCAAGGGGGAAGGCATCAGGGGTTAGGGTTTAGGATTTAGGAGCTTCTGCCGGGACTAGATAGAACTCGTATTCTGAATAGACCCCTAAAACCCAAACCCCCAAAACCCCTAAACCCTAAATCCTGACGGAAACCCCTTAACTCCCCCGAAACCCCCAAACACGTAAACCTTAAACCCCTGCGCCCCTAAACCGCTAAACCCACCCCGTGAGCAGCAGAATCTCTCTTCTTCAACAACCGGGCCCCAAAAAGTTCAAACTTTCTAAGATAGAGCTAACATACAAGACCAAAAAGCTTACAGTTCCCCCGTTCACTATCTACTTGGAGGATCATGGGACTTAGTAAGTAAGGTTACAAGTACCTTATAATTGGGGTTTTACGTAGTTATAAGTACAGTTACCCCAGTTATAACCCTAGTTACTAAGTCCCATGATCCTTTCAGTAGACCCTAAACCCTAAACCCCCGTTTAAGGAACCCCTGTAGATCCCTTTAAAGGGACCCTTAAAGGAACCCTAGCTACCAAGTCCCATGATCCTTTAAGTAAGGAATGAAAAGGCCCCGACCGCTCGAAGCTCTTCTTTGGCGTCGGCACAGGCGCGCCACCAGCGCCAAAGCTCCTGTCCGATGCGAGCTTACCTAAAGGATCATGGGACTTAGTAGCTAGGGTTCCTTGCAATCCCGAGACGCCAGCTTCCACACCTGAGGTTCTATAAAGATGATCAAGGAAGGTTGGACACAGGGGAGCGCAATGAGGATCCCAAATTCTTCCTAAGACCCTTCGAGGGGCGAGTTTTCCGACCCACAGAAGCGAGTCCCAAACCCGGCTTTTCCATGTTACTTCTGCTGATGGACAAAATCCTGCATTACCCGTTAGAAGGAATATACCATAGTTCCCATAGTTTAGAGTCCTTAGGGTCATGCAGGATTATGTCCATCAGCAGTTTTACATCCCCTTTCCAGCAAAACCTCTAAATCACCAAACCCTGAACCCCTAAATGATGAACCCCTTAGCCTTACACCCCTAAACCATAAAAACCTAAACCCAAACCCCCGAAACCCCCTAAACCTCCTTAAATCCTAAACCCCCTAAACACCCGTAAACCCTACCTAAAAACCCAACCCCTCCGAAACCCCTAAACCCTTAAACCCTAAACCACGCAAACTCCCTCAACCATAAACAATAAACCCACATAAACCCCTTTAGCCCCTAAAACCTTAAACCGAAACCCAGAACACCCTTCAGCCCTACCTGAACCCTAAACCCTAAACCCTAGCCCTAAACCCTAAACCTAAACCCTACCAAAAGCCGTTAAGAACCCTGAAACCCTACCTAAGCCGTCCCCAAAACCTTAAAACCCCTAAACCCGAAACCCTAAACACCAAACCCTGAACTCTAAACCCTAAATCCTAAACCCTATAAACCCTAAGCCCTAAACCCCCAGAGGGCCTGCAGCCCTCTATCTAAACCGTCCCTAAAGGTTTTTGGAGCAGGGACAACGACTGGAGAGCCGGCGCTGAAGCAGCGTACCTTAGGTACTGCCCCCATACAGTAAGAGTCGATAATAGAGCTACTATTAAGGTCCTAATATATCTATATTATGAATATTCCCAAAGGGTACCGAGGTTTCCTGGTGGCTTCGTCTTGTCAGTTGGGCGGCGGCAGACTCCGGAATGGCAAAAAAATCGGGTTGAGGCTTGAGCGGCGAAGGCTTTTTGGATGCTTTTTAGGGTTTCGGGTTTGGCATAGCGGTTCGAAATGGTTTGGGCCCAAAGTTGGAGAGCTGTAAGTTTGCAGGCTGCCGGATGTACCTCTCCCTTGGATCCCTTGGTGAAACCCTTATAGCCCCCTTAAAAAGGAGGTCCTGCAGATTTCTGGCTTTCTCCAGCAGCTCCCTGCCGGCCATGGACTGCCGCACCACCTTCGATGAGTTCCTGAGACAACAGAGGTACTTAAAGGATCATGGGACTTAGGAACTAGGGTTCCTTTAAGGGTCCCTTTAAAGGGATCCATAGGGGTTCCTTAAAGGGATCTATAGGGTTTAGGCTTTAGGGTCTCCTTAAAGGATCATGGGACTTAGTAACTAGGGCTATAATTGGGGTAACTATACTTAACTTATGGCCCCAATTAAGGTAGTTGTAACCTTATGGGGGGTATCTATAGGGGCTCCTTTTAAGGGATCTAGAGGGGCTCCTTTTAAGGGATCTAGAGGGGCTCCTTTAAGGGATCTATAGGGGTACTATAAGGCTATAAGGGTTTTGGGTTTAAGGCCTTAAGGTTCGGGTTTTCGGAGACGGACATAAGGGATCCTGTCGGGTCCTTTAAGGGCTGATTGAAGAGTGCATTTACGGGTTTCTTTAAGAGTTCCTCGGAAAATTTCGCGCTTTAGGGTGTTAGGGTGTAGGGTTTTGAGGTCTAAGGCTTAGGCTTTAGCGGTTTGGGGTCTGCGAGTTCCTTAGAGAGGGTCGTAGGGCTTAGGATTTCAGGGTTTTCTGGGGGTTTAGGGTTTTCTTCTTTTAGGATTCAGGGTTTAGGGTTTAGGGTCTAGGGTTTAGGGTTTAGGGTTAGGGTCCAGGGGTTGAAGGGGGTTTAAGGTTTAGGGGCTTCAGTGGGTTAGGCTGTTTTGACGAATTCCTCGGAGACGGACGTAGTATGGGTTTTCGGGTGTAGGGTTTGAGGGCTCCTTGAACGGATTCCCTTCAGGGTTCCTAGAAGGGTTTAGGGTTTAGGGCTCTAGGGCTTAAGGTTTAGGGTTGATGTGGGATTTGAGGGTGTAAGGCTGTAAGGGTTGGGGTTTTGGGGCTTCGGGGGTTTTAGGGTTAGGGGTTTAGGGTTTTGGGGTTAGGAAGAGTTGGTCGGAGGTTTGGGGCTTTGGGCTTCAAGGTTGAGAATAAGCTCCTTCAAGGGTAGTATGGATTCAGGTTCAGTTTTTGGGGCTCATGGTTTCGGGTTTAGGGCAGCAGGGTGCATGCGGAATCGAGGATGGATTTGGAAACCCAACCGACGTAACTGCTCCCGCCAACTAGGCAAACCTGCCTGTCACACCCGCAGGCCGAACGAGCCAAGCACGGAAAGACCCCCCAAAGCTTTTCCGCGCCCGGAAAAGCCACAGATCGTGCCGGGGGATGCAGCTGCGCTCATACCCTTACGCTCGGCTTTCCCTCAACATCTGAGAGTCCGACACGAAGTTGTCGATGGCCTGCCATGGTTTAGGGTCTAGGGTGTGGGGTTCAAGGGTTTAGGGCTTGCTAAACCCGGAACCGCTGAAAGCCTCAAACCCTAAACCCCATCCTCACGCCTGAAGCCGAGACCCCCTGCAACCCTGAACGCCTGAAACCCTGAAACCCTGAAGCCCCAGAACCCTGAACCCTGTACCCCAAGACCGGACCCTCTCCAGCTGATCTTCGTCCATGGCCGCATCTGCGAGCGCCTCTTTCACACAGAACCATGCACTGTAGGGTTGAGGTTTAGGGTTTTAGGGCCCAGGGTCCAAGGGTTTAGGATGGTTTATGGTTTAAGGCATTAGGCTCAGGGTAGCTTTAGGAGTGTATAGAATTTCGGCACTCTACCAAGATTTGCCCATCTCCGGTCCTCTACATTAGGTTCCGCCTAGGGTGTTTGTATATCTTGGGCATGTCGAGGCTTTGTTTGAGGCTTCTGGATTCCAGCTCCGTCTGCGAAGTGTGACCTGATGTCTTCAGCCTTTGCAAAATAGGAGTCGATACAATCAGAAACACGCTTCGGGCGTGTTTTGCGATTACGGAGCATAGCAGCAATAAATAGCACCCTGCCCTTGATGCTCCCATGCTACCCAGAACCCTAAGCCCCAAATGCTAGAATCAAGAGCTGCGCCTTCCGAAGCTCGATGAGGGCGATCCTGGTCAAGTAAGGCGATGGGAGGTTCAAGACCCGCCCGCTCTGGAACTTTACGGCTTCAGCTTGAAGCATAGCTTAAGTTTGAAAAATTGGGGCCTTTACAACATGTGTTCTTGATGTTTTGCGCTCAGTTATCGCGGATGAGGACTGTCTATGGTGAGGACTTAGGATTCAGAGGTGTTGGAGCCTTAAAGGCTCAAGGCTGAAGGCGCGCATGTTGGCTTCCGGCCCAAGAACGAAGCCGTGGATGCCTTCTGGAGACGACAAGTTTAGGGTTTAGGGGTTTAGGGTTTAGGGGTTTAGGGATTAGGGTTTAGGGATTAGGGTTTAGGATTTAGGGTTTCGGGTTTAGAGTTGAAAGTGCTTATCAGCCAATAATCACCACTTGGAGGTTCATAGGTAGTTATAAAGGGTCCTTTAAGGGCCCCTTTACAGGGAACTTTGGGGATTCTGTAAGGGTATAGGAATTAGGGTTCATGGGTAGTTATAAGTAGGGTTACAAGTCCCCTTGTAATATTTAGAAGTATAGTTACCCTTCTTATAATCCCTTATATAACTACCCATGAACCTCCAAGCAAGGCATCAAAGCTGCAATGGCAAAGCGCAGGTGCAGAAAGCCCCGAAATGCTCTTATGGAGGTGGTGCAGAATTGAATCTCCGAGCGCCACACTCGTCGCTGGTTGTTGGCATATCTTCCGGGACAACGGAATCCCTGTCAGAGCACAGACGTGAAATCAGGTTCATTCCATACTGACCTCCGGAGAAAGCCTCGAGAAAGAAAGCCCGCATATGTTTTCGATCGACCAACCCTCCGCATGCCCCAACCATGAAGCCCAGTATCGCATCGGATCAAAGAAGCAGCTAGGCTGTTGAACCTCAAGGTTTAAGGTTTCGTGCATTTACGGTTAAAGCTTTAGGGCTTTCGGGGTTAGGGCTGTAGGGTATATGGTTTAGTGAGGGTGCTGGGTGCTGTAACTGCTTGACTAAGGAGAGGGGCCAAAAGCTTGCCGTCATGAGCTGTTTCCCAGTCTTCCTCGCCTTTGCTGAGCCAACATAAGCACAAAGAAGTTCACGCAACCCTAAACCCTAAACTAGACCCTAAACCCTGATAGAACCCTAAACCTTAAACTCCCTAAACCCTCATAAAACCCTAAACCCTAAACTGCCCGCCTGTGCCCAGCTGAAAAAGAAACGTTGTCCACCGAGCTTCCGCACTCTGCTGCGCTCAGGGCGGGATCCGCCTTGTGTGAACAGCTTTTGGGGTTTAGGGTTTAGGGGTTTAGGGTTTCGGGGTTTAGGGTTTAGGGTCTAGGGCTACTTCGCACTTGGGGGTTGGATGCTTCGAAACATCGCTCAAACTGCTTGCCAAAACACCGCTTATATCTCTCCCCACAACAACAACTGCCATTACCATTACTGCTGCTGCTGATACTACTGCTGCTGCGACTACGACTACGACTACGACTACGACTACGACCACGACCACGACCACGACTACGACTACGACTACGACTACGACTACGACTACGACTACGACTACTAATAATAATAATACTACTACTACCACTAGTGCTGTTGCTCTTACTCTTCTTATCCCTAATTACCCAATTCCAATTATTACTACTATTACTGTTACTATTTCTACTTACATTTACTAGTAGTGCTGCTTTTGCTTTTATGACTACTATTATATACTACTACGTTTACAACTAATGTTACTACTAGCATCACTAGTACTATCCTATTCCTATTACCAATACCATTACTGTTACGACTCCACATGATATGAACAATATCACTATTACCACTACTTTTACCATAACTATTAGTGTTGCTAGTGCTACTAAAACTACCACACTATGGTTCTGGCGATCACTATCACACTATGGTTCTGGCTATCACTATCACCATGACCATGACTATCACTGGAACTGTGACTGTTTACTGAACCGTGACGATTACTGATACTATTACAGCGGCTGATACTCTTACCTTTGTTGCTATTCTGGTTATTATCGTTGATACTACTGTTACTATGCGTATGATGTCTTTGTTCTGGTTATTGTCACTATGACTGTCCTTGCTATATACGTTGCCGGTTGTTCTTCGTATTCATACTATTGACTATCTCTTCTTCTGCGTTTTCTCCATCTTCTCCGTGCTGTTGTCGTCCTTGCTGTGCAAGTTGATGACACTGCGTCTGGTTGATAATGGTCTCAGTACTAGTGTTTTTGTTGGTGCTTTGATGCTGCTTTGGCCTTTGCTCCTGCTGCTGCGAATGCTGCCGCTCTTGATGGCACTGCTGCCCTTGTTGTTGCTATGTTCCGTGCTTGTGATCTTGTGGTCACTGCTGGTGTCTTTAGCCGTTGCTGTTGCCGTAACTGGTGGCGGCCAGAACTGCCCCTGGCTTCTGTCTTGGTGGCTGGCGCTTCCACGGAGAAAACGACACCCATAAAGACACACGAAACGACTCAAAGATCAGTTTCTGAGCGTCATGCGAGCAAGACTGCGTTGATCCGGCAGTCCAGGAGAATTCGCCGATCTACTTCCTCACAACCACACAAGCTTCATGAAACTTCGTCGGACCCTCTGTGCAGCTGCTTCGGAAATCAGGACAAGCAGGCTGTCCTGCACGAGGCCATCGTTGACCATCACGATGGCATTCTCCGATAGCATCTGCAGGGTCCAGGGGTTACCGATAGCCATTCGTATGCTGTACCACGAGATATGGTACTGCTTACTAATTTTTGTCTGCTATGCGGGGAACATGCGTCAAAGTACACTTGGGCCTCAACGGATAAAGAAGTAGATAGTCAGGCTGACAACTTTGTAGAGATGTGCCTGCAAGGCTGTCCGTCTGATGTATGTTTGCGTCGAACAGAAAACTGCGTGTACAGCTGTGGTGTACTTGGAGACCGACAGGTAGATAGATAAACAGACAGAGAGATTAGACAGCCAGACAAACCGACAGACAGACACACAGACAGACGGATAGAGGGATAGGTGGGTAAGTAGGTAGATGGATAGCTAGGCAGCATGCAGAGGTAGAGAGATAGACAGGGCTATTCATCAGAGATAGCTCAAAGTCGACTCTAGTCTCTGACAGTACAAAACCCTAGGCCCTAAACCCTTCCAGGAACCTTCTGTGAAACCTTAAAGCAACCCTCCACACGAGTTTCTGTCGGAGCCCGGAACCATTCCGATATCGGTCCACCTCTGAGAAGATGTTCAGAGCCTTCTGCAGCTCGTCTCCGTCCTTCAGTCTTTGCTTGGGTTTGGGTTCAGGGTTTAGGGTTTGGGATCTGGGGCGGTGCTAGTCTTCTGGATGGTGTTGACTGCGTATAACCCTCGACACTAAACCCAAACCTGAAATCCTAATATTGGGGCCTGAGTAATTAGAATAAGGTTCTGGGGCCCAGTTTACGATACTTATAATCAGGAACCGCCAGGATAGTAATGGTAACTACTTAGGCTCTATACTAACCTGGAGCGTCTGGGCTGTCCAGGCTGTCGTATGTATTCGTAACGTATGTCCAGACATATCTCCATCGCTATATATACATATACACACGCACGTATGTATGACGTGCATAGATACCAACATGAGTGTACACACTCCAGTGCATGCCTGAAGATACGTGCTTGTGCCTTCTTCATGGCAAGAAAGCTTTGCATTAGCTACCCACGAACTGTGGTAAGAGCAAAAGGTGGCCACAGGCGCTACTGAAACCCTAAACCCCTACACCCTAAACTCTTGAAAACTGAATCCCCATGTCCACGACCTGATGAAGGGCTTAAGTTCTCCCTTACATTACCACAATCTACTTTTCTGTAGATCCTGAAAGACCTCTGATGAAAGAACCTGCAGTTTGCTTTGGGATTCTGGTTCGATGACAGGGAGACTTGTGGGCATAAGTGGGGCTCCTAAGCTTAAGACCCCAGGCACCTGCGTAGACGGGTGGCGCTTAAGCCTTAAGCTCCTAGAAGCAGTTTTGGACAAGGTGAGTCTCTGGGTTCAGAGGTTAGGTTTAGGATTTAGGGCTTTCGAGTTAGGGTTCAGGGTGTTATTGCTTAGGGTTGGGGTACAGTTTCCAGACCCTGACAGAGAAATGGCAGTTTCCGAAAACAGGGGACTCTAACAAAGTACCCCAAGTAGTAGGATCCTTTGTATAAAGACCCCAAAATAAGGTACCCCTAATTTTCGGAAACTGCCAAATGGCTTTGACGGCTTACATACTTCTCCGGTGCAGTCCCGCTCCACCATGCGGGCACAGAGAGTGCCCTCGGCTTGACTGTATAGAACATGCCAGTCGAACTCCTGCGCGATCAGAGAAGATCTCGGCATGAAGTTTTAGGAAATACGGCTTATGATATAAATCCTGCATTACCTTAAGGACCCTAAGCCAGGGGAATTAGGGTAAATTCCTTATTATGGGTAATGCAGGATTTATACCATCAACAGTACCACTAGCAGTGAGGCAAAAAGGCTAGACCGGGCTATGGTGAACGAGATTGCTACTCTACCCGCCCGAACTCAAGGATGCACTATGTATGACATACCAACCTATGCCCCCAAACCTAAACCCTGAACTGAACCCCAGCTCCAAAATCCTAAACCCTCCAACCCGTAACTCTAAACCGAACCTTCGGTGATAAACTGCGGACTGCTTAGATATGAGTTTCCGGGTAAGGCGTTTAAGGGCCGTCTGCGGGTATCTTGCAGAAGTTCTAGGGATTCAGGGTGTAGAGGCTTAGGGAGAAGTTGACGGTCTGGGGATTCGAATGCTTGTTCAACTTTGAAAGCAGCTGTGTTTAGGATATAGGGCTAGATGGCTTGAGGTCCTGGGTTTCATGTTGCTATTTCGATGCAGACTCACCCTTGGCTACCAAATTGTTCTTGACCCTGGTCCGTGCAAATTCAAAAGGCCCCACATTGTAAACTCGAAATCCCTAAACCCTGTACCTAAACCCTAAACCCTAAAGAAGCCCCAAAACCCAAAACCCTTGACTCTAGACGCCGAAGCCTCAGAAGCAAATCCGAAACAGCGCCTAAACCCTAAACCCAAATCCCTAAACCCGAAAACCTAAACCCTATAAACTCTATAAACCTTGTAAACCATATAAACCCTATCCGCCGACCCCTGCGGGCGGCGCCCGTGATATCCCGAGAGGTGTCCGCACCCACACCGCTTCCACCGCCTCCACCACTCTGTTCAAAGAGTCTTTCACCGCTGTATTTGTAGGTGTTTAAAGAGTATATGTAAAGGCTGCCAATGTGTGCCCGGCGCCCACACCGCCCCCACCGCCCCCACCGCCCACACCGCCCACACCGCCCCCACCGCCCACACCGCCCTCACCGCCCTCACCACCCCCACCACCTTCATCCCCCTCCACCGCTTTCACCGTTCCCACCGTCTCCACCGCTCTCACCGTCCGCTGTATTTGTAGGTGTTTAAAAAGTAAAGAGTATTTAAAGGCTGCCAATGTGTGCCCGGACCCCCCCGCGCCCACACCGCCCCCACCGCCCCCACCGCCCACACCGCCCCCACCGCACCGCCCCCCCCGCCCCCACCGCCCACACCGCCCACCACCCCCACCACCTTCATCCCCCTCCACCGCTTTGTTTCCACCTCACCGCCCGCTGTATTTGTAGGTGTTTCAAGAGTAAAGAGTATTTAAAGGCTGCCAATGTGTGCCCGGACCCCCCCGCGCCCACCGCCCACACCGCCCCCACCGCCCCCACCGCCCACACCGCCCCCCGCCCCCACTGCCCACACCGCCCACCACCCCCACCACCTTCATCCCCCTCCACCGCTTTCACCGTGCCCCCACCGCCCACACCGCCCCCCCCGCCCCCACCGCCCGCTGTATTTGTAGGTGTTTAAAGAGTAAAGAGTATTTAAAGGCTGCCAATCTGTGCCCGGACCCCCACCGCCCACACCGCCCTCACCACGCCCTCACCACCCCCACCACCTTCATCCCCCTCCCCGCTTTCACTGTCCCATCGGCCCTCACCGCCCGCTGTATTTGTAGGTGTTTAAAGAGTAAAGAGTATTTATAGGCTGCCAATGCGTGCCCGGACCCACCCGCGCCCCCACCGCCCTCACCGCCCTCACCACCCCCACCACCTTCATCCCCCTCCACTGCTTTGGCTTTCACCGTTCCCACCGTCTCCACCGCTCTCACCGTCCGCTGTATTTGTAGGTGTTTAAAGAGTAAAGAGTATTTAAAGGCTGCCAATGTGTGCCCGGACCCCCCCGCGCCCACACCGCCCACCCCCCACCCGCTCCCACCGCCCACACCGCCCCACCGCCGCCCCCCCCCCCACACCACCCACCACCACCACCAGCTTCATCCGCTTTCACCGTTTGTATAGGCTGCCAATGTCTGCCCGGACCCCCCCGCGCCCACACCGCCCACACCGCCCCCACCGCCCACCGCCCACACCGCCCCCACCGCCCACACCGCCCTCAGCCCTCACCACCCCCACCGCTTTCACCGTTCCCACCGTCTGCCCGGACCACGCCCCCACCGCCCACACCGCCCTCACCGCCCTCACCACCCCCACCACCTTCATCCCCCTCCACCGCTTTCACCGTTCCCACCGTCTCCACCGCTCTCACCGTCAGCTGTATTCGTAGGTGTTTAAAGAGTAAAGAGTATTTAAAGGCTGCCAATGTGTGCCCGAACCCCCCCGCGCCCACACCGCCCCCACCGCCCACACCGCCCACACCCCCACCGCCCACACTGCCCCCCCCGCCCCCACCGCCCACACCGCCCACCACCCCCACCAGCTTCATCCCCCTCCACCGCTTTCACCGTTTCCACCGCTCTCACCGCCCGCTGTATTTGTAGGTGTTTAAAAAGTAAAGAGTATTTGAAGGCTGCCAATGTGTGCCCGGACCCCCCCGCGCCCGCACCGCCCACACCGCCCACACAGCCCCCACCGCTCACACCGCCCCGCCCCCACCGCCCCCACCGCCCACATTTCCCTCACCGCCCTCACCACCCCCACCACCTTCATCCCCCTCCACCGCTTTCACCGTTCCCACCGTCTCCACCGCTCTCACCGTCCGCTGTATTTGTAGGTGTTTAAAGAGTAAAGAGTATTTAAAGGCTGCCAATGTGTGCCCGGGACCCCCCCGCGCCCACACCGCTTCACCGCCCACACCGCCCACACCCCCGCCCCCACCGCCCACACCGCCCACCACCCCCACCACCTTCATCCCCCTCCACCACGTTCACTGTTTCCACCGTCTCCACCGCGCTCACCGCCCGCTGTATTTGTAGGTGTTTAAAGGCGCCCCCACCGCCCACACCGCCCCCACCGCCCACACCGCCCTCACCGCCCTCACCACCCCCACCACCTTCATCCACCGCCACCACCCCCACCATCTCCATTACTGCCATGCCTGCACTGTGCCTCCACCGCTTTCACCGTTCCCACCGTCTCCACCGCTCTCACCGCCCGCTGTATTTGTAGGTGTTTAAAGAGTATTTAAAGGCTGCCAATGTGTGCCCGGACCCCCCCGCGCCCCCACCGCCCACACCGCCCTCACCGCCCTCACCACCCCCACCACCTTCATCCACCGCCACCACCCCCACCATCTCCATTACTGCCACGCCTGCACTGTGCCTCCACCGCTTTCACCGTTCCCACCGTCTCCACCGCTCTCACCGCCCGCTGTATTTGTAGGTGTTAAAAAGTAAAGAGTATTTAAAGGCTGCCAATGCCCCCCGCGCCCCCACCGCCCACACCGCCCCCACCGCCCACACCACCCTCACCGCCCTCACCACCCCCACCACCTTCATCCACCGCCACCACCCCCACCATCTCCATTACTGCCACGCCTGCACTGTGCCTCCACCGCTTTCACCGTTCCCACCGTCTCCACCGCCCGCTGTATTTGTAGTGTTTAAAGAGTCCCACCCGCCCACCCCGCCCCCCACCGCCGCCCCCACCGCCCACACCGCCCTCACCGCCCTCACCACCTTCATCCACCGCCACCACCCCCACCATCTCCATTACTGCCACGCCTGCACTGTGCCTCCACCGCTTTCACCGTTCCCACCGTCTCCACCGCTCTCACCGCCCGCTGTATTTGTAGGTGTTTAAAGAGTAAAGAGTATTTAAAGGCTGCCAATGTGTGCCCGGACCCCCCCGCGCCCCCACCGCCCACACCGCCCCCACCGCCCACACCGCCCACACCGCCCTCACCGCCCTCACCACCCCCACCACCTTCATCCACCGCCACCACCCCCACCATCTCCATTACTGCCACGCCTGCACTGTGCCTCCACCGCTTTCACCGTTCCCACCGTCTGCACCGCTCTCACCGCCCGCTGTATTTGTAGGTGTTTAAAGAGTAAAAGAGTATTTAAAGGCTGCCAATGTGTGCCCGGACCCCCCCCGCGCCGGCCTTGCGATGCGCCGCCGCGCGCGCGATTTTTTTGTCATATACCACCCCATGGCCACAACTGTACTGGTTCCGTTTATACTACTGTACTACGACGACCGACCCCCCCTCAATAATCAATCCCCCCCACCCCGGGCGCCAAATCAATCAAGGGGGGGGGAGAGGGGGGGGGGGGTTATTAATAGGAGGTTGACATTAATCAAAACGAACACAGCCTTCCTGCGAAACTTGGTTTTGTGCGGATGCCTTTTGCCTCTGAGTCACAAGGTTGCTGAAACATGCGCACACAATGTCCGAGAGCTGAGCACTGCGTCAGTCCGAATACTTCGCCGCATCAGTCATGTGCTCATGCTACTCGTGCCAGTTACAAGACTTGCAGGCCCTATCTTATTATTTCATGTCACTTCCTCCGTACCAGGGTTGGCTGCTTACAACACCTGCTGCCTTCCTTGGATAGTCACCTCTCTTCTTTTGGGGTCGGCGGCAGTGGCGGCAGCCCATAAATAAACCCTATGAACCCTAAACCCCAAGCCCCATAAACCCCATGAACCCTGTAAACCCTGTAAACCCTATAAACCCTGTAAACCCTAAACCCAAATCCCTAAACCCTATGAGCCCTAAACCTATAAACCCTATAAACCCTATCAACCCTATAAACCCGAAAAACCCTGTAAACCCGAATAAACCCTATAAACCCTGTAAACCCCGAAACCCTAAACAGCCCCAAATGCAAGCCTCTAAACCCTATAAACCCTATAAACCCTGTAAAAAAAGGCCCCAAATGCTAGCCTCCACATCACGGGAAGCATCTGCATCCAAGCGATGGAGCTCGAAGATCTTCGCCTGCCACACTCCGGGAGCTTAAGGTTACGGCTTTGGGGCTTAAGGGTTTAGGGTTTTGGGGCGTAAGGGTTTAGGGATTGGGGCTTAGGGTTTAGGGCTTAAGGGTTTAGGGTTTAAGGTTTAGGGATTAGGGTTTAGGGTTTAGGGATTAGGGTTTGTGACGGGTTTAGGCTTTAGGGATTAGGGTGCTGGAATTTTGGAGGAATACACGTTACATCTGAGTGCTAAAGCTCCGTTTTGGGGTATTTTGCACGACGCCCAAGGAATGTTCCCTGGCTAAGGGGTTAGGGTCTAAGGTTCATTGACTTTGGAAACACGGACATACGCACGGTGAGGGCTCGCTGGAGAAAGCTTCCAAGCATCCAGTTGTTTGCTGCCTTTTAGCCGATGAGCCTGGTGGCAGGTAGTAAAGGTACCTCATTAAATAAAAGAAGCCGAAGGAGAGTCGTTTATATCGAAGCTTTCTAAGGACTTTTTTGGGACACATGACTACGAATTCTTCAATCCCCGAAGCCATCAACCATAAAGCCTGACCCCCAACCCAAAAGGCTAAGCCCTGAACGCCAAACCCGTAGATCCCACACACCCTGAGAGGCCCGAAGCTCCAAATTAGAGGGTTTAGGGTTTAGGGTTTAGGGCAATGGGCCTCTGGCGTGTCCTCGAACACCGTATTGCCACCGCAGTGGCGGTCCACTGTCATTATCAACCTTTCGGGTTCGTTTAGGGTAGAAGATCCTGCATTACCCAAAATTAACAAGGAATATACCATAATTCCCATAGTTTAGGGCTTAAGGTAATGCAGGATTTATATCATGAATTATCAACCTTTCGGGTTCGTTTAGGGTAGAAGATCCTGCATTACCCATAATTAACAAGGAATATACCATAATTCCCATAGTTTAGGGCTTAAGGTAATGCAGGATTTATACCATGAATTATCAACCTTTCGGGTTCGTTTAGGGTAGAAGGTCGACATGGAGAACTCTTCATCCTGCAAGCTCTGACTATCACGCAGAATGGTAGTGGTACTAGCAGTAGAAACAGTAGTAGTAATCGTCGTCGCCGCCGCCGCCGTCGTAGTAGTAGTAGTAGTAGTCGTCGTCGTCGTCGTCGTCGTCGTAGTTGTCGTAGTAGTAGTAGTAGTAGTAGTAGTAGTAGTAGTAGTAGTAGTAGTAGTAGTAGTCGTAGTCGTAGTCGTAGTAGTAGTAGTAGTAGTAGTAGTAGTAGTAGTAGTAGTAGTAGTAGTAGTAGTAGTAGTAGTAATAATAGCAGTAGTAGTAGTAGTAGTCGTAGTAGTAGTAGTAGCAGTAGTAGCAGTAGTAGTAGGAGTAGTGGTAGAAGTGGTAGTAAGGCTGGTAGTAGTAGTAGTAGTAGTAGTAGTAGTAGTAGGAGTAGGAGTAGGAGTAGTGGTAGAAGTGGTAGTAAGGCTGGTAGTGGTAGTAGTAGTAGTAGTAGTAGTAGTAGTAGTAGTAGTAGTAGTAGTAGTAGTAGTGAGAAAGATAATGATAGTAGTCATAAGAACAAGAACAATAACTATCGTACAGATTCTTCTGACAAACCGCGTCCCAGCTTTCACCGATCTGAACACCGGCTCAATGGATTTTAAATTTTAACAGGAACCTTCTTGACTTGTGAAATAAGATGACTTCTTCGTCCTGGGGAGGCCACTTCTTCGGCTTGCGCTGCAGCTCGTACAGCATGACCTGTTCGGAAACGGCTCAAGGTTCCGGGTTGGGGGATGTCCAAGTCAGTTCAAACCTGCCCTTCAGAACACGTCATGAGAAGCATTGGGGAAATGCGAGACCTGAACTGACCGAACTCATACCCACGAGCAAGAAAACCAGTGCAGAGATATTACACCTTGAAGGTCATACTCGCAATGGTGCTGGCTAGCAGCGAAAACTGGAACACTACTGTCACAGTCTTGGCAGTACGAGTGACTCCAGTCGAAATAACAACGGCGATTTATGTCACGGTCATGATTTTCCTCAGGGTGGTGTAAGCAGTGGTCTGAAACGAGGCTGCAGGACACCAGTTTCGTCAGCACGAAAAGCCAACAGAATGTTGCACCCCCACTTGAAGGCTTCGGATGCGGGGCTGCAACAAAGCAAAACTGAAGGTCTGTTCCTGGCTCGCACCTCTCTGGCAGCTTAAAAAGGAGACAGCCTTAATCATTAGACTCGGGGCCCATTATACCACTGACAAGAAAAAGGAACCCTCAAAATGGTATAGGTAATTACTTGGGCCCTAGAGTAACCCCTCAACCCAACCAACCCTGCTACCCCGGCCCCTTCTCTCACGCGCACCTGAGCTCCCTGGAAGCCGTTCACCTTCTTGATGACCTGCGGTTGGTAGGACTGATGAGGCTTGTGCGCCGGAACGTTGAGGCCACAGTGTGTACGAACCGCTGATTGCGAACATGCAAGCGCAACATAACCTTAAACCCTAAACCCTAATCCCTAAACCCCTAATTCCCTAAATTTTAAACCCTAATCCCTAAAACCCTATTTCCCTAAACCCTAACCCCTAAAACCCTAATCCCTAAAACCCTAATTCCCTAAACCCCTAATTCCCTAAACCCTAATCCCTAAAACCCTAATCCCTAAACCCTGGCGCAAAAACGACTCGATCCGTGGGAGACCTGTCTCTGAGGGTTCTGATTTTCGAGCTTCTCCTTGTTTTGCCCTAAACCCTAAACCCTAAACCTTAAACCCTAAACCCTAACCTTAAACCCTAAACCCTAAGCCCTAAACCCTAAACCTTAAACCCTAAACCCTAAACCCTAGACAGCTAGGTCTTAGGGCCTAGGGCTTATGAGCTCTGTGACGAAGGTTCCAGCCTTCAGGAGTTTCGAAAAACGATCTGCCGAACTGGCGCTACGGAACCTGCTGGGTTTGGGGTGTAGGGTTTATGGCTTAGGGGGGTTGTTTAGGGCTTAGGGTTTGGAGTTTAGGGTTTAGGGTTCAGGTTCCGCCGAAGGCCGTCTTAGACTTTACTAAACACACCGCTTTCATTCCAAGGTTAGCTCTTTCAAGTACCCTAGAACCTTCTAGAACCTTTCTTCTACAACCCAAGGGGTACCTGTCAGGAGATCCTGAGCCCAAATCCTCATAGAGCCTAACAGTACTTGGAGGTTCATGGGTAGTTATAAGTGGGGTTTTATGTAGGGTAACTCTTTTTAGAAATTCATATTTGGGGACTTATAACCCTGCTTATAACTACCCATGAACCTCCAAGGGACATAGACCTTCGGGAGAAGATCCCTTTGAAGAGAGCCGGAAGTAGGGCTGAGGGTCCCCTTTTAAGGGCTCTCCCCAAGACTAGGAATAGTAGAACCCGCATAGACCAGGATGCCCAGTAACCTAAGAAAAAAAGGCCTCTCTTTTTGGTATTGGGTAACTTTATAAGGAACCTAGGACTACAAAAAGGGAATAAGGGTACTACTGGGCATCCTAGTAGTCGAACCCTTACAGTAATCCCCAGACCAAGCTAAGAATGGGAGAAATGGGTCGAGCCCTGAACCGTTCTCCCATTCTTAGCCCCAGTACTTAGGGTTTAGGGTTTAGGGTTTAGGGTTTAGGGTACCCTGAACCCCAAACCCTAAACCCTAAACCCTAAACCCCAAACCCCAAACCCTAAACCCTAAACCCTAAACCCTAAACCCTAAACCATGACAGCTAAGACCCACACCTCCCCAGGCTGCAGGGCGTAGCTCATCTCGAAGCCATGGAGTTCAAAAGGCTCCTGTTTGGGTTTGAGGAGTCTAAGTCTAAGGGTTGATTTAGGGGTTTTAAGTTTTAAGTAATTCTAGGAACAAGGATTACTGTAAGGGTTTAGGGTTTAGGATTGGAAGGGTTGCTCTAAAAGGGTTTTAGGTAATTTTACGTACAAGGATTACTGTGAGTAAGGGATTACGATGCTGCTCCTCGCAGCAGACGGCAGCAAGTAGGCGACATGTGAACAGTCAAGGTCTTAGCTGATCGTAACGACCGAGCCGCAGCAACACATCATCGGGTTTCGATGTTTCATGAATGCTCGGCAAGCCGAAAATGCCCTCACACGGACCATGGTACCATCTTGCAGCAGCATTGTCGGGTTGGAACTTTCAGCGTGTCTCTGCGTGGGTGTTGGTCATGCAGCAGGTGCCAGCCATTCCTTAGTTAAGCTAGCTGAACTTTCAAGAACCCAGTCGGCGAGGGGCACAGCATGATGTATCGACGACATCGAGATGCCCCAAACCTTCATCGAACTAGAAGGAATGTTCACAGCGGTCGCAAGATGTGGCCATGCCGGCTCCCACTCAGCCGCGTAAGTCCTGCTTGGCATTCCACTCGTCCACCGCGGAACCCGGCACTACCTTCGTCTTTCTGCCACGCTGTGACAAGCTTCATCTTCGATGCATCAACCACTTTCTGCAGGAGCACAAGTCTATGCAGAGAACGCAGTGTACGGCCTCACCGCACATGAGGACAGTAAAACAATCGCATGTTCCATGCCTTGTCTACCATCAGCAGCTTCATGGAGGTGTCCGCGGTCTCTACCTGAAGACCCTCGTGGCCATCGACGCAAACCTGGCCAAGCATGAGAGAAGGATGGGCACAGGCGCCAAACCGTTCCGCTGACCTGCTCCTACGTGACCGAATAGCAGTGTTGCGCATGTCTTGCGGACAGTCAATATCTAGTCTGAACCGCGCAGGGAATCCAGATCCTCCACCCCACCCGTACTCTCCATATCCGAAATCGAACTGCGTGCGTCCACTTGCCCCACGTTTCGGGCCTCCCTTCTGAGCCAGCGCTCGGAGCAAAGCAAGTCCCGCGGACCGGGACCTCGACAAGTTGCATTACCACCCCTGCCCCGACATCAGCACCGTCCCGCCAGCGTTATCATCACTAGCAACATCATGATCATCCTCATGGACCTCATGATCATCATCATCGTCATCCCAGATACTGCCATCGCTGTCCTTCAGCTCTCATTCCTCATCCAGCATCCACCATGCATCAAGGTCTTCGTAAACAAAGGCAATGCTGTTACAGATACGGTCAATTCCTTCCTCTTCCAATAAGTCATGATGGTCAACATGTCCTGCGCTTGCTTCTGCTTGTGCACCACCATTACGGATGGTCGTCGTCATCCTAGCATGGTCGTCGAGTCGTCGAAGTAGTTGTAGTAGTAGTCGTCGTACGGGTCGTAGTAACATCACTAGTACCAGCAACAATACCACCATTAATCGTCGCCATCAGCGTCGTCGCCGGCATCAACAAATGTGGGGCTTTCGGTCGATGGTTTCGGGCTGACAGTCGAGGAATTCCGGAGTGACTTGGATTTAAATCATGAACAATCCTCGAAACAAGACCGAAATAACACCAGAGCTCCAAAATTCCCAAGAAGACTTCTGGGGCCACGGGCGAAGGGTCACAGGCACCGAGGCACCCGCGACGAGCTGTCAAGGACAGGAAACGCACGGTTTGATTTTTTGGTCCATACATATGGTGGGAGCTAATCTTAGTCGATTCTTTGCCGTACCACCTCTTCTCTCCAACTCTGCCCAACAATCGTTTGCCAGTCGGAACCTACAGCACCATGAACAGCCCCGACCACCTAAAAGTGTATTCACAGAACCACATCCCGAAGTCACGAATCCAGAGGCTCATGTAACCTTTAGAAACAGAACTCAAGCCTCTGAGTTCATCTCCCAAACATGATCGGTTGTAGCAAGGATCGCCACTTAGCGGCAGGCTAGTCGCTGCATACTACTATCACGACGACGACGATGGCGACGATCACCACTACTGTCAGTAATCGTAGAAGTGCTAACAACGGCGAAAGAAATTGTAACAGTCGCCGCAATCGCCGTGGTATTCGCAGCAGCACCCAGCGGCAGTAGTGGCAGTCGTAATGCAGCAGCATATGTTGTCAAGAACCAGCCAGCTGAAACAGATAGGATACGGGCAACAGCCGCAGCATGGGTAGTTATAATACTGACTCAGTGATGCCCAGCAAGAATGCCCAGCACAACTGACATTATGATAATTGCACACTGTATTCTATCATCTTCGATGAAGTTACAGTAGATTATGTTATACTGTACCATTAGACCATAAATAGGGCTTAGGGGTTTAGGGCCTTAGGGGTTTAGGGTTTAGGGGTTTCGGGTTAGAGGCTTAAGGGGTTTTTTGGGGGAGTGTACAATAAACCAATAAACCTTAGAAGGGGACCCCACCCTGTAATGGTGGTATAACAGGAAAAAATAGGGCCCTAATATAATCCTCTACAATAAACCCTCACAGCTTCGGGGTTTAGGGCCTTTAGGGTTTAGGTTTAGGGGTTTCGGGTTCAAGGCCTTAGGTTTTTTTGGGGGGGAATAAACCCTCACAGTTCCAAGCCGAGCATTCCGTGCGGGCCTTGGACGGGCAAGCAAAGCGAGGTCTCTGGGACCAATCATCCTCCTCTGGGTCCTGCGGTTGCTGACATAAATCATGCATTACCCATAATAAGGAATATACTATAATTCCCATAGTTTAGGACCCTTAAGGTAACGCAGGATTTATATCTCTGGGTCCTGCTTAGGGTTTAGGGTTTATAGAGCTTGGGGTTTAGGGTTCAAGGTTCAGGGTTTGGGGTCTAGGGCTTAGGGTTTAAGGTTTGGGGTCTAGGGCTTAGGGTTTAGGGTTTGGGATTTAGGGTTCAGGAAATAGGGTTTGGGATTTCGGGTTCAGGGTTTCGGGTTTGGGGTTTAGGGTGCGGGAATTAGGGTTTGGGATTTAGGGTTCAGGGTTAGGGTTTGGGATTTAGGGTTAAGGAATCAGGGTTTGGGGTCTAGGGCTTCGGGTTTAGGGCTTGGGATTTAGGGTTCAGGCTTTAGGATTTGGTTTTTAAGGCTTAGGGTTTAGGGGTTTGGGGTTTAGGGTTTAGGGTGAAGGGTTTGGGTTTAGGGTTTGGGCCTTTTTCTTTAAAGTTACGATGATCTCCCTTTGTCCACCTGCCCAAGCCGGCTCCACTGTAACAATCAAGAGGGTTTGGGATTTAGGGTTTAGGCTTTAGTCAGGAGGCGTAGCTATACACATGCAAAGCTCCAGAACCTAAACACCGAACCCCTCAACGCTTGAAGCGCAAACCCCGGAACCCTCTAAACAACGAAACCCTTACCCTTAGGCTCTAAGGACTCGGACTCATGTTTCAGGCAAAGACCATACTATATACGGCTTTTAGGCTACTTGGGAGTTTCCGAAAATAGGGGACCCTAATACCCCAAATAGTAGGATCCGTATTACAAGGACCCCCAAATAAGGTGCCCAATTTTCGGAAACTCTAAACCCTATACCCTTTATAGAACCCTTGTAGATCCCTTAGAGGAACCCTTATAGATCCCTTTAAAGGTACCCCTAATTTTCGGAAACTCCCATTTTGAGCCTTATAGAACCCTTATAGATCCCTTACAGGAATCCTTAAAGGATCCCTTTAAAAGGTACCCCAAAGACCATACTATATAAGGCTTTTCGGCCATTTTGAGCCTTGGGGTTAAACCTCGAAGCCCGCGGGATCGGTCCAGGCCAAGCACTGCGTCGCTGACTTTAGCTGAGGCGGAGATGCTAACAGACCTGGCAGACGCAGGCTTTAGGTTTTTCTTTTTTTGAGGGCCCTTTTCCACCTGTCCAGCAGTTAGAACTCCTTTATTAGGGTTTAGGGTTTTAGGGTTCAGGGGTTTAGGGGTTTAGGGTTTCGGGTTTTAGGGTTCAGGGGTTTGGGGGTTTAGGGTTTCGGGTTTTAGGGTTCAGGGGTTTAGGGGTTTAGAGTTTCGGGTTTTAGGGTTCAGGGGTTTAGGGGTTTAGGGTTTCGGGTTTTAGGGTTCAGGGGTTTAGGGGTTTAGGGTTCAAGGGTTTAGGGGTTTAGGGGCTTGGGGGTTTAGGGTTTAGGGTTTAGGGGTTTAGGGGTTTAGGGGTTTAGGGGTTTAGGGGTTTAGGGGTTTAGGGGCTTGGAGGTTTAGGGTTTAGGGGTTTAGGGTTTAGGGTTCAGGGTTCAAGGTTTGTGATGGCTTCGGTTGTCTAAGGCCGCTGTCTCTCCGTAACACTGAACCCTAAACCCCGAACACCCAGGCCCCCAAAACTCTAAGCCCCGTAACCTTAAACTCCCGTAAAACCCGACACTGTCGACCTCGAGACCTAAACCCCGTAAACCCCTACACCCCTAAACCCCTTAACACCCAAACCCCTAAACCCCTTAACACCCAAACCCCTAAACCCCTTAACCCCTAAACAAACCCCTAAACCCTAAACCCCTAAACCCTAGCAGGTGCCTGGAGAGGTCAGAGAAGGCAGACCAGCCCCGGTCGGTAAGCACAGCTATGCCTCAAAGACAATCACAGAATGAGGCTTAGAGTTTTAGGGTTTAGGGTTTCGGGTGTCGGGTTTTAGGATTTAGGGGTTTAGGGCTTAGGCTTTAGAGTGAGGGTTTCCCGTTGAGAGTGTAGGGTTTAAGCTTCAGGTCACGCAGCTTTTTATGTCTCGATCCTGAACCCTCATGTGCCACCGCGTGTTGACAGGAAACAGGAAACTGCAGCAGGAACATCCTACGTGTTTTCGGCCTCTGGGTCTCAAAAAGGAGCGACTACATGATGCATGCTTTTCCTGACAAAACAACAAGAAACCCTGAAAACACCAAACCCTCCAAACCCCAGAACCTTCAAAAACCCAAACCCCAAACTGCCAAACCCCAAAATCCTGAACCCCTAAACCTCAAACGGAGCTCTCAGCAGGACCCCTTATCCATCCCTAAAAGGCTCCCTTATAGATCCCTAAAAGGGACCTAAAGATCCCTGAACGGCCCACTTTTATGGATCCCCCCGAAACCCTAAACCCTAAACCCCCCTTTTCTGGATCGTCCCGAAGCCCTAAACCCTAAACCCCCCTTTTCTGGATCCTCCCGAAGCCCTAAACCCTAAACCCCCCTTTTCTGGATCCTCCCGCAACCCTAAACCCTAAACCCTAAACCCCCCTTGTATGGATCCCCCCGAAGTCTCCGGGGCTTCAAAGGGAAGCTTAGCTCCGAGCAGGCCGCATAGGGCCGGCCGTAGGCAAGGCCTTCGGACCTGCGTTTGGGGTTCATGAGGGTTTAGGGTTTAGGGTTTAAGGTTTAGGGTTTAGGGTTCAGGGTTGAGGGTTTAGGGTTTAAGATTCAAGGTTTAGGGTTTAAGGGTTCCTTTAAGGGATCTTTAGGGGTCCCTTCAAGCGATCTATAAGGGCTCCTTTAAGGGATCTATAAGGGATGTAGGGGGACCTGCCAGGGCTTTCATGCGATTCTTCGAAGGGTAGGGTTTGGGGTTTTTGGGTTTTGGGTTTCGGGTTTAGGGCTCGGGGTTTAGGGTTTAGGGGTTTGGGCTTCAGGGGTCTGCGGTTGGGGGTTGGGGGGGGTTAGGGTTTAGGGTTTAGGGGTTGGTTTCAGGCTTAGCAGCTTTGGTGCTTCTGGGTTTTCTTGAGGACCGACAAGTAAATTCGCCACAAATCGAGAAAAAAAAAGGTTTGGGGCTGGGATCGACGTCTTCTGAGCACATGGGTAGTTTCCGAAATTGGGGGTACCTTATTCTGGGGTCCTTATGAATAAAGAGCCTACCATTTGAGGTACTATATTATGGTCCCCTATTTTTGGAAACTCCCACATCAAGATCCTATCTTTTGAACAGAACTTCTCAACATCGGACACCTCGAAGCCCAAATCGCCCCCCTATCACCCTGTGGGGTGTTTGTTCGAATCGAGTGCGCTTTCGGTCTCTCGAGAGATGTGCCAGTTTCCAAAGGTAGAGGACCCGAATCTAGAACCTTAGAAACCAAGATCCTAATTGCAAGGGCCCTAAACAGGAACACTTAAAAAATGGAAACCCCCAGGTGTTGACATGCCCGGGCGACACGTAGATGGTGCAGAGGTCTGGCTTAGCCACGGCAACGTCTGCACCCTCCAGCGCCAACGACCTGTCATGATCTACACGATATTGCTACAGGGACGTGAATATGTTTAGAATCTGGTTTGGGGTATACTATACTATGCATACACTTCGGCTTCGATTGCTAATTCTTCGAGCTTCCATAAATTACAGATGATCCAGGATCCCGAGAATGTCAGGTTCCCCCACTCATCCCGTGAGGATCGGAACTGGGGTCTCTTCCGGCTCGCTGGCACGTTGATCTCTTCGAAAATCCTAGCTACATGTGGGTGGTTGTCAAAATATGGGCACCCTGAATACCAGGTGCCGTATTATATTAAGGACCCAACAAGGGACCATAGTTTTGACAGATGCCCATGTGAAAGCAGGGACAGTTTCCCACAACTCCCAGTCTTTGCAGATCGGATCCGCTAGAGTAACTAGGAACTTAAACCGTCTTGATGGCCGTCATAAGGTCGTTCGATACGGGACTGAACGCCGCGCCGAAACCGGCACCCGCAGACGATACACTGCTTGGCAGGCCCCAGTCGTTCCGGGTAGGGCATGTCACTGTCTCGGCTCGAGCGTCTCACCATCCCAGGCCCTTGGCCATCAGAGATGTCGTAAAACGACGACCTTCCACGACCCTCCATCGCAATGTAGGCTTTTCTCTTCTCAAACGGACAGCATGAGGTCACACAGGACTCACCACGCTCTGCTACCACGAAAAAGTACGACGTTCGTGCAGCGACACGTTCGCAACGAAGCACAAACCTTTGCAGGCAAGCAAGCACACAAGCGCACGCCCAGACCTTCGTTTTGGTTCTTGTTAAGGGTTTTCATATTCAAGTTGTCACAATGACGAAACCATACTATCTACTGTAGATCCCTATTGTGGTAACTTCAGTCATATTCCTCAACCAGAGATTTCATGCGGAAACAACTTCCCACATGGCTGCACTCGACACCTCGCTGTGTAAGTCACGCCATCTACGATGAGCCTCAGCAGGGACGGTTGAGGATAGGAGTTGGGACTACTTGGAGGATCATGGGACTTAGTAAGTAAGGTTATAAGTACCTTAATAGGGGTTATAAGTAGTTATAACTATAGTTACCCTAATTATAACCCTAGTTACTAAGTCCCATGATCCTTGAAATAGGTGAACCCTTGGGGATCTAGACCCTCTCAATAAGGTCCCTGTTAAGAACACCAGAAGTCGGGTTTAGAAGGGCCGCTTTTAAAAGGAGCCCTTAAATGAAGCCTTCAAGGAGCCCTTAATGGAGCCCTTTAAGGGGTCTCCGTAATACTACCCAGGATAGGAGACTTGACGATGTAGGGATTGCGCTTCAACCTCTGAGTTGAGCCCCAAGTATTGAACCTTTAAAACATGCTCTTTGAAATCGGACTACATCATATCATATTGCAGTATACTACCTTAGTATCAACCTTTATTTTATCATATTGCAATGTAATATGTTACATCATGAGCAACTCTTTATCATGTTGCAGTATATTGCAGTGTGATCCACCTTGAAAGTCCCATCTCTCTAATACCTAAACCCTAAACCCCTAAACCCTAAACCCCAAACCCCAAAACCCTAAACTCCGAAGCCAAAGCAAAAAGGCACCCGAGGCCGTGACCAAATCTCGTGGTCCATGTCCACGAGGGCAATCGCCCATCCCCAGACCTTCCAAAGTTGAGGATTCTGGGTTTTGGGTTTTAGGGTTTAGGGTTTTGGGTTTTGGGTTTGGGGTTTTGGGTTTTAGGGTTTAGAGTTTTGGATTTTGGGTTTTGGGGGTTAGGATTTAGGGTTTTGTGATAGCCGAAACTTTCTGACACTGAAATTCCTAAGCCCCTAAAGCCCCTAAAGCCCTAAACATCCCCAATTAGCTTCCGGAACTTTCTGAGGCTGAAACTCCTAAGCCTAAAGCCCCTAAAGCCCTAAACATCCCCAATTAGCTCCCGGAACTTTCTGAGGCTGAAACTCCTAAGCCTAAAGCCCCTAAAGCCCTAAACATCCCCAGTTAGCTCCCGAAACTTTCCGAGGCTGAAATTCCTAAACACCCTCAAAAGCTCACGAAGATTGTCGCCGAGATAGCCCCCCCGGCCTGCTTGTAAGGTTCCAAGGCACTTGGGTGATCCCAGGAGATAACAAGGGCAGACTGTGTGTCCCACACCTCCGGTTCACAGCAAGTTGCTATTTTTGGACTAGAATAGGACTTGGGTGGTGCAAGGTTCTATCATCTTTGTACGGAGACATAAGGAATAGTGGTAGGCCTCTACACTACTTTACTTGGGGATACAGCATTACCGCATTACTGCTTGCCAAGTCGCCCGTTGGTAAGCAGGGGGTCTCTGAGAGGACACTCTTTCACAGGTCGAAAGAAAAGAACTGAGTGCAAGCAAGGAGTAGACCTTAAGTCATAGTATTAGGCCGACTATGGCTTCAGGTATATTCCTTGACTAAGGGGCATCATGTAGGGGCCTTAACATTTAGAACAGGGTTTTGGGGCCCATTAATTATGCTACAAAACTTTTATTATAGAGCCCTTATGGTATCCCTTGTACTAACCCTGATACAGAGCCCTTCAAAGGAACCCTGTTCTGATTATTGAAGCCCCTGCGTCAGGGCTCGCTGGCTGGTGAAGCTGGGTTTACGGATCCCCTGAGTCGAAAGAGCAATCAGACGACATACTTCCCTAAACCCTACACCCTAAACCCTAAACCCTACACCCTAAACCCTAAACCCTACACCCTACACCCTAAACCCTAAACCCTACACCCTAAACCCTAAACCCTACACCCCTAAACCCAGCTCCAGCCTCCAGTCTTGGCCTGACGGGAGCAGCAGGGCGAGCTGTGGGGCGCATGAACCTTGGGCCAAGACTTCCAGGCTCGGGGCTTTGGGCTTAGGGTGTAGGGTGTAGGGTTTGGGGTGTAGGGTTTAGGGTTTAGGGTTTAGGGTGTAGGGTTTAGGGTTTAGGGTGTAGGGTTTAGGGTTTAGGGTTTAGGGTTTGTGGTTTACCTGGTTCTTGAGGCTGCCATCCTGATGTTTAGCTTTGGATGGCAGTCTTCAGCCGAAATGATGCCGAAGCGAAGCTTCATGACTGTGACCATGATGATAAGAACCCTGGCGACCACTATCATCGTACAGCAACTTTTCCACAAGACTCGCCAGGGTAGTCTCTATGAGGATAACGGTAGGATAAAAAACGCTAAAAAATAAAAGCTGCACAACTCTTAACGACGATGCCGCTGTGGATGATGATGATGATGATGGTGATGACTAGGATGATGGTGAAGGCGCTGGTGGTGCGATGGTGATGGCGATGGTGATGATGCTGATGATAATGATGATAATGATAATGATAATGATAATGATGATGATGATGATGATGGTGACGGTGATGGTTGCCTGACGCGGTCATGATGATAGCAACTAGAACAACCAAAACACAGTAGCAGTGGCAGGAGGAGGGTGGTCTCTGGCAAACCTTTTCTTCCCAAGTTTCACTGCCAAGCCGAAACATGCAAAAGTGATCTTATCCGGAAACCTAACCTCAACCCTCATGACTACAGTAGCTACTCCCCAAACCTCGAACCCCGAACTCAATCCCGCAATCCCCAAACCCTTAACTCTACACACCCTGAACCCTTTCCTGCCCCCTAAAACCCTAAACCCCAAACCCTAAACCCCCAAACCCTAAACCCCACTCCTCCATTCCCCACTAACCAAAAATAAGTTTCCTTCCCGGGTTCCCCGCTCCAGCACCAGGCGCCGTTGCAGGCCGGGCCTCTCTGCGTCTGCCAGGTGCGCCGCCTGAAAGTATGCTTCAGGGTTCAGGGTTCAGGGTTTAGGGTTTAGGATTTAGGGTTCAGGGTTCAGGGTTTAGGGTTTAGGGTTCAGGGTTCAGGGTCTAGGGTTTAGGGTTTAGGGTTCAGGGTTTAGGGTTTAGGGTTCAGGGTTGTAGGGTTTAGGGTTTAGGGTTCAGGGTTTAGGGTTTAGGGTTCAGGGTTCAGGGTTTTAGGGTTTAGGGTTTAGGGTTTAGGGTTTAGGGTTCAGGGGGTTTAGGGTTTAGGGTTAGGGTCAGGGGTTAGGGTTAGGGTTCAGGGTTAGGGTTAGGGTTTTCAGGGTTTAGGGTTCAGGGTTTAGGGTTCAGGGTTCAGGGTAGGGGTTTAGGGTTTAGGGTTTAGGGTTCAGGGTTTAGGGTTAGGGTTCAGGGTTTAGGGTTCAGGGTTCAGGGTTCAGGGGGTTTAGGGTTTTTAGGGTTTAGGGTTTAGGGTTTAGGGTTCAGGGTTTAGGGTTTAGGGTTCAGGGTTCAGGGTTTAGGGTTTAGGGTTCAGGGTTTAGGTTTATGGTTCAGGGTTTAGGGTTTAGGGTTGTCGTTTCAGGAACATGGTATCCCCTCACAATCCCTGTTGTAGCTTCCTACCGCACAAACCCTAAATCCTAAAACCTGAACCCTATTCTCACCATTAAGGACCCCGGTGGGCTTCGGACTTGGTTGGGCTCCGGGGTTTAGGTGCTTCGGCTAGGCTCCTTGTGTTGCAGGCTTTAAGGTTTAGCTGTTGGGGCTTTCGGGGTTGATGAACTCAGAGAGGAGTCAAGGGTCGGAACCGGAATTACCTAAGTGGCTACTACAAGGGCCATGATAATAAGAATACGGTGTTGGGCATGGAATTCCAGGATATTTAGAACTGTGAACAGAGTTTGAGGGGGTAGAATGTACTGCGACGATAAGAACGAACCCCAAGGAAAAATCTGCCCTTTGTACACACCGCCCGTCGCTCCTACCGATTGAGTGATCCGGTGAATTATTCGGTATGGGTAATTTCTAGGCTTCTAGAGTAGATCCAGGCATTAGTCATGCTATCCCAGCCCCGCCGACGGCCTGCTCGCTGTCGCAGAGACAAACCTTGCAGCAGCAGCTTCGGTCTTCGGTTTCTCACCCCGTTCACGCCTTACAAAACAATCTTCATAATGGGGCCTGGTTTCGGGTTTAGGGTTTAGGGTCCCAATGACAGTAGGGGTTCGGCGTATCTCACACTGCATTTAAACAGAGCTACAAGAGAGCATTATTACCAACCTTCAGACACGCCCATCTGACAAAACCCCTGTCGCCCTTGGATACAATGGAAGGCTTCGGAGCAATTCTCGAGCAGATCCGTGATCATGACAACATGAAACCTCTAAACCGCTAAACCCCTAAACCCGGAACCCTAAACTATGCAATCCGACTTGAGGAAACCTGCTCTCGGGTGCGGCACATCAATAGCAGCCCTGATGGAACTGTAACGGCAAGAGACATGAGTTTCGGGATAGCCACCGACAGCCGTCATGATGCTAGTAGCAACAAAGACACCAACAGTCTCTAGACAGAACACTTGCACTAGTCTCACAAGCGGCTCCATCCCGCCTCCTCTTCGTAGTATGCCCAACGGCCATCTGTCTTCACCAGGCGGTCACCTCGACACGTATCTGCGCCGGGGAGGCGGCTACTTAAAGGATCATGGGACTTAGTAACTAGGGTTATAATTAGGGGGTTATAACCCCTATTAAGGTACTTATAGCCTTAGTTGCTAAGTCCCATGATCCTCCAAGTAATTCAGCATGAAAGGGGTGAAGAAGACGAAGAAGAGCCTGGGAACCCCTCTCCCCTGCAGGAAGTGATAAACGCGTCAGCTCCATAGCAAACGACCAGGAACCTCTCAGAGTTATGAGGCCTCCGAAAGTTGCAAAGAAACGAAGCAAAGGACGTGAACGCACGAAAACCATCTTGGAACCTTTATGTCCTATACCTTGAACACCTAACAATAAAAAAATACGTTCATAATAATAACAAGGACAATAACAATAAAAATGATACTAAAAAGAAGAATAGTAATAACAATAGTAAGAATAACAACAATAACAATAACAATAATAGTAATGCAAGCTCGGGCATGGGCCAGGCTTGACCACGAGGTCTGGTCTGCCGATGACCTGCTGCCAGACCTTTCGAGGCATCTTTCAGGGACTATAAGGTTCAGGATTTAGGATTTCGGGGTTCAGGACTTGTGGGGGAGGTATGTTCAAGGGTGAAGGGTTCAGGATTTAGGGTTTCGACGTTAAGGGTTTAGGGTTTCGACGTTAAGGGTTCAGGGTTTCGGGGTCTAGAGTTTAGGGCTGAGTCAGGGTTGAAGGTTTCGCGATTTAGGGCCTAGGAGCATTAGCTGTAAGGAACAGTATTGGGAATTGTTTGGGCGGCTTGGCTTCTACATTACGGCAAATGCCCTTTGCTGAAACAGTGTCGAACCGAATAGCGAATAGCCGGCAGTCTCGACATCTAAACCAATGTCAATGCCATGGACACAAACCTCACCCCGCAAACCCTAAACCCTAACCCTAAACCGAGGTCCCAGCATTCCACCGGTCGAGAGGAGAATGCTGACGAATCTCCCGCAGGACGCGTGCGCCAGTGTCGTCAAAGGGCCTCGAAAAATCGCCACTTGGGTGGTGGTGACTCAGGGTCTCAGGCGTCTAAGGCTCGAAATTCGAGTTTTGGGTGTTCCCTGAGTTATCGTTACTTTGAAGCCGTTATGGGGAAAGATATGACAAACAGAAGAGAAAATACATCCACAAGAGCCAGCTCTCTACCACACACCGAGTTCTTGTCTAGTTCAGATGTAAGCCTCAAGAAGTCCTGACACAAAGGTCCTGCACCGTAACTTCCCTAAACCCTAAACCCTAAACCCTAAACCCTAAACGACTCTCAGGCCATGAAAGCTGCAACTCTCTGTTTGGCGCCTGCTTGCTGGCGGCGTCGCAGTATGTAAGTACTTAAAGGATCATGGGACTTAGTAACTAGGGTTATAATTAGGGTAACTATACTTATAACTACTTATAACCCCAATTAAGGTACTTATAACCTTACTTACTAAGTCCCATGATCCTCCAAGTACGGATATGAAGCTTTAACGTCGGCCGGCTTTAAGGTTGCATAGGGATAGGCTTGGGGAGTACCCTAAGTAGTAGGATCCTTACTATATATGGACCCCAAAATAGTTGGGGTTTTCGAAAATAGGGGACCCTAATATAGTACCCTAAATAGTAGGATCATTATAAGGACCCCAAAATAAGGTACCCATAACTTTCGGAAACTCCTATTTGGAGTTGCGGAGCTGTGCACCTGAGAAACCCGGCTCTTCGTGCCACTCGTAGCCCCAGGGGACGAGGACGCTTGGGCGCGTGAGCACCACACGGAAGGCCCGCCTGAAAAGCTGAGAGACTGTGGATAATCTAGTGGCCTTAATCATTACCTATACTATTCTGGGGGCGTCTTTAGTGTAATTATAGTATAATGGGCACCAAAACCCTATTCTAATCATTAAGGCCCCTATATTACTTTGCTTCATGGCTCAAGCTGAGGCAGGTGGAGCATTTGCATTGCTTGGAGCTCGTTGACGACGTTTGTGCCGGGAGTTCGAAGCCGTTCTTTGCGATGTCCAGCACTACTTTAACAGTGCCTCATCTTTTTGCCTGTTCCGTTACCTCTGTATTAGTCTATGCTTTTTACTATGTAGAGTTAGTAAATCATTCTAGGCCACATCAAGACCTGGTGTCACTACGACGGCTGATGCTTCTCACTGCTACCTCCCCAATCTTCCTCACGTCTTCTTCACCTGCTGGTACTCCAGTGTTGAATCTGCAGCCCCCGCATTCCAAGTAACTCGTTGCCCCTGCCCCTCCCTCTTTTTCTTGACCCACGACTGCTCCTCCTACTTGTGTTGGCTGTGCTCTGCTGCTTGTAGGGACCGTGCATGACCCGTTCATACTGCATCTGCAAAAACATCGATCACCATAGCTGCATCATCACTGCCCGAAGTAAACGACGACAAAAGTCATCACAACTGCAAACACAAAAACACGACCACGACCACCAACACAACACAACCGACGGCCATCAGTGCCGCCCAGCCTTTGCAGACCATGAAAGCAGAAACAAAACTCACACCCGTACATGAAAGCCACAACTGCAAACCGCAAAGCCACGAAAACCTGCGCCCACCGCGAGGCAGGTGGACTTTCTAGGCTCATCGTGACTCTGCCCGGTACTTTACGTCGTGCACGCCTATACATAAATTGCATCCCCTCGATCTGCAAAACCCTCAACTAAATCCCAACCCAGAAACCCCTATCCTAAATGCCTCAACCTAAACCCCCTAAACCCTAACCCCAAACCCGAAACCTGAATCCCTCATTTCGAAACCCCCAATATCTTCGGTAGTTATAGTACAATATACCCCAAAACCTTTTTCTACTCAGTGCGGCCTCTATACAGATACCGTATAAAACCCTTAAAGGAATCCCTATAGTACCCTGTGAAGTACCGCTATTCTACGTATTAAACCCCGAATCTAAACTCCAAAAAAAGGCCCTGGCATGAAGTTGGTGACCGCACCGGGGGGTGCCCGTGAACTCCTGGCATCAGAAGGGTCTAGTATAGTATAGTTTAGTATAGTTTAGTATAGTTTAGTATAGTTTAGTATAGTTTATTTAGTATAGTTTAGTGTGGTATGGTATAGTGAGATATGGCATAGTATAATGTAGTGTAGGCTGGTCGGGGAGCACCTGAAAGTGGGTTTACGATTTGGTGTAGGGTTTAGGGTATAGGGTGTAGTGCTTGAGGGCTTTAGGGGCGCAGTGGCAACTCACTCGGCAAACACCGCCGGTTGCGGAAGAACATGAACTCGTGTCGAGATGGCGAAACACAGAAAAGATCCAACAACAGCGTCCCAGTTGAACAGTCACCCTCAGATCGGGAGCTCTGGGGTGGTAAGCTTGGCACTGAATTTTAGGGATTCGGGACCCTGATCTGAAACAGTACTCCGATACTCAAGTCAGCATGATGTTTGAGCGCGCTTTTCATCATCTCTGCACATAATGTGCGCGGTCGTGCACACTCCTTGGGAGTGTACCTTTCCACAAGAAGTGCTAGCCTTCCGGCCTACTGCACCGACTCCGGCTGCTTGTGTGGGTGGCGAGATCGTGCCCACCATCCCCAACCCGCCGAAACATTACCGTTGATGATGGCAGACACGATCAACCAAACGATGGCCATCCACAGATCAGAGCGACAAGTGAGCTGCGCAATGACACCTCCGGGGGCAGCAAGAGCACAGACCAGCAACAGCGAGAGCATGCAGCAAATTAGCAAGCTACATCTGCGCCTCCAAGCATGAACCAAAGGTAGGTGAAGATGTAAATCACGAAAGTCTGCAGATGGTCCTGGACAAGTCCAAGCAAGAACTCACACTTCTTTATGAAGCGATGATATGCATGGCATGTCTATAACTCCTGCTGCCGGACATTACCCTGCTTCTTCTTCGCATTGTTCATCACCGGGCTAGACATTCTTGTCTTACCCTGCACCGTTTTGAGTTCTCAATATCTAGCAACACTGTCTTTGAACGCCCACTCGGGTAAACAAAAAGGCGTAGAGTCTCTGTGGAGGAAGCAAAACCGGTGGAGATTTTGGGGGAAAGTGTCCTGAATGGACATGACGAAAGGCTTATCATCCTACCCCGGCAGAATCACTGAACCGCCCCGACCTCAGAACCGCCGAAACCCCAACCTTTCCCACTCCCCGACCCTATTACATTCCGAAACCCTACGTCATAAAGCCTAAACGCAAAGCAAAACGACCCCAAAACCTGAAACCAAAAAAAAATTGAAGTTTGCAGAGCCCGGTCCGCCCAGCCGGACCACCAAGGTTCAGCATAGCGTTCAACGAGATACGACACCACCCTGCTGAGGTTTTTTTTAGGGTTTCAGGTTTCACGGTTCTTAGGTTGAAGAGTTGATACCAACTTCGGGCAGGACTTCAGGAGTAAGTTTTGGGATTTAGGGCTGAGGGTTTAAAGGCTTAGGGTTTAAAGTTCAAGGCTTGGGCTACGGTTGATGATATAAATCCTGCATTATCATAATGACCCTAAGCTAAGGGAATTATGGCATCAGTAGTTTTACGAGGTGGGGTGAGGGCTTTACCCCTTGGCTGCTGCGGTCTCAAACCGAGGGGCCTGCGTCTTCCCACATCTCTATACTATAACTATAGGGGCCTATATGATTACGAATATGAGTACCATCTTGGAAATTCCACAATATATGTTATAGATATTTGTGGTATATACCCCAAACCCCTATTTTAGTTGCAAGGCTCTTGGATACCGCCGACTGGTCTGCCCCCAGAATCCGAACACACTGAAACCCGAAAACAATACACCCTAAACCCTACACCCTCAAAGCCCCAAACCCTGAAATCCTAAAACCCCAAAAATTTCAATGATGGATTCTGACCAAGAACACCAACTAAGGAAAGGTTGCGTCATGGTCCCTGGCCCTGTCCCCTCGACTGTTGTTGGGTGGGTGGTGACTGGTGCTCCGGTTCGAACCATACTTAAAGGATCATGGGACTTAGAAGCTAGGGTTATAATTAGGGTAACTATACTTATAACTACTTATAACCCCAATTAAGGTACTTATAACCTTACTTACTAAGTCCCATGATCCTCCAAGTATCCGGCAACCCTGCCGTACAAAAACAACGCACATCATGACTCGGTGTTAGCCACTGCTGCCATGTCCGTGATGCCTGCATGTCGAAACCATTCACAAATCAACAGGAGCGTGAGACTAACGGCGTCGATCCTTGAGACTGCTGGCATTTTGTATCAACGTCGCCGCAACGGCCCGAGCCCCAAAACGACGACTGTCACGAGGATAGCCCCCGAAGCAGGCTCGGACCCCTGTAACTCTTTCAAGCTTATGAACACCGAAATGGAGGATCCTCAGGACGGTCAAAACTTGACGTTCATGTTGATGGGGCTGGGGAAGGCCAAGGAAGGGACGATACCGTGACGTAGGGGGGATGGGGGTTTGGGCCTTGGGACCCCGTGTGTAAGTGGGTAGGCAACAAACCTGGTAGAAATAACAGTAAGTAGAATAGTAATAGTAAAAACAATGTCAGTAACCACAATGAAATAGGAAGAACAGTAGTTTTCACAATAGTATAGTACATGATGTTAACAGTAGTAATACACATGTGTATATATCTATAGCAAGTACGTGAAATTGGATAAAGTTGTAGCAAGTACAACTCGCAAGTACATGAAATGCAAGAGCCATTATCTTCTCCAATACTTGCAAGCAGCAGCAGCAGCAGCAGCAGCAGCAGCTGTGTAACCCTTAAAAACGCAGGCCCGTATTACAACGCTTTCTGTGTGTATATATATATATGCACATACATACATATGTATGTAGTTACACATAACTTTACATATACATATATATATATATATATATACATATTTTATGTATATATATATATATACAGAAAATGACACACGTACGTGAAAACGTATATACAAGATCATGTTTTTGAAGGCTCCGGCCTCACGGTGGTCACAAACCAGCAGACCTGCAAGCCGAAGCCAAATCCAAAGAGGGTGGAGAGAAGGCAGTTCGCATCTGCGCCACCCTTCCTTAGACTTCTGAACCCCTAAACCCTGTTTAGGGTTTAGGGATTTAGGGCTTTGTGGGTTTGGGGGTTTAGGGTTTAGCATCTAGGGTTTACGGGTCAAGGAGTTTAGGGTTCAGGGTTTCTTAACCTTGTCGCCTACTTATTAGATTTCATAGTTAAAGTCGTAAGAGCCAACCAGAAGAACGCCAAGCTTCAAGAGCGCCGTAAAGTCATCAACGGCTGTGGTGAAAGTAACAATGCTTGTCCTTAGTCTAAGGTTTAGGGCCGTTTAGGGTTCAAGGTTCCTGGGTCCTATGTGCAAGGAACGGCACGCCGGACCTGAAGGACCTGAATAGATGTCACCAAAGGTGAAGGAATCATGGAGGAACAATGCCCACCATGAACACCTCTCGAGCCACAAGCCTTCGAAGCCCTGCTCAAACTGCCGGGCAACATCCATGCGTAAGCCAAAGGAAGGCTGGTGCATCTCGTGGACAGAAGCTCCTCAAGTGTAGCAGCAAAATCGATCCCACCGCCATTCACATTCTTTGTTCTAGTATCTATTGTCGTTCACACTGACATTTGCATCATCACCTTCATCCAATTCCTCAGCTTTTATAATCGCTCTTTCTTTGTCAGGTTCATAATATTGCCACTGTCCTGTTGTGGGTCATCCTCATCAGAACGGCCAGCTCAGACTGATATAAGGGGGTCGAAAAGTTGCAGTGCACGCCTTCCCAATACATACACATAGGAAGAGTGAATTACAAGACATGGCCTACATACCACCGATACAACGCTGATGTGCTTGGCCGAAGTGCTCATAAAGCACCGTGCTACACGGCTGCTGTGTGGCGTTGGTCTTCGCGTTAGGACTATCCACCATCCCCTTCTTTTCGACACGTTCCACCGGTCGAACGGCCTAGAATGCTGCTCATCACTACCGAGCAGTAGGTGCACCAAAACATGCCAATCTTAATGTCAATGCAAACGTAGAGCGCGAAGAAGACCATGGATGGGAACCAAAACCATACTGATAGAGCACTGGTACATAATCCTGATAATCACAACGGTTACACAAATAGAGATGGAAGCAGGACAATACAAGGGCCTTGATCATTAGAATATGGTTTTGAGACCCATTATACCATAATAACAAAAATAAGGATCATTAGAATATGGTTTTGAGACTCATTATACCATAATAACAAAAATAAGGAACCTCCTATATCAATATCATTTATCCAAGCTATGGACGTCGTTCCCGACTCCCGCCAGGCTCCTCGCGAAGTGGGCCGCGGACATAATTCACAAAGGCCTCCTCGAGCGTTTAGGGTTTAAGGCTTAGAGAAGTCGGCATCAGAAGTCGTATCGAAAAATGTTAGCCAGGTGTTCTGATTGAATACTGAATACTAGCTTTATGAACTACACAGCCCGGCAGCGACACCCGGTGTCTCATGAACCCATAGGCAGGTGGAAAAACAAATAGCTCAGCGAGTGCGATGTTCATAGTTCACAATTCGCAGCCCTAGCCTGTACCTTACGGCCAGAACCCTTAACGGCCTTAACGTCACAATCGAAACTTCTCAGAAGATAGCCATGCAGGACTCCTACCAACACGGCTGTCTAACTTGACCCTAGTCCCCGAAACTCAAGAAACCACTATAACGGACCTACATTAAACTCCGAACCAAAAGATGCGCCTTGCTGCCATACCATTCCACGATCGCCGAATGGACAAAAGCACGGTCGAAGTCACTGCGGGTTTCGGCCTCGCCCCGCGTCTCAGGGCTGAGGGGTGCTTCCTGTGCTTCCACTACTACTGCTGCTGCTCCTACCAGCCTACCACTACCAATGTCGCTACAACTATCACCGCTGCCACTACTGCTACGACTACCACTTCCGCCTCTGCTGCCACTAATTACCACCACCACTAACGCGACCACTACGACTGCTACTACTG